GCTTCTTTTCCCCTGAGACGATCCTCAGTGTGCTTCGGACTCTTCACCTCTCGCTCCGTTACATTTGGTTTAATTTGTTTCAGAGGAAGTAGAAGTAGCAGCTGTATCACTTACATATGATATATTACATCATATGTCTCCAGGAGGTGGTGGCACCGAACGAGACGTGTTGCTGTCACACAGTCAAATAAAGAGAAACCTTCATCTATTCACACCAGATTGTGTTGAAATATTTCCATCTGTAGTTTGGTTCTTTGACATTGAATGTAATCCAATGAGACACAAAGCTCTTAATTGTCTTCCAGGATGAAGCGATCCACGTTCCTGCTGCTGTTGGCCGTCGCTCTGAGCGCCTGCCGGGCTCAGGTACGTCGCGCTCACGCCATCATTCATCCGCCGCGCCGCCGGCCTGGATAAAAGCCGCCCTGTGGCTCTTTGTTTCAGCCCGACGCCGGAGGCGAGGAGGCGGCCGGCGAGGACGAGCACGTGGAGCTCTTCACCACGCCCGCCGCCAAGATGGCCGCCGCCACCTCAAACTTTGGCTACAATCTGTTCCGCGCCATGGCGAGCCGCGATGCCGGCGCCAACGTCTTCCTGGCCCCCATCAGCGTGTCGGCGGCGCTGACGCAGCTCTCCATGGGTGACAAGACACACACACGACAAACTGCACAAGTTTAGCTCTGACCCTCACGGTGTGGACGGGCGCATCGACCGGCCTCGGTTGGTGGGCGGTTTGTTTGCGCAAACGTGATCGGTTTTATTGACGGAAACTGAGTTTGGGGAATTAGGCTTCATGTGTGGTGCAGCATCTATCCACCAACGTGAAGGCCATGTTTGACCTGGAGAAGCTTCCACACATCCTGAAGCAGTTTGTAGAGGAAACGTTCTCTAGATGAGCTCATAATCCAGGGACATAAGCTCCGTTAACCATCACACTCTTCTCACTGAATGATACCAGAAGTTTTTCCACGTGTTGCGACTTCTAAGCGTTAAAATCGCTGCAGTTTAAGGAGTCACATTCATCATTTCACATTAGACCGAGCTGCTTAGACAGACTAAAAGATGAGCTTTCTGTCTTCCAGGGGGGTCTGAGCAGGCTCAAAGGCAGCTGTTCAGGGCCCTGAGGTACCACAGCCTCCAGGACCCTCAGCTCCACAACACCCTGAAAGACCTGCTGGTCTCCGTCAGGACGCCTGGAAAAGGCCTGAGCACGGCCGCTCGCATCTACATGGCAAGACGTGAGTTCACCTTCCTTTGCTAAACCAATAGTTTCTTCTTGATTACAATGTGAATTGGGGAAGATCTGAGCTTCAAACCATCGCCGTCTCCAGGACGTGTGAAGCAGGACTTCCTCTCGCTCGTGGAGCAGCAGTACGGAGTCCGTCCAAAGGTGCTGCAGGGAGGGAACAAAGACGTGAAGGAAATCAACGACTGGGTGGCTCGGGAGACCAGCGGGAAGGTGCAGCGCCTCCTGGAAAAGCCCCTACCCTCGAACTCCGGGGTGAACCTCGTGAGCGCCGCTTACTTCAAAGGTAGGTCAACGCCCAGCGAGCGCGGTGAACGCCAAAACGTCACGGAGAAGCTTTGCTGGCTGGGATCCGTTCGGAGGCTCAGGCTCCGGCTCCCCGTCTGCTCACAGGGAAGTGGGTGACTCGCTTCGGTCAGAGCGGCGCCATGGAGAACTTCCAGGTGGATGGCGGGGCACCCGTCCGCGTTCCCATGATGCAACAGGACAACTACCCGGTGAAGATTGGCGTGGACTCAGATCTGAGCTGCACGGTGAGCGTGTTTTAGTCACTTCTAAACCACGAGGCCACACGGTGGGAGGGATTCAAACGGAAAGAGTCTCCTCAACCGTTTCTTCCTCCAGATTGCTCAGATTCCGATGCAGGACGGCGTCAGCATGTTCGTCTTCCTGCCAGATGACGTGACCTCCAACACGACCCTGCTGGAGGAGAGTCTAACTGCTGAGTTTGTCCAAGACCTCTCCATGACGCTGCACCCTGCTCAAGTGTCCCTCTCTCTGCCGGACCTGAAGCTCAGCTACTCCACCGACCTGCTGCCGCTGCTGGGCGACCTGGGTGAGTCCGACGATGACGAGATCTTCCCCCGTTTGACCCTAACTGACGGTTAGAGGAGCTCGGTCAACGTTTGTTGAGCTGCTCAGGTGTCTCCACCTCCGGGATGACCGGGTGACGCGCCGTTGCATGTTGCTGTTGTTTCACATCGTTGGGTGGGAAACATCAGATAAGTCAATTTATTCAAAGTTAACATGGAACAGTTCGTGGTAGATTCCAACATTTGGTTTAGCGGTCAGAACCTCCTCCCTTTTTATTATAACAAAACGTATTTATATGTCTTTTTTTAAGAGATGAGTCTTTAGTAGAAGGCTGCAGCTTTAAAATAGAGTTAAATATCATCTACAAATGTGTAAATAAATCATGCAACACGTGTTAAATGGCAGAAAGTGATGTAATCGACCCTCTTAATTAGCCCTCTCTGTGGTCACTCTGCCCCCCGTGTAGGTCTGTCTGAATGGCTAGCCAACACGGACCTGGGAAAGATCTCAAATCAGCGCCTCAAGCTCAGCAGCGTCAAACACAAGGTTGTCATGGAGACGGCGCCCGAGGGCAACAAGTACCCAGGTGCCGCCTCAGTGACTCACCTGTCCTACCGGGTGGACCGGCCCTTCCTCTACCTGATCCGGGATGAGGGGTCGGGGGCTGTGCTCTTCATCGGCAGGGTGGTCAACCCCAAGGACCTGACCATATAACACAACCAGTAACCCAACACCTCTACACGCCTGACCCCAACCCTGAACCCCTCCATCATACCTGTTCACGCATGAACATTAAAACCAAGTCTGAACACCCAAACAGACATTTGAAGTGAGTGCCGATAAAAACGTCCTCACGCTGAAGGTCTAAATCGTGGTTCTACTCCAACACACTTCTCCTGACTACAACGCGTTGTTTGGCATCATCCTAACTGTCCAACAAACCTCATTAGTCTGAACCCTCAAACAAGCCTTTGAATCGAGGTCCGGTCAAAATATCCCTACTGGTCCTCGCACGGCTACATGTACGAGTACACACACACACACACACACTCTTAGCAGGTCTAGGAGGGATTTCAGGTGTTTGCTTTGCATCTCTGGTGGCCGATATTATGCAAGTGTATTTGAGTTTTTATCTTTTCTTTTAACACACAGAGAATAATCTGAGCAAGCAAAAGGGTTTTTTTTCTGAAAAAAAAGAAAATATGGTAATTTGTGTCAGTAGCAATAAATCGATAGTTAACGAAACACTCGTCTGTTGTTGGTTGTTTCTGTTCCTTCACGTTGACCCTCCTTTTCATTCAGTCCCAGTTTGTTTCTTTCGTGAACCTTTTTGAATCATAAACTTTATGCAAATCCCAAATACAGCGTCACATATGTGGGAAGAGTTTCTGCCTCCAGAGAGCGAAGGAAAGACGTCCAGGAGGCTGCGAGTCCTTCAACGTTTTACATGCTTTGGAAATGTCAAACACACACTTCACTACACACCATAATGTCTTCTAATGTAAAGCACCGTCCCGCCACAACTCGTGTCTCCACTCACTCACTTTGTTGCGTAACGCTTGTGAAACGGTTTCAGCACAGAAATCAAAATCCTCCATTTTTTTGATTCCTTACTTTAAAAACCAGCTTTCTTTGAGATGATTTCACAACTGAAGTATAAGCAGTTAAAATAACAAAAAGTATTAAACAGATAAAAGCCTGAATCCAGATGCTAAATATAATAACTGAAAAAGCCAAATTCTTTCCTTAGTACCAGCGCTTAATAAATAACTAGTGTTTTTCCGTTGTACAAGACAGGAATAAACGTTGAGCTTTCACTTGCAGCCTCGCTTCAGTCTGATTGTTTCTCCACATGTGAAACTCACGTGACTTTTCCCCCGAAGCGTCGACTTCACACACGACAAACCTCTCAGATGCACAATGAACTCAAGACAAAGGAAAGTAAAACTGAAAATGAGCAGAATCAACTTTTAGCTTATTGGATCAATTCAGAATTATGACCAAGACTGTGAATCATCTTTGTGTGTGTTTGTATACGTGCGTGTGTGTGTGCGTGTGTGTGTGTGTTTGTATACGTGTGTGTGTGTGTGTGTGTGTTTGTATAAATGTGTGTGTGCGTGTGTGTGTGTGTTTGTATACGTGTGTGTGTGTGTGTGTGTGTGTGTGTGTGTTTGTATACGTGTGTGTGTGTGTGTGTGTGTGTGTGTGTGGCGGACACATGTGGTCCTGGTTTTCCAGCAGTCAGAGATTCTTGTGGTTTACAGACGCTGCCCAGAAGAAGAGCCGACAGCGTCGGAATGTGAACGTGAGACGAACTTCGGTTCGAGGACACTTGAAGAATCAAACTTGATCTACTCTGCAGGTTTTAAGGTGAACGTATTTCTGTAAGTTAGACGCTAAAATAAACACTATCATTGGTGGACAAAGTACTAAAATCCTCCAAATGTAGTTCTCACAAGTAGAATTCCTGCAGTGAAAATGCAACATGAGTAAAGAAAATACACATCAGTACAACCAGAGAAATGTTCTTCAGGGTTTGAAAGTATAGAATGCAAAATTATTTTGATTTAAAGTATATTAAATCTATTAAGAAAAGCCGATAAATGTCCCCATACTTCAGAAGATGAAACCACATAATGTTAAAATAATTACCCATAATATATAATATAATAGTCATTATATTATATAATGACTAATAATAACTGCACATTTACTGAATTCCTTATTATGGAATATCCTTATTTCAGCTCAAACTCATGTTGTATTAGTAAAAGTACAACAGGAGGTATAAATACTCAACTTAAGTACATGATATTTGGGCAAAATTACAGAAGCTCTATATATATATATATATATATATATATATATATATATATAGATGCATGTTTTGTATTTGATTACAAGCAGCTGCAGTATTCCAGCAGCAGGATTGTCTGTGCTTCCTCGGCCGTGTTCTGTGGTCTTCATCATCCCGCTAGATGGCAGCAGATTGTCATCAATGTCTACGTACATTGTTCTTTCCTTAAATACTGTAAAGTTTGTCAGCCCACAACATGATGCCCGATGCTCCACCTCCAAACCACACCGCTGCTCTGGTGTCCTCATCAGGGTCCGTTTCAACAAGCAGGTTCAGTTTGTTCACCCTGACGAGGGAAAGTCTGGCTTGTTTCACAAAGGGAGGTAACTAAAGCTCAGGCTCAGTCACCATGGTGACTAAAGCTCAGGCTCAGTCACCATGTTAACTAAAGCTCAGGATCAGTCACCATGTTAACTAAAGCTCAGGCTCAGTCACCATGGTAACTAAAGCTCAGGCTCAGTCACCATGTTAACTAAAGCTCAGGATCAGTCACCATGGTGACTAAAGCTCAGGATCAGTCACCATGTTAACTAAAGCTCAGGATCAGTCACCATGGTGACTAAAGCTCAGGATCAGTCACCATGGTGACTAAAGCTCAGGATCAGTCACCATGGTAACTAAAGCTCAGGATCAGTCACCATGTTAACTAAAGCTCAGGCTCAGTCACCATGTTAACTAAAGCTCAGGATCAGTCACCATGTTAACTAAAGCTCAGGATCAGTCACCATGTTAACTAAAGCTCAGGATCAGTCACCATGGTAACTAAAGCTCAGGCTCAGTCACCATGGTAACTAAAGCTCAGGCTCAGTCACCATGGTAACTAAAGCTCAGGATCAGTCACCATGGTAACTAAAGCTCAGGCTCAGTCACCATGGTGACTAAAGCTCAGGATCAGTCACCATGGTAACTAAACCATGTTGATGAAGAAGCACTTTTACTTCTCAGGCTGTTAAACACGTCAGGAGAGAATATTGAGGCCGATTAGATATGTTGTCATTTCCAGATGACTGCTTGTTTGAACGCTATCGTTTTTCTTCATCAAATATGTCCATGACCTCACGCGTCCTCATAGAGGTAACAAGGTCTGCGTCTCCGTCTCCGAGACGCACGAGACCAGAAGGCTTCTCCAACATGCAACATATAGCAGTTTTCTTAACAAGGTTACCAAGCCGGCCCCTCCACCTGTTACACCTGTAATGCCAACGTTGATGTATACATATAATAATAATATTATCTGGTGGGACAATATTTTACTTTTCGTCCAAGTTGAGTCATAAAAATGACCCATTATGTAACTTCCTCACAGGGAAACAACAGCTGAAAAACTTCAATACAGTAATAGTTAAATCTACAATGTTGTAAACACATGAAACATCTTTTTAGTACAATTGAATGAATAAATAATATGAAAGTGGAGAAGGAGGCGTAAACATTTCACAATAGCATAAAGAATTTAATCTTGACGTTATATAATAACAATCCATGATGGATTTTATTCATTTATATCGTGCTCCGTGTTGTTTCTTCCTCTTCTCCAAACTCCAAAAACATTCCTGGCCTCTGTGACCTCTGACCCCTCCGAGGGAGCTCACTTCCCCTTCTGCGTTGTTCCAGACGACCTGCTGTCTTCATGAAGAAACTTTTACACTGAAACTCCGGCTTCCTGTCTGGGTTATTTAAGAAGATGAAGTGATGAAATGTTCCTGTTGGAGACGCTCTGATGAGTAAAACACTTCTCACAGCTGTTTGTAGTGTAACTCTGTTATTTTCATGATGGTAACAAATCTTTTGTTACCTGATCTCCGGTTTGCCTTCTGGTCTGTCTCCCGTATTTGAGCCGGTTTTCTTCCAGCTGCTGTCAGAAGAATCTTTCACACACAAACACAAACTCTGTGGACGCGGTGGAATGTTTGAGTGTGGAGGGAAGCAGGAGAAGACCAGGAGCGTCGTGTCAGGCTCATGTTAACATGAACCATCTGGAACAAATCGACCTCATTCTGGTATCATATTAATAATAATAAGGAACCACGTTAAGAGCTCGAGACACAATGATGTGTTCAGCTTGAAGAAGAGTCCCTCAGAATCTCAGATTCCCTCATTCATAGACCGGAACCAGATCCAGAACCAGATCCAGAACAAAAACAAGGACCAGATCCAGAAGAAGAACAAGGACCAGATCCAGATCCAGATCCAGAACAAGAACAAGAACAAGGACCAGATCCAGAACCACTTCACATGGAAGAGAGAAAAGCTCACAGCACAAGATAGATGTCCCATTTTGTTGAACCAGTTTTCCCTCTCAAACATTTAAAAATCTATATTGAGACTTTACGCTTTGTGTGATAAACACATTTTGATAATCAGCGTAAGAGCCTCAAAGTCAAAAATAACGACATTACATGAAGACACAAGTATTTACAAAAAGCTTTATGGTGGCATCTACAGAACGAAGAACATCAACAAATCAACTACGACACTTACAGGAATAACTAAAAGGTTCATGTGTTCATATGAGAAGATGGAACATAAACAGAATATGAAAGGTTTGAAAACATGACTGATAGAAATCTCTTTTTATTCTTTTTCTTTGCTTAAAATATATGTGATTTTGACAGTAAAAGCCTTGGATTAAAAAACATGTTCAATCTGAGATACGATAGCACAACTATTAAGAGTTCAAACATCGGACCTGAAATTAAACAAATATGATTTAAATTGAAGTAAATCCACACGCAAATCTTTCCCTAAATTAGCTTATCTTACGATGCTAACATGACAAGCAGCTACAATCTTTACCAAGTTTAGCTCGTTAGCATGCTAACCTTAGCTAACGATCAGTAAACACAGAGTCCTGTCCTGTGTTTGGACTTTTTTTGACCTGCTGGTGGCGCTAAATGTAAATTCAGAGGCTCAGTGAAGTGAGTGGGGTTCATCCTCTGAGAACCATGAAGGTATGAAGAACTCCTCACGGACATCGGTCCAGAAGTCTACTGGCCATCAGAGGAAGTGCAGCTTATTCAAATACAAAAATCGTCTTTAAATGATGAGAAATCTGTAACGATACGTTATCGACGTGAGACGCCGCTCCTGACTTTCCACGAGAGGAACACGGGACACACGCTGTCTTTGTCCTCATTGGCTTCAGGTCCTCTTTGTCTTCAGGCCGTCAGGTCTTCTGGTCTTCTGGTCTTCAGGTCCTCGAGCTCTTTGCCTTTAGCCGACGCGCTCACCGGCTCGTAGCCCCCTTTGCCCTCCGGCTGTGGTTCCCGGCTTCCAGCCCTCCGCCGAAAGAACACCACCGTCAGCAGGAAGCAGAGCAGACCGCCGCAGACGAAGACCACCTGCAGACCCAGGAACCTGCGCACAACAAACACGCGCGTCAGGGGGCGTTCGCAGAGGACAGCTGAATGCAAATCAACGGGACTCACCTCTGCCTGAAGCGGTCCAGGTCGTAGTACTGACAGGAAGTCTTCTGGCCGCACTTTTTGCCCCACAGGATGCAGGTGGTGTCGATGACGCTGCCGTACAGCACCGGACCGGGCATGAAGGCTGCACAAACACACTTTTAATGGAGGCCTTTTCACTGAAGATAATAACTTTCGCGTCCTGTTGGGTCCCACAGGAGGTTTAAAGGGGCCCTGGATTGGGGACCAGGCCTAACTTTGTTTATGGTTTTATATTTGATATAATGGAAAAATAACAAAAAAGCGTCGACCAATTTTCTTAAAGGCTCCCTCTGCTCTCACCTTTCACAATAAAAGCCCCAGACATAGACACCGTCATCGGTTCATTTGATTGGACACAGGTCTCCTAGCAACAGACCGTCACTGAGACGGCTGTAAAGACTGCAGCCTCGTTCAGGGAGGGATTCACCACGAGCCCCCAAACCCCCAGCAGGGACCCACGAGCCCTCCTGAGGCCTGGACTCACCGAGCACTCTGAACAGCATGTACTGGACCCCCACCGCGAAGGACTTGTCCTCCGACGGCACCGTCCTGCAGCGGAGACACCAACGCGAAGCAGATGAACAGGGACACGCGTTGGTTGGTCAGGATTATGATGGTGAGAAAATAAACAATGGTTAAAACAACAATAAACAATTGTTATAAAAGTTGTGAAATATGCAAAGTTTGTTCCAGCAAACATGAATCAGTTTGTTTTATTTCCACGTGCTGCTGATTTCACATCATTTCTGGGAGCTTCTTGCTCTCTTTCTTTGTGGGGTTGGTGTGTTAATATAGTTCCTTTAGTATCGTGCTACTTTCTAAATGACTTACGTAGTTTCATGAATAAAAAAGGATAAACAATCCTCACATTCCAAATCTGATATTTGTTGTTGTGAACTGGATGTTGATAGATTTATCTGTTGTAAATGATCCTCAAACGCCTCTGTTAACAACTCGTGTTCTATAAGTAGTTCTCCTCCCCCTCAGTGTGTGTTTCAGTCAACAGGAAAGAACATTTCCCCCCAGAGCCTCCTTCTTATCTGCAATAATAGTCTTTGTTTTCCAGCAGCTGTTTCTGCTGCATCTGGGAATCATTTCAGACTTTTATTGTTTCTTTTTCACACAGAATATCATTGCAAATATAAATAAACATTAAGGTGTTCTTTTTATCAGTTATATTGAACATAACTACATATTTAATGTAACTATGTATTCAACCATCTCTAATAAACATAAGTCAGTACTTCATATCTTTGTTAAATGTAACTTGTATACATCTTGCTCCGCTCACCTGAGGATCATCATGAAGGAGGGCGTCTGGGAGAAGGAGGCGATGAAGCTGGTGACCCCCAGCAGAGCTACGAAGGGGACCAGCAGGCCGGAGCAGCGCCCCCCACAGGTCCCCGAGGCCGCCATGCCGACCCCGGCCACGCACCGGCACCCGGAGAAGTTCTGCAGGGACACCCACACGAGATATATGGAGGTCTAGATAGAGATATGGTTCTGAGGTTCTATGTGACACAGCTCTACATGGACCATCAGTCACTAAATGAACATCATGCTGTGTTGAAGAAGACTTGAGACTAGAGACTGAGACATAAACTCATGTTTACAACGTTTACTGAGGGAATAAATCAAGAGAGAAGTAGAGTCATTTCCTCATAGACGTCTATGGGAGCAGAGGAGTCGCCCCCTGCTGGTCACTACAGAGAAGTAGAGTCATTTCCTCATAGACGTCTATGGGAGCAGAGGAGTCGCCCCCTGCTGGTCACTACAGAGAAGTAGAGTCATTTCCTCATAGACGTCTATGGGAGCAGAGGAGTCGCCCCCTGCTGGTCACTACAGAGAAGTAGAGTCATTTCCTCATAGACGTCTATGGGAGCAGAGGAGTCGCCCCCTGCTGGTCACTACAGAGAAGTAGAGTCATTTCCTCATAGACGTCTATAGAAACCCAGAGTTTGCTCTAGTTGTGCATTCTTTGCCTCCAGGGAAAACCACCGTAGGTCTCAGTGTGTTTCACCGGATGTAAAGGCAGTAACTTCTACGTGGGGTCCGTTGGTCTGCTGTCATTCACCCCCCTCGTCAGCCCCCTTCTTGGATTAATTTATTTTCCAGAACAGGAGGAAGAAAGTGAAAGTAAAACCAGATCTGATGCAGCTGTTCTCTGCTTGAACAACGTCTTGCTCTCTTCAGTGTGTGAACTGTTTCCCACAAAGTATTTATATCAGGAGGTTTATTCAAAAATCAACAAAAACATTGTTAAGTTAAATCAATCACACATGTGGACATGATGCAACAGTTATATTAAGATTAAAAGTGTCCATGTCTTTCATGTCCATCTATCTGACTATCTGATGTCTCCATCCATCCAGCTCCAAATGATGAATGAAGTATTCAGCAGAGAGTATTTATGAATAGTGTGGGACACAAACACAGAGCTGACTGGTCTCTGACGGCACGAGACAGTTTATTGGTTCTGTTCTGTCAAGATCTGCTGAACGCTTGAATCGCCCAGGAAGCGGCGCCCTGCTTGTTACCGTGGCGTTGTTGGAGAGGTCTGTTTCCGTGGCGGTGCAGCCGGCGTGGCAGGGAGACCGGAACTCCACACCGTCAGAACCACAGACCGGGTTAAAGGCCTCCTGAGGGCACCGACAGCCGGAGCTGCACGACGACGCGTCACTGCTGGAAACACACAAATACAACACGATGCCAGACGAGTTAACCGTTAAAAAGTAACATCAGAGTTACTAAGGTCCACTAGTCAGGGAGTTAGTTCCCTGACTAGTGGATTTAGGTCCTCATCAGTATTATTAGTTCCCTGTCAGCTGTGGAATTAGTCTTCAGTAAACAGTGACGTTATGTGGCTTCAAGTTCCCTGAAAGTTATGAGATTAGAAGTTCCCTTTTTAATAGTAAAATAAAATGAATTATCTTCCTGCCGGTGGTGTAACTAGTTCCCTGTCAGTGAGGAAATGAGTTCCTCATTAGCGTTTAAATGACGTTGAATTACCTCCCTGTCAGCATTAGCTCCTTGGTAGAGGTGCAGTATATTTATATGTATATATATATATATATATATATGTATATATGTATATAATCTGGTTGAATGCACTTATTGTCTCATAGTCGCTTTGGGTAAATGACATGTGACGTAATGTAGTTAGTTCCCTTTCAGTGTTGAAATGAGTCCTCTGCATGAGTGTAAAGTCGTTGCATGTCCACCTGTGAGGAAAGACCCCGGCGATCTTCTGGGTGGGGCATCCCATGAACAGCAGCGGCGTGGAGGAGAACAGGCACAGCAGGATCGCGACGGTGCACAACTTGCTGGCCCCTCTGACCGAAAGGTTCATCCGCCGCATCACAACTCCGCCCAGGACGGTGCCGAGCACCGCCAGCGGGATGCAAACGCCTCCTGGGAGAGGAAATCAACCCGTCGGTCAGCACCGCGGCCGCCTACTCACCACGCACACCCACCCGACTCACCGATCATCATGGTGGAGTTGGACACCGTCTGGCTGAACTGCCACTCGAGGAACTTTGCCATGAAGGTGGCGAGGCCGGAGAGCAGCGCGGCCAGGTTGACCTGCGCCAGGACCACCAGCAGGTAGACGGGGCTGCGTAGCGTCCGCAGGGCGATACGGGGAAAACCTGCCGCACGGCCACAATAAACGAAGGCCACCGTCAACCGTTAATCCCCAGAGGACCAAACACACCAGGATTCCTTAAGCGCTTCTTTAACGCACAAAAAGTCTTTTGTGAAGCACCTGAAGAAAGAGCTTCTCCAAAGAACTGTTAAAAAACCACAAACCACAAAAACAGATTTGCCAACCTGACAAGAAGTTGCCCATTAATGACCTTTTTGCATAAATTAATAAATATATCCGTGTATATTAGCGAAAACTATTCCACATTTTCTAATTCATACCATCCAATAACATGAATTAAGGACCCTTTAATATTACAAAGCCAGTTCCAATTCCAAGAGTCATTTTTATTCTTGTATATTGATTAATGAAGGAACGTTGTTCTCCAGCAGAAGGGACACTTTGCTCATCCAGGACCAAGGGGCCCCCCTGGGGGTCTGTCAGTGCACGTGATCTTCGTCTCCTGCCGGTGACCTTTAGTAGCCGCGTCCTCGCCAGACAGGAACCAGAGGAGGGAAAAAGAAGACTTACTTTTGAGGAACTGAAGAAGGGACATTTCCTGGAGCGGGTTCGTCTGCTGCTTGCAGTCCGGTCCCGACTCCACGACGTCCTCGCCGCCGTCCTTTAACAGAACATCACACGCTCAGTCTGCAGGCGACGCAACATTCAGGGGTCAGGTCACGTTGTTTAAACGTGTCCTCTGAGTGACACGTGGGCGGCGTGGTCTTCCAGGAGACCCAGAGAGCAACACCAACGACGCCAGCTCTGCTTCCATCAGTCACTCTGCACGCAGGGAAATCAAAGGTTCCCAATGAACCACTTCTGGTTCCATGAACAAACCAGAGTCGTTTACTTCACTTTGTTCGTTAACCTCAAAGGTGCCTCGCAGAACCTGAAGGAAACGGTTCTCTGGGACACTCGTTCTGGTTCTTTGAGGCACCTAAAGAAAAGAAACCGTGACTTAATGACGTAGACGGTGATGTTCTTAGTCCACCTCGCTGCCTCTTAAAGATCCACTCAGGAACCTTCACTTTCCTGTGTGCAGAACGCGCTGCTGACATTAACGGACAGAACGACACACGTGTCGCTGTGAAGCTTCTGTTGTGTGAAGCAAATGTGTTTTATGCTTTATAACATTAATCATTAACGATTAAGCTTCTCAGGACTTCTCATAGATTAAAACCGTAAAAACTACCAAACTGCCACTTTTGAAGTATCAAGCTGATAAAACAATGTCAAATATTAATTTCAATTTGCAAATAAAGGTCGGGTGTCTTTGTACTAACTAAGTACTTGTTCCTGCGACGGCTTGTTTGAGTTTAAGGAGCATCGGCTCAGACGAGAAGGAGCCGCATGTTCCTCATCGTATCAGATAAAACATCTGATAAGAAGTCCAAAGTCCACACGAACCACCAGCATGAAGCAGTTAAATCATCGTTACTTCACGCTGTCACAACATGAAGCCCAACACTCGTATATTTCCTCACACCAGCAAAGACTGGAAAGACTACTTCCATCTCAGGAGACCGCTGGAGGGGAATAACGCACGAGTTGGAGAATCTGCAGAGTCCCTTTAGTGTGAATCACAGCTCCAATGTGGAGAAGTTTAACGCCCGTTCTGTGGGACGAATCGTGTGCTTAGTGAAAGTGAAAGTGCTCGTTTGGCCTCAGCCTGCGGCTCCGTCTCTCAGCACGTCGATCATAAGGAAACTGTTGCACAATCACTTCGTTTAACTTTTAAAACATGCAGGGTTGGACTTTTGTCAACTTCAGGAACGAAGTAAAAAATCAGATTCCCGTCAGAACTTGTTGAGTTGACCGAAGTTCAGTTTGTAACTATTTATTTTCATACTTTTACTTTAATCACATTTGTTTGGGGGATTTCCATCTCAACGCTGCCCCATACTGCCAGCAGAACTCTCCAGGGTTCTTCTGGAGGTTTGTGGACCAGTGGAGACAACCCTCCTCTCACCTCTTTGGGCATGCTGCTGGGGAAGAAGAGGTACGGCAGCGCCGTGAGGAAGAGGAGGCCGGACGCCATCAGGAAGCCGAGCCACCAGGCTCCCACCCAGCGAAGGTCCTTGTGGTCCAATCTGATCTGGTCTGGAAGAAGAAGAAAAGACAGTGACGACACGTTGGCATAAACATCACGCATTAGGAATATAAGAACAAAACGGAATGAATAGACAACTTGTATTATTGGAAATATAATTATGGATTAAAGCTGCAAGCAGCGATGAACGATGAACAAAGACGCTCTAACTTGTGAAGTCTGGCAGATAAACGAACACATTGAATGTGTCTTTGGGGAAACACCTGTAGTTTAACATGTCCACTCACGTCGGTCACAGACACACAACTTGACCAGCTTGATTCATTATTCTCACGCTTACTCTGCAGATCGGGGAGAGGAATCTGTGCAGCTGGATCAAAGCGGAGGCCTCCAGGTGAGTGCACCTACATCCCAGCGGTTGCTGGCGCTGCTTTTTGAATACGTGTAGGGGGCGCTATTCAGCAAAATGCCATTTGGAAGCATTGGAATCATAGGAAGTAGCTACATCTAGGCCACGCCCCCTACAACCTTCATTGGTCCATATCTTTGATAAGACATCAACAAGCTTTTAACTTCAGATGTCAGATCTCAATAATGATTTCCTGAAACGTCCGTGTGAATCGCAGCGTCTGGGACGAGTTCGCAAAAACGTGTTTTCACAACATTCAAAATGGCGGATAATGTTGCTAGGCGCATTAGCACACCATGATTGACTTTTTGGTAGAGCACCTGTGTGTCAATCGGTGAAACTGGGCAAAATGTCCCCCAGAGGGAGCCCTTCCAGGGGGCGCTAGAGAGACATTATTTTATCCCCAAATGCGCAACCAAAGAATATCTACATTTTTCGCACTTCTGATTCGCTAAAATTCAAGAGTTTTGGAATATGATAAAGGCCTCCAAAGTGCGATTCAAGTGGATAAATAATAATAATAGTTGCAGTCGGCTCAGGCCCTAATAATAATAATAATAATAATAATAATAATTACAGAATTGTAAATTACTCCCGTGTTACTATGGTGACTTTTACCAATAAACCTTAACTTTGAAAATTAAGGTTTATTGAAAATACTTTTTTAAAGGTTTTATATATTGGTGTGCCTTTAAAAATGTGCCAAAAAACTACAAATCCATGGAAACCCTCTGAGGTTGAAGGTCAAGAAACTGTTGATTATTTACACCCTGAGGGAGATTTCCTTTGATTTTAGCTGCTTATGATGGATTTTCTTTTGTTAACCTTAATAAATCCACCTTAAAGGTACGTTGGGTCCTGCCACACCTCAACAGGTGTGACTGCGGTTAATCCGGTTTGGTCACATTAAGTGTTCCAGGTACGATCTTTCTCTTTGTACTGTGTTTCTAATCTGCGAACGCATATTCCCTCAATCCCTTACACGCACACACGCACACACACACACATGCACACGCACACGCACGCACACGCACACACACACACACACGGTAGAAGCGAAAACAGTTTTTTGTTTGAACAAGACTCAAAAGAAAGTCAAGCTCCATTAATCCGAGAGGCGTGACGGCGTCCGAAGCGTCTTTCGGTTTCACCGAACATCAGCAAAATGTCCTGATGTCGTCTTCTTCTTCTTCTTCTTCTTCTTCTTCTTCTTCTTCTTCTTCTTCTCTACGTAACAACGTTCAGTGTAACAAGTTGAAACACGATTTTCTCAGACCCTCAATCTAACTTCAAGAAATAAGGAAAAATAGTAAAATATTATTTTATTTCAACGAGAATGAAGGTTTTACTTAAATGGCCAAAAACAACTCGTAGTTAACGCTACTTTTTTTTTTTTAATACTTTTTTAATTTCACATTTAAAACTCTCAACTAGCATTAGAAGTTGAAGAATAAAGCAGATTTGGAGTTGCAACATAACACACAGTAACTGACAATCGCTGCAACGATCTTCATTTTCAAGTTGGAACGAGTGGATTTACTTCTGGGACACGTTTCAACATTCCTGTCCGGGACAAACCGACTTCTACAAGATCACAGCCGGTTCTTTACGGTCCACGTTTGCACAGTTTTGATTCACATTTTGGTTTGATTTGCAAGTTTAGTTAACTTTCTATTGGTACTAACTAATAGAAAGTCTTTTGTGTAGTCGCGGTTTGTTTGTAGACTGATGTTTCTTATCAACCAGTGAACAAGGAGCGTATATGGACTGAGGAGGACGTGGAGACGCTGTGGAGACGCTGTGGAGACGCTGTGGACGTCTGAAACTATACTCAATCATAACAACAATATGAATGATTATTAAAATGATATTATGATTACTATATTTGTATAATAGTAATCAATAATACACATCTTAATTATTATTATGAAATTCTTGTATTAGTAGAATAATAATAATAATTATTATTATTCTTCGTGAACATGAAGCAGCTGTTACGCAGGAAGTCGTCCCTTCGGGTTTTATGAAAAACTAAAATTGTCTCCTCACCTCCAGACAACTTGTCAAAGTCGACGTAGAAGCGCAGCATGAGGGAGCCGGTGATGAAGCCCACGGCCGGGCCGATGGAGGTCACGGCGAGCAGGATGCCTGCAACGAGCAGAGGGGTTCAGCCTCAGAGGACAATGACCGAGTGTCTTCTGGTGTTAATTATGTTCGACCTTCACGTGAGTCGGTCTGAGAGTCGAACCAGCTGCAACTTCTGAACTTTTTAATGTTTTAATGGATGGACGGTTTCATGAAGCATTCTACTCCTGATCCTCTTCATCGGAGGTTCCTGAACCTTTAAGGCCGCTCTTCTACGTCCAAGCTGTTCATGCAGTTAAACAAAGACAAAGACACAGAGCCTCTTCATTGCTACAATAAAACAGACCCATGAAAGCACATTTTGCCTTTTGTATTGTTATCTATTAAATAGACGGCTGTGAATCTTACAATGTCAACTAAAACCGAACAAATCATCTGTGGGAATGGGAACAAACAAACATGCTACAGGTGGGAAAACGCCCTGAAACCCTGCAAGCACCTTTCAATAATCCCAGTTACGTCATATTAACCAGCAATAAGGACGCCGGGCAGCGGCCCAGAGGCAGTTACCATTAACCACACAGGGGATGGTAATGGAAATGTGTTAATGGGTTGCCAGAAACAACACTAAACCAATCGTCCGTCACATGTGACCCGGCGGCCGAGCAGAACTACCGAGGTAGAGCGGCGAGTTCTTCCGGCTGGCGTAGTCGTCGATGAAGGAGATGCCGAAGGGCTGGATGGGGACGGCGGCGATGCCCAGCAGCAGCTGACCCAGAAGCAGCAGGGGGTACGCCCCCAGCTGGGCGGGGCCCTCCCGCCGGCTGCAGCTCTGATTGGAGGAGGCGGTAACGGGGCTCTCTGATTGGCAGAGACCGGAGCTGTTCTCTCCAGAGGCTGCAGGCGAAGAACGAAACACCTGAGAGGCGCTTTGTGGGGACCATGAATGTGCGTCTGCGTGTGTGTGGACTCACTGCTGACGCGGCCGGTATAGTCGTAGGCTTCGCCCACGAAGTGTGGCAGCGCCATCAGCAGCGAGGCAACGCAGGCCAGCAGAGCTCCGCCGCCGATGAACCGCGGCCGGTGGACTCGACTCCCAAAGAAACTCACAAACACAATGAGGACGGTGTTCCCCACCTGTGAATGAGCACATGGGAGGATACGCGATCACACAAGGACATGTTGAACATGAGGATATGAAGACATGAGGTTCTGGGCTCTAGAGGTTCTGGACTCTGGAGGTTCTGACCTCGTTGAAAGCAGCCAGGAGACCCGACTTTTGGCTGGAGAAACCGTAACGTCTCTCGATGGTCGAGATGGAACTCTTCATGTAACCCGACACCAGGAGCTGAGCCAGCTGGAGAAGACTGTGACAGAACACAAAGAACTGTGGGGGGGTCAATCGATGATCCCGACATTATGACAGCCAAACGGGCCCAAGAGGTCATTACAGGGGGGTGTGCAGAGAGGAAGTGACCTCTGTGACCTTTAGAGAACAATACCAGGAAAGACTTCTGGAACAACAACAACTCGTCCTGAAGCGCACACAGCTGCAGACACACGACACACATGTTAAACGAACCTTGACGGCGTGGAAGGGACTCCGGCGTCGGGCAGGAGGTTGCGACACCGCGGGGTCAGAGTTCACGCTGAGGTCTTTGGCCCCCATCGTTTAACCTTAAACACACGGAGACCGAAGACCAGAACAAAGCCTGAAAGATACAAAGATGTTCACAGATGTTCACAGATGTTCACAGCTTCTCCATCCAGACCCCTGCAGCAGAAGACCAGCTGCTTTACTAAAGCAAAGGTGTGTCTGATAACTGTTAGTCACAAATAAAATACAAATACCTGAAAGCTGTGATTAAGGTGGTACTTGTTGTACTGAAGTGTCTGCAAACATCAGTCAGCAACATTCATTCATAAATCAGAGCGAAGCCGTCAATCAATCCGCTGCATCCACTTCAGCCCAGTAGAACCAGTAGACCCAGTGGAGCCATGTGCACTAGTAACAATTAGAACACCCAGTATTCCTGTAGTCCCAGTAGACCCAGAGGTCTCAGTAGACTCCAGTAGAGTCCAGTGGTCCACGGGCCCAGTAGACCCAGTAGTCCAGTGGTCAGAGTCCTCCCAGCAACAATCCCCAGCAGGTCCCAGACTGAACTGGTTCAGTCAGACGAGTCGGGTCGACTCGGCGGCTCTAGTTGTCTCTGCTGGTATTTTCATGAGAACTTAGTGCCTCGTGGGGGAGGAGGAGGAGGAGGAGGAGGAGGAGGAGGAGGAGGAGGAGGAGGAGCTGGAATTTGAACCATGTGTGTTGAAGGCAGGGCTAGAGTTTAAGAAACTCAAGGTGGATTGTGGGAAATATAAAACCTCTTCCCCCTCCACCGCAGGACCCCCTCCACTGCTGCCCCCTCCACCGCAGGACTTCGTCTTCCTTTTGTACTCGACGTTCTGTTGGGTCTTCGGGTCGTGTAAAGCATCTTGGAGTATTTAGAAACAGGTTATATGATATCAAAGTATTAATGAAGCTTGGGCGAAAAACTAGTCAGGAAGACTGGACCGGCTGTGCCGTTCCCTGGTGGGCTCCTGTCTCCCTGGGGGGCACGGCCAGCTGATTAGGGGCGGGGTCGGGTAGTATCAGAGGTGGGTGTCGTTACCGTAAACCAATCGCATTGGTGCAGACAAACGTTAAACTGTTCTCCTCTCTTTTGGTGTCAGTTGTCGTTTCAGCTCGATGCAAAGCCGGCGTGAGATCCCGGCCCGGGTCCGTCCTGCAGCAGGATGGAGTCCAAGCCCCAAACAACTCGCAATATCATATTATACCTTTTATAATAAATAAAGCTTTGTTCAAATGTCAACAAGTCTCTCCGGATTGAATTCTTATTAGTGGGGCCGTGTGACCAGCAGGTAGAGCCAAAGTCCAATGAGACTGTGAACGACCTGCTGACAGAACATCAGGAAGAACAGAGAAAGAACGTTAATACCACACGGCTGTGATTCTACTTTAATGAGGCTTTTACAAGTAATGCTAATTTATAACTTTTATCTGCTGGCTTTAGTTACTTTTCCTATTAAGATCACACATACAAACAGCTGTATAGATGGAGGTGGACTAAAATGTGAAGAGGTCCAGTTATATGTAATCAATACACGACCAACAAATCAAATGAATTCAGTACGATTCTAAAACCCTTTTGAAAATATTTATAATCACCTAACAAAGAACTGAACATAATATATGTGTGTGACTGCAAATATAAATAATGCTATCTCAATTAACTAAATCAAAGTAGGGCTGCATTTAAAGAAATCAAAAATAAAATTGAAAGTGAAAACTGCTTCAATTCAGAAAAAATAAAATAACAGGAAGAAAAGCTTGATTTTCCCCTTTTATGATTCACATTTGGACTTGACGGTCTCAGCAAATTATAAATAACAAATCTAAAACCCATTCTAACAACTGAGCATATATATATATATATATATATGCTCGTTTGCAGTTATCAGTGAAAAGTCACTTTAATGACGCGGTGACGGTTTCATATCTAGATTATACTTCATATTATGAACAGAAGTGGATCAAAGTTACATGGATACAACATTGGTGGAATCTCCTCTTCCTTAAGATTGCAATATTACTTTTAGCTGAAGGTAATTATAAATTAGAAGTATTATACATTAACTGAGTTAATTTGAATTTAAAATAACCGGAAAATGTTCTTCTCTCAGCCTGAGATATATTCACATTTAAATTAAATGAAATGAAATGAAATAAGTTTATCTTCCTTATCTGTACTTTATACATTTTTCGGGTATTAAGGCTTTTATTGTTAAGCGCAGCAGGTTGCTAGGCAACGGGAGCAGCGGAGGTAAAGCTGATGACGCAAGCAGGACAGACCGTCCCCCTTCAGAGACCCCTCGGTTCAGCCAGACCAGGTAGACCAGAAGGCTGCTGAAGGGTACAAGGGTGCAGCCTAGCGGCTTTGAGACACTGCTCATGTGTGGGGAAAAGGGCAGGAAACTAAACAAAGACAGGAAGTAAAGTGTTTTTAGAGGTCAAAAGCATGAAACCTACGGTTGCTGCAGTGTCTTCGAGTGATCACAATCCGATTGTAAAACAACGTACACATTGTACCATAAATAATTCATACCATCCAATAACTCAAACATGAACTAAGAACCCTTTAATATCTCAAAGAACCAAAGGACAAACATCTAGAACCATCCAACAGACGGTTCATTGTGGTAGGTGAAAGTTAACCTGTCAAATTAGACCTCAGCCCCCAAAGGAGCTCGCTGTGATTGTTTGTGGCTACAAACTGTTTGTTAGAACATTGCATGCTGGGTGCTCAGGGGACAACTCTGGCCCCCAACAGTCCACTGGTTTCATCACTGTTGGGGCTCCAGTTGCCATGGCAGCCGCTAATAAGTGCTAATGTTTCTGAGACTAATGTGATCATTAAGGAAGTCCGTGAGCAGCTCAATAACAAAACACTTAATAAGTGATAATTAGGCCTCTGGGAGCTTGGAGGAGGTGATAATGTTCATCAGACCGCTTTCAGGTGCTAATGAGGGCTGCTGGGATCAGGTGATCTGAGGTAGTAACAAGGAGACACAAACAGGCTATTGGTTAGTAGGTCTCATTTCCATCAAGTCCGGAGTACCAAACTTGTTCAGCTGGAGTAATCAGTAAGTTCAATATGGCCGAGTCATGTTGGGTTTAAAAATTCCTTTTTTTTGTTCATAAAGAACATTTTTAACAAAGGTTCTGTAGACAATCGCTTTTCGTTAAAAAAAGAAAATTAAAAAATAAAGTGCACTAGCGGACAAGTGAGAAAGTGGCAGGGAAATGACATGTGCAGTGTGAAGCAGAGTGACCGGTGGGATGTCAGAGTCAGCCAGTGGGGGACCGGCTCTGTTGATGAGCCCGACTGCCGACGGAAAGAAACTGTTGGTGTGGCGGGAGGTCTTAGTCGTGATGGACCTCAGCCTCCTGCCAGATGGAAGGGGCTCAAAGAGTCTGTGACCAGGGTGAGAGGGGTCGGCTACCATCTTTCCTGCTCGCCTCAGGGTCCTGGAGGCAAACAAGTCCTGCAGGGACGGCAGATTGCAGCCGATCAGCCTCTCTGCAGAGCGGAGGACACGCTGCAGCCTGCCCTTGTCCTTGGCTGTGGCTGCAGCGTACCAGACGCTGATGGAGGAGCAGAGGATGGACTCCATGATGGCCGTGTAGAAGTGGACCTCCTTTACTTTTTAAACGTAAACCGTCAGAAGCACTTTTCTCCTGTTTCCAGTCTTAATGCTAAGCTAGGCCAAACAAACTCTGACCAAAGACCAAAAACAACTTAAACTGAAGCAAAAAGGTATCAGGGTCTCAAAGGCCAAAACAATAAACAAAAAGCCCACTTTAGCTGGAAAACAAAGTCTTTCTGGCCTGCTGCATGAAAAGGAAAAACAATACCGACCTCCCTGTCTATCCAGGAGAAAAACAGAACAGGAGAAAAGAATAGAAACAGAAATGGCAGAGAACCTTCACACATCGATAGTCGGCCCTGAGCCACTAAACCCAGAAGGTCTGCTGGTTCTCAGGAAGAACCGAAGAGAAAAACCAACCAGCGAGAACACTGGCTCAGGGGTCCTTATCCAGCCCAACAATCGCCTGATGTCTCTATAGCTGGAAATACTAGCAGTACTAGTAATATTAGTTGTGGTTTAAAATTCGCCTCATTCGCGACCAGACGCGTCTGTGCGTGGACTTTACACGGAATCTACTCGCTTGCTTTTGGTGTGAAAGCAGCATAAGATCCGGTCCTGTTAGACTGCAGTAATCAGCTGTGTCTGAGTTACCACAGTAACATTAACAAGCTGCTCAAAAAACTAATGAAACATAATCAATGATTATGAAAAACGTAAAATAGATATCAACGAGCTGTTTTAAAAAAAATAGTTTAGACTTTTGTCAACATTTCAAAGTTTAAATGTTGTTCATAGCTGAAAGATTGGCAAAGCAGAAAAATGTGAAAGTTGATGAAGTTTAAGAGGATTTGAGAATCAACTCCATTGGAAAACCATGTTAGAAAAAGTTAAGAATTTGATTTATATAATTTCAAGCATAAGAGGTAGAAAGCTGAACGGTCATAGCCCCCCTCTCCTGAAGGAGCTGGATATTTTAATATTCGAACGGTTTTAATAGCTGAATATACAATTTAATATGGTACAAAAACACAATGGAAAGGTGATTGATTTACCAAATGTTACATCCAATTATTCAACTCATGTGTTATTTCAGAAGCATACATCTGTGGTCAAAAATAGAAAAGCTGTTTGCTCTTTAAACTGTTAATGTTAAAATGCCATCTCCCCCCATGGGAGCCACGAAGCAGCTTGTTGGTTGAGTTGGGCAGGCGTTGGGGGGTAAACAGGAGCCTCTCTTATGGTACCAATTAAGAAACTGTCACTGTAACAACAACAACAAACACTGGTGAGGTAATAACAGCATAGACAGGCCTACCGGCTCAGACCACACCAAGCATCATTTCATATCCAGTCTAATGTCACTTAAAGTTCATAACGTTAATTGCATTTATTTCCACATTCAAAGCTCCTTCAATGTCAATTTTGTTCACAAAGCCGACCACTCAAAACAAAAATCAAGGTGTAAAAGCTTGGAAGTTGTTGTTAACTTCTGAGGAGTTCATGAAGTAATTTGGAACCATTTTCTCTTCTCTCCTCTCGTCTTTAAAATCTGTATAGCGAACCCAAAAGTGTCACCTAACATGACATGGAAGAAACTTAACGTTAGCCTCATTAGTTAAAAACTAACGTTACTGACATTGAGTAATGTTGCTTAATGTTAGCCTTATGCACTCAAAGTTAGAAGCTAGTATTATTAACAGTGTATAATACATTTTAGCGTTAGCTTCGTGAACACTAAGTCAGAAGCTAATGTTACTGATATTGAGTAATGTTGCTTAACATTTGCCTTGCGAACTTTGATAATTTGAGAATTTTGGGGTCTCGCATTTGGGTATCAGGAATCAGGAAACATTTATTGCCAAAATTTGTCAAACATACAAGGAATTTGTCTTGGCGGTTAGTGCGTGACAGTAGACAGTGTAATAATAGACAACAAGACAGCAGTGCACAAGTAATAAAATAAAATGCTAATGCAATGGGGTAGTAGAATAAGGCTATGGGTTAGTATAAAACAAGAGAATAAAGTTAAAGTTAAAAATTAAAAATATTTAAAAAGTTTTAAAAAATATTTAAAAATAAAGTGCACTCGCGGACAAGTGACAAAGTGACGAGTGACGACAAAGTGACAGTTAAAGTGACATGTGCAGTGTGAAGGGGAGTGACCGGTGGGATGTCAGAGTCAGTCAGTGGGGGACCGGCTCTGTTGATGAGCCTGACTGCCGATGGTGAGAAACTGTTGGTGTGGCGGGAGGTCTTAGTCGTGATGGACCTCAGCCTCCTGCCAGATGGAAGGGGCACAAAGAGTCTGTGACCAGGGTGAGAGGGGTCGGCCACGATCTTTTTAGCTCGCTTCAGAGACCTGGAAGCGAACAAGTCCTGCAGGGACGGCAGGTTGCAGCCGATCAGCCTCTCTGCAGAGCGGAGGACACGCTGCAGCCTGCCCTTGTCCTTGGCTGTGGCTGCAGCGTACCAGACGGTGATGGAGGAGCAGAGGATGGACTCCATGATGGCCGTGTAGAAGTGGACCATCATTGTCTTTGGCAGGTTGAGTTTCTTCAGCTGCCTCAGGAAGAACAACCTTTGCTGAGCCTTCTTGGTGATGGAGCTGATGTTCAGCTCCCACTTGAGGTCCTGGGTGATGATGGAGCCCAGGAAACGGAAAGAGTCCACAATAGTGACGGGGGAGTCACACAGGGTGATGGGGGAGGGTGGGGCTCTGTTCCTCCTGAAATCCACAACCATCTCCACTGTCTTTAGAGCGTTGAGCTCCAGGTTGTTGTGGCTGCACCACGACACCAGATGGTCAGACTGTAGGCGGAAGATAGCAGGAAAGTTGGAAGTAACTCCGCTGGAGTTGTTCCACGGATGTTCAAGAGCTCATCTCTGGTGAAAGAGCTCCGGGAATCGCAGAAGGAAACGTAATTAACAACAAAAACAACAAAAAATGAAGTGCACCGAAGCACCGTGGCAGCCATCATCGGCGCCATCTTGGATCGAGAAATGTCTCTATAGCGCCCCCCTATAGGGCCACACTAGGCCAGATTGCCCGACTTGAAATTTGGCACACATGTGCTCTTGGACATGCTCTACAAAAAAGTCAATCATGGTATGCAAATGGACTTAACTACATTTTCTGCCATTTTGAATTTTGTGAAAAACACGTTTTTGGCCATTTCTCCTAAACGCTATGTCCGAGTGTCACAACATTTTCTGTTAATCCTTATTGGATCTATCCCCCTTGAGCCATAAACATGTTGATATATCATTGGGGAAGATATGGGCTAATGAACTTAGTGCAAGGGGTGTGGTTAATCTGGCAAGACACACAATTTAAGAATGAATTGGCCTGCCCTCACCAATATTGTAACATATGTAAACTTTGAACCCCTGAACACACACTAAATGCGGGTCAACTAGTAGATTTACCAGCCAAAGGGGGGTTAGAGACACACCAACACTATTCAACATACACACTCTGTTCGCTGATGTTTACGTTAAGTCAGGAGTCTGGACATCGGATGTGACCGGATCTTTAGATGCGGGAGGTGGAAGGTCCTCCTCTACGCCAGTTTAGGGCCAATAGAAATCTTTCCTTCTCTGTCTTTCAAGGGTCATAAAACATGATGTTCTTGCTGATGTTAGTTGGTTGTTCTTCCGGCCTGTGTGCTGCCTGAACTGCTCCTGCCTTTGCAAATACTTGACCTGTGATCTGACAAATAAATCTCCCAGAACTTTTGATAACCCCGACCAGGCTCCAATTCTTGAACAGGTATTCTTACAGAGTAGCGTCCAACGCTGCTCGCAGCTTTAATTATTGATTGTTTTTATTCAACAACTGTACATGAAAAGGTTTGAACAGGTCAATCAATAGATAAAATCAGTTTGATCACAAAGTCAAAATGTTCTAAATAAATAACAATCAGAGAATCTTTGGCTATGTTCAGATTGCAGACAAAAGCTACCCGAATCCATACGTGACTCATATCTTTTTTTCTATCATCATTGAAGTGAATCATGTCATAGGGACCTCTGACCCAAGGTCTGTCAGCAAAATAACGCCAAATGAATGGTTCAAATAAAATCAAAAGATGTTGATTCTAGAAACCAGAAAGGTGATTCACAGTATGAAATGAAAAAATAGGAAACCAGAAATCCGGTAGTGGGTTTCGTTTGCGTAGGTATGAAGATTCTAAAAATCCCCGAGCTGAACGGGGCTGAACTAGACAACGACACATCTCCAAAGAGGGGTCTTAAAATATAATCTATATAATTATATAATCAAAGTATTTCTCTACTAAGAAAAACCTTTTAGAGCCAGGAATGCTGTTAACATTCTGTTTTCTCACACCGTCTGTAGTTTATTACCACTAAAAGAAGACTTGTATATCGACGCTTTATGGGCGCTTTTATTGGTGGTCACTGGCACATATATAAATGTACATTCACATTTAGATATAGAATATAATATTTATACATAAACATAGCATACTTGTGTGCATAACATCTTTCAGATCAGTAGTTGCAGCTCTGTCATGCACTCACAACGGGTCCCCAGTGTACAAAGACAAGACGGTGTGGGTAGGAAGGAATAAGGGAATTACATTTAATTCTTTTTTGTTAACATATACATCAAACGTTATTAAGCTCAAAACATTTTTTAAACACAACTAAGAACTTCAGGTTGTGTTTGATGTTGTAAAACTTTGGTCATCAACTTTAAACCTCACGGCATGACCTGTTTGGACGGGAACAATTTAGACAAGGCTTTACCGATTTCTGCAGACTGCATGCCATAGATGATGGGGTTCAAGCTACCAGGGACGATAAGAAACAAGATGGCAGAAAGCTTCCTGTAGTCTGAGTACTGAGGGAAACGATGCAGAACAATAATACACATTCCACTGATCAACATGATCAGGTACACAACCAGGTGAGTGCTGCAGGTCTTCAGGGCTTTACTGTTCAGAGACTTGCTGTTACTAGTGAGACACACGACTGTGATCTTTGTATAGGTGATAACCATGCTGCCGATAGAACCTGTGAACAGAACTACAGTGAAGGTGAGTCCGTAGATATTATTAATCAACACACTCTCACAGGACAGCTTAAACAGCGAGGCGTTGTCACAGTAGGGATTTGTGATTAGAGTCCTACATCGGTTCAGACGGAGGGTCAGACCAAGTAGAATCCCGACCAAAACAAGAGCCACTCCCCAGGCCGACGCCGTCAGCTTCATCACCATCTTGTTTGTCATTATCATATTATATTGCAGAGGATAACAGATGGCCACATATCTGTCAAAGGCCATAATCATCAGCACGGTGTGAGCAGTGGTACCAGACATGTGAGTGGTGAAAGCTTGGACCACGCATTCGTAATAACTGATGAAGAGCTCAGAGCGAGGCCTTAACATGTCCAAAAGCAAACGAGGCAGCAGGATAGAATTACCGAGCAGGTCGTTCAACGGCAGGTTGCAGAACAGGAGATACATGGGCTGGTGAAGGCTCTTGTCCAACAAAATGACAGCAGCAATGCCGACATTCATGAGCATTATAAAGATATATGAGAGCAAGAGGAAGATAAAGGCCGGGTAGAAGTAACTCTTCCAGACATTCAGCCCCTCCAGCCGCAGCGTCAAGCTGTTAAATGTGTCGTTTTCCATCAACCTGCAATAACGTCAATAACACACACAAGCGATACACAGTTATTACTAGAAAATGCAGTTCAACAAAGGATTGGAGCAACACAAATAAAAGGCAAGGTTAAAGATGATAGAACATAAACGGCCACAGAAGCTTGTTGGGAGTCTTCTGGTTCATCAGTCTTTAGGATTTTCTTTCACACCCACTGAAGGTCTGGTCCTCACTTTATTATAGTCACAGCTTGATGCTCAGGGGAAAGTTTGTTATGACGTGAGGATTCACCAGCAGCCTTGTTATGCTCATATGATGGAGCGTGATTAACAGTGGTACTCTTTATCTATACATTCATCATCCTTTCATTTGTACGCTTCCTAAAGGCTTATTTCCTCTTTCCTTCACTGTGACTTCAGCCAACGGCTGTGATGTCTGCAGCTCATCTAAGCGACACTTGATTTGTTGTGGTCTTAGTTAGTAGACCGCCGGTCTGGCATTGTGTAATAATGTTACTTTTGTATAAAGTTGCACAATTCTACAGTCAACCAAGTTAACCAAGTTGTTCTAAACAAATACTTTATTTATTCAGAATCCGTGCATTAGCCTCGTCATAGCAAAGCTAGAAGCTAGTATGACTTATGTCATCTCATCTTCATCCAGCAGTTGACCCCAAACTGGGTCCCGTGTCTGGGCCTCTTCCCTCTTCCAAGCTGGTCGTTCCTGGAACACCTCCCTGGGAGGCGCCCACTGCGAGACACCAACCACCTTCTTGAGGAAACCCATTTCAGCCGCTCGTATCCGTAACGCGCTCAGGAGCTCTCGTTTTGTTGGGTTGCGATAAAGCGAGTGCAATGCCGTCCCCCTGCCGAAAACTACTCTTGGCAGCTGAGCTCTCGCTTTGGGCGTACAGGGATTGGATGTCTCCACGTAGGGACCCCCTCACCCCGCACTCCCGCAGCACCTCCCAAAAAACATAGAAAGTTAACACCTCGGCTAAAAAGTTAAGACCTCGGCCGAGGATTCGCAGGCTTCCCCGATCCACAGACCACAGCGAGTCCTTTGACTACGATGTAGTTGACCGTCTACCGGTTTCACCCACCAATCCTGAACCAGGCGACACACACGCACAATGGACAATGAAAAAGTGTGCTATCTATCCTATTGGTCTATCAAAGTTCTTGCGTGGTGATTGGGTTAAAGTTTGTGCCGTCGGCCGTGTCCACGCCTCTGACCACAGGAGGTCTTCAGGTGCTTTTAAGGTGGCTGGGTATTTGGAGTTTTCCATAGGTAAAGTGGTGCAATGAGTATTACACTGAATGCCGCGTTCCATGTAACTCGGATTTCGAATGTTTCTCAGTTAATATCAATTTTGGTGCTGTCAAGTATTACATACATGCATTTCTATTGATCGCATTACATTGAATACAATCATAGCTGCACATTGGTATTCTTCTATTGATTACAGTGGTTTTACAATATTCGCATTACTTTATTGAATACATAGTTCCAGAATCATGGCTGTATTCTGGTGTACAATAAATCCATTTTTACTAATAGTTCATTTGTGAACCGGGTCGTCACTTTATTGCTAATATCCTACAATAGATAGGCCTAATAAACAGTTAAAAACGTCAGTATGTTTAAAATAGCTGTTTCCTGTTTTTACAATCATTATTTCGAAGAACCTTTTTTTAATATAGGTTCCTCAACTGACCTTTTTTTTAAGGTTCTCTGAGCTGTTCCCTGTGAAAAAGAATCAGTAATCGGCCAGCTAGTAGCAGCAGCGGTAACCGAACGAAAGTGCTGCATGCCGTCTGCACAAAACAACGAGCCTCTCATCTGTCAGAAGCGAGGAAAACCAACCGTTCCATACTGGTGATTCCCTGACTCCCATGACTCTCACTGATTCTGTGTGTGTGTTTTATTTTAAATGATTGCGTCCGTTAGTAAGGAAGAAGCGCTAGTTAGCATTAAGATTAGCTTCCGTTAGCTCCCGCGGTCGACCACGCATGCGCGACGTGATGTGATTTTTTCAATCGATGGCAGGCGATCTACTGGCACTGCCTTGGCGATCGACGTATCGGGCTCCCGTCTCGCTTCGTCTGGGCCAACTGTCCTAATATTCTACTTCTCTGGAGTTGTTTTTTAGAAGTAAGACATTCCGCATTCATTCATATCACACATGATGTAGTGAGTGAGATCTCATAAATGCTGTGTGAAGCACAACTGGGGATTTGAGCAATATTCTGCCTTTTAAGTAGAGTGGAAATCAAACGGAAAGCATTTTTATATTTATTGATTATTGGAATGGAATACACATATTTTTATTCATGTTGTAATTATTAAAATTTGTTCTAACTGAGAATGATAAACTACGAGTACAGCACACAATTATCTAGATATTGATTCATACATTCTCAATTGTTTCCTTGTCAGGACATTTGTCGACAGGCTTTGCAAACACAGGACAGCAATGAGCCAAAATACTATCTATGTAAACTCAGTAGGTTGTTTTTAGGGTTGACAACAACCAGAACTCGTAGTTATAGAGGTAATATCATGATGACCACAGACTGAGGAATGTAATATTCTTACTTTTAAATATGCAGAAATAATGTAAGTTGGTGTCGGGATCTCCGATCCCCCGAGTCGGTTGATGACAAGGATCGCAGCACGTTGATCAATTAAAGTCAAAAAGTTAACATTTATTTAGAACAGCTGCAAACCTTAAATCTTTCTGTCTTTGTACATCACGGTCAAATACAGACACTTGAGACACGGCTTTAGCACAGGACGGTGTTGTAACATACTTTACAGTTACATGCATCTCACATTGGCCAGTCGATTATTAGTAAAATGCTACCGTGGAATTGATGCTCAGTCCGATAACAAACTTGATGTTCCCAACAATTATTAATTAGCGCATTCTTTTCTATTTGGTACAATTTAATTAGTTGTATTGCTGTGATATCAGATGGTCATCAAATCTATATAGAAAAACCTTCTGAAGTAATGAAGTAGTCTTCATGGCGATGGCCAAACTGTCTTCGACTGAAAAGACTTTAGCAAAAATGTCCGTGTTTCTTTGGACTGTATACCATAGATGATGGGGTTGAGGGTCCCTGGAACTATGTGAAACAAAATGCTAGCAATCTTCCTGTAGTCTGAGTACTGAGGGAAACGATGCAGAACAATAATACACATTCCACTGATCAACATGATCAGGTACACAACCAGGTGAGTGCTGCAGGTCTTCAGGGCTTTACTGTTCAGAGACTTGCTGTTACTAGTGAGACACACGACTGTGATCTTTGTATAGGTGATAACCATGCTGCCGATAGAACCTGTGAACAGAACTACAGTGAAGGTGAGTCCGTAGATATTATTAATCAACACACTCTCACAGGACAGCTTAAACAGCGAGGCGTTGTCACAGTAGGGATTTGTGATTAGAGTCCTACATCGGTTCAGACGGAGGGTCAGACCAAGTAGATTCCCGACCAAACAAGAGCCACTCCCAGGCCGACGCCGTCAGCTTCATCACCATCTGTTTGTCATTATCATATATATTGCAGAGGATAACAGATGGCCACGTATCTGTCAAAGGCCCATAATCATCAGCACGGTGTGAGCAGTGGTACCAAACATGTGAGAGGTGAAAGCTTGGACCACGCATTCGTAATAACTGATGAAGAGCTCAGAGCGAGGCCTCAACATGTCCAAAAGCAAACGAGGCAGCAGGATAGAATTACCGAGCAGGTCGTTCAACGGCAGGTTGCAGAACAGGAGATACATGGGCTGGTGAAGGCTCTTGTCCAACAAAATAACAGCAGCAATGCTCACATTTGCAACAATTACAAACAAGTAGGAGAAGAGTAGAAAGAGGAACACGGGGTACGTAGAGTCCGTTGAGACATTTAACCCCTCCAGCTGCAGTGTGAGGCTGTTGTAAGTGTAGTTTTCCATCAACCTGAAAACACATAAACAGTTTAATGTAAATGTTATTTAAAGTTATTTAGGTATCAGGGATCATTTAAAGTCCCGGTATACAAGTAATCACATTATTATTAACATATATTAACACTTAGCTTCTCCCAGCTACTAGTACTACTTTTAAGTATACCACTATAAATATATTTTATGGTTTTTGTTTAAAATGTTTAACTTCACGACAGGGAAATTCATGGTTAGGGTTAGTAAGTTCATCGTGAAAGTAGAGACAAAGTATGAAATTAGTGAGAAGATCAGCATCATGATTACCTGCTATGAGCGTCTGCGCTTTGCATATCTTGGATTCTCTTTCTTTTTTCTCTCCGCTCGTTGCAGGTGATCTCAATCAGATCTCCTCTTTAGCAATGCTATATAGGAATTATTTTATCCCCAAGGGAGTAAATGTGATGCAAGAATATCAACAATTTAATTTCTCTCATCTCTGTTTGAAATTATCCAACTTCAAGCTTAAAGTTACGGAAAAAGAAATATATATAATATATTTTGTTTTAGATCTCGCATTGTAGATTCAATTCAATTGATTTTATTTTGTAAAGCTCAAAATCACACAAATTTACAATTTCCCTCAGAGGGCTTTACAATCTGTACACATGCGACATCCACTGTCCCGAAACGTTCACATCAGCACGGGAAGAACTCCCCAAAAAATGAAAAGGCCCTTCAACAAGGAAAATAAAAAGAACCCTCAGGGAGAACGTCAGTGGAACAGACAGACAGAATGGGTACAGAATGAATAATGCAAAAGATGTACCTTATCAGCCGGGCCATTGTAGGAGGAAGGAACAGGATTCAGACCATATTTCATGGAGACCTGTGGGGCGTAAAAGCACAAAAACTCTGTGGAAGAAAATGCATTGTTGACGTGGCCTTGTGATGTGACTGACTGGCAAAAACCATACAGGATGACAGCAACGGAGGTGTGCTCACTCTGGAACATGGCCACAGAGACTTAAGGCCAGTTAGACGATCCAGTAGACGATTACCTGCAGGTAGGTACGTTGGACGGCTCAACCGCAATTTCGGAGTATTGGAATAAATGATTACATGTCATGTAAGAAGAGGGGTGGCTGTGGTCCAAGATACCAGGTGGTTGGGTATCAATGGGAACAGGACAGATCACTGGTGCTCAGCATAGTCTGCAGACCCTTTTGGGAAGCTAACGTTGTTCAGAACCACCAAATTCAAGTGCAACCATGACCAATTTGGATGTTATATGATTTTATAAACCATATTCTAATCTCAGATATGTCATACATCATTTGCAAGACATCATATACAACCAACTGCCGGGGACAAATATCTGACATTTGGGTGAAATGTTGAGCATTAAAGGTCAATTGTGTCAGTTAGATTGTGTTATATTTTGGCATTTGGGGTCGTCACCAAGCATCTCGAACTATGCATGATTCCCTGATCAAATAGGTGGTATCACAGTAATAACTGACTGATAATTTGTATTAAAGGCTATACACACCTGTCAAAAAATGTCACATTTGCACGGTATATGCAAGGTTATGAAAAACCTTGAAAAGTCATGCGATTTTAATATGGTTATTTCCAGGCCTGGAAAAGTCCTTGAAAAAAATAATTTCCCCTAAGTTTTGGAAAAGTCATGGAAATATGACTCTTTTAAAATCATATGAATTATTACAGAATGACATGAACATATGAATATTCATTATATTATATTCATATGTTCATGTTATATGTTATGGGGAAACACTGTATTCTTGTTTTTAGCTTAAATTCTACATTTTCTCACTTTTTCATGTATACACCGAAATTTCACAAAATGTTTGGTCAAGGAAATTTGAGTTACAAGGTTAAGAACAAACCACAGCCGTTATTGTTGGAATGCATTGAGATGCATTCCAAGTATTGTTCTTCGAATCTTTATTGTTGGAATGCATTAACGATGCATTCCAAGTATTGTTCTTCGAATCTTTATTTCTTCATCTTCAACTTCTCCTTCTTCTATTTCTTCCGCGGCACCTTTCAACTCCTTCACACTTTCAGCTATTAAAACCGTTCAAATATTAAAATGTTCAGCTCCTTTCTGGCTTGAGGGCTATGTATGTTCAGCTTTCTACCTCTTAAGCTTGAATTTATATAAATCAATAATCATTAATATTTTAACATGGTTTTCAAATGGAGTTTGCTTTCCAAATCCTCTTCAACTTCTTCAACTTTCAGATTTTTCAGCTTCGCCAATCTTTCAGCTACAGACACCATTTCAACTCTCAAATGTTCACACAAGTCTCAACTATTTTATGAAAGAAACTGCATCTTGATATCTATTGTACTTTTTTCATAATCACTGATTATGTTTCACTAGTTTTTCGCTCCATTTCTGACTTTTACATGAGTGTGTATTGCGTCTGCTAGAGTGGAGAGCTCGCGGGCTAGAGGGTGAAGCAGCGCAGGAATCTGGTTAATTAAGTATGGAACTTCTGTCCTTGCAGCCAAAGTATACACCCTAGAGGCTTCATTTCTTCAGATTAATGAGGGTATGGTTGTGCTGATTGGATTAATGTGTTCATGGAATCCCAGAGTTTTTTAGTTTTGGCGCAAGGAGTGTTTGAGTGACACAACCTCTGCCAAAAGCCCCATAGGCTCCAATACAAATCTGCCGACATATTTCTCACAAAAATCCACAAGGTACACGTTTTGTCAACGGCCATAGGAGCCGTATTTATTACCGGACAGACATAAAAACACATCCACGCGTTCGGTAGAGTCTTGGGTCTCATAAAAACGCCGTATTTTTTAGATAGCTGTTATAGTTTTGCGCTGGTTCTCATTTGTTTGAGGTGTGGATTCTGTGTAACTTGCTGCCATGTCTCTGCCTTTTTGCAGCAGCTCGTTAATGATCACAGGTGCGTCGTTGCCGTGGCTTACTCGTACACGCTGCAGGATCTGTCTGTGGCTCAAAGCTGCTCCTATTGACCTGATTAGTGGAGTCACATGACGCAGCTATGCTTTCTGTCAACAGACCAATATGATAAAGACACTCGCCCCCCCTCCCCCCTCCACCCTGACCTCTTCTCACTGTTAATCATACAGTCTGTCTGTCTATTTCTCCTCCTCTCTCTCTCCCTCTATCTCTTCCTCACCACCCCTCCCTTCCTCACCCTCCCTCTCTCTATCTACACCCCCCCACCCCACCCAATCCAATAATTTCAAAATAAAAGCCCCATGGAGGGAATTTTTACTGTAATGTTTGTGATGAGGCCTATTAATTAAAAACTTCTTAGTTTGAATAACAAACATTCTGTCTCCCACTACGAATATTACTCGTACTTTTAGTACTACAACTGATACTTCTACTACCATACTACTAGTATTTCTACTGCTATTAATACTACAACTACTACTAACGTTATTACAAATACTACTATGGCTAATAGTGTTAGTATTACAGCTGTTTCTACTGCTATTGATAATAAACCGACTGCTACTGCTAGTACTACTAATACCAAAATTACAACTATAACTAAGACTACTACTAAAATTACTACAAACAATTTTAAACCTCTTTTTATTCATCTCAGCTTTTGTTATTTCTGTACTTTTTAAAATTCATTTAAGCTCCTGCAACTTCTGTCTTGCAATATTTCACATTTATTTCAGCTGTTTTCATTTCTGCTTTTTCAGCAAATCTATTGAAATTCCTTTCAGCTTCTCCCATTTCTGTATTTTCAGCTATTTCAAATTAATTTCAGCTTTTCAAATATCTGTCATTTCAGCAAATGTATTCAAATTCCCTTCAACTTTCTGTATTTTCAGCTATTTTTAAATATTCAGTGCAGCTTTCAGCTTTTTGCATTCCAACGCATTTTCAGCAGGAAATGCTTTTTCTAGTTATGTATTTCTGTCATTTTATTTGAATTCAGCGTTGCAGGTGTAAACACAGTTAAGTGAATAAACACAACTTACAGGAACAAGCTGTGTAAATGTTTTCTGTTGGCAAACCAAACTTTACGTTTTCTTTTACACAATTATATTGAACAATATTGTTGTGCTTATGATGGAAATTTCAATGTTGATCACTTTTTATCTAATAAATAATAAAGTTTAAATCTTAATTTAAAAAATAAAGCTGATAAATAATCCCCCAAAAATCAGTCAGTTTGCCTCAACAAACATTGCTTCTGGACTCGTGACAGGATTTACCATATACATGCTACCCCTAGGTTATACAACAACATAAGCTTCAATGTTACGCAGATGATAGACACCTTTGCATAAGCCTGGTACCTCCACCATTTCCTGCATCACGTGCCGTACCGACATTAGGAATTGGATGTCCAAGAATTTTCTGGAATTAAATGACTCCAAATGCAAGGCTGTTAGCTGATCTGTGCTCAGGGCTGTGCACGCGAGCGATAAACGTTCGGCATCAAGCGCCCAACCTGGACATTCTTTTTGACTCTGCGCTGTCCTTTGATGCTCAGGTTACCAGTTGTGCAGATTAGCTTCGCCTCTCACCTGCAGACCTGGAAAGAGTCATCCATGCACTCATCTTCTCCAGGCTGGACTATTGCAACGCAGGAAAAACATTTAGAGACTACAAATGAAACCACCCCGTTGACCATATTGTCCAATTATCTCTCTTTTTTGACCATGTGTTTTTATCCCTGTTTTAAATCTCTTCTAACAGCTCACTTTTACCAGCTGAGTTATTTGTATATATATGACAGATTTTATGTTATTTATTCTAAATGAAAGGCTGCTATTTACTTACTATTTAGAATTTTGCTGGTAACCGTATCATAGAAGAAATAACGTACTTCTTTATCTTCAATAATGTAACAGTTTGACAGCGTTGTTACGCCTGACGCGCAGCGGCCCCTCGAACTGTTACATTATTGGACGATAAAGTACAGCCTCTCGTACCTTATTGCTTAAATAATCCCCCCCTACTATACGATGCGTCTATAAAGCCTGCTGCAGGGCACCTCTTCACAGTGTGGGTGGACAGCACGCAGTGATTGGGAAGGCAAAGAGAAAAGATTAAGAAAAAAGCGACACTTCAAGATGGCATTAATCATCTACAAACAAATGTGATGATCAATTTAAAATCTATTATAGTAACTTTTGTATCGTTACGAATCTGATATTAACATCAATGCAGCATTCTTTGTGAATTTAACATAATTCCGTTTTTTCAGGTTGATGGAAAACTTCACCTTTAACAGCCCCACGCTTCAGCTGGAAGCTTTGAACATTTCAAAAGCATTTTTCTACCCTGTCTTTATCTTCTTGTTGTTCTCCTACCTGTTCATCATTATCGCAAATGTCGGTATTGCTGCTGTTATTTTGTTGGACAAGAGCCTTCACCAGCCCATGTATCTCCTGTTCTGCAACCTGCCGTTGAACGACCTGCTCGGTAATTCTATCCTGCTGCCTCGTTTGCTTTTGGACATGTTGAGGCCTCGCTCTGAGCTCTTCATCAGTTATTACGAATGCGTGGTCCAAGCTTTCACCACTCACGTGTTCGGCACCACCAGTAACACCGTGCTGATGATTATGGCCTTTGACAGATACGTGGCCATCTGTTATCCTCTGCAATATAATATGATAATGACAAACAAGATGGTGATGAAGCTGACGGCGTCGGCCTGGGGAGTGGCTCTTGTTTTGGTCGGGATTCTACTTGGTCTGACCCTCCGTCTGAACCGATGTAGGACTCTAATCACAAATCCCTACTGTGACAACGCCTCGCTGTTTAAGCTGTCCTGTGAGAGTGTGTTGATTAATAATATCTACGGACTCACCTTCACTGTAGTTCTGTTGACAGGTTCTATCGGCAGCATGGTTATCACCTATACAAAGATCACAGTCGTGTGTCTCACTAGTAACAGCAAGTCTCTGAACAGTAAAGCCCTGAAGACCTGCAGCACTCACCTGGTTGTGTTTCTTATTGTGGTTTTAAGCGCGCTATCAAACATAGTTCTGCATCGCTTCCCTCAGTACTCTGACTACAGAAAACTCAGCAGCATTTTGTTTCACATTGTCCCTGGCAGCCTCAACCCCATCATTTATGGAGTGCAGTCCAAAGAAGTACAACATTTTTTGTTCAAGTGGTTTCAGTCCAAGAAAGTTTTGCCATTATTATAAAGTTGATTTTGTCCGTAAGCATAACAAGTGCTGAATATGCGTATTCCTTATCTCTTGTGTATAAACCCACCTAATACTACTTCAATCGTATGTATTACTTTTGTGTCATAGAGATAGACTTATGCTGTAATATTGTTTGCTGTTCATTCATTTAAATGATAATGCACTTCTGCTCATCCTGAGGGGAGGTTTGAGGGGGGATCACTTATTAGTTTCTCTTCCTCCATTTTTCCCCTTTTGAAACTCTTCTTTAGAGGGGAGGTTCTTCTTTTTCCTTTCAGTCAAATCCATAGACAGATGATGCTGCAGCAATTAAAAGCACCGTGGTAAATTTGTGATTTGTGACATTAGGAAATTCCAATAAAATGTCATTGGAAAACGTCCAAACGTATGGACTTTTTGTTGTTGACTGAAACTTGGTCAGACCAAAACTGGACGGTCGCGCAAAATCTAACTTGTTGCTTTGAGTGCGTAGTGATGTGGAACGCTCAGGTCAATGTGAACAGGTACTGTTCATTATGGTTGAATAATGTACTCACTCTCAACCAATCATTCTGGCAATTGGACTGGAGATGCAGCTTCAGTTCTTCTGCTCCACATATCTGGAAGACTTAAATCCAGATTAAGGAGTTTTTCTGTTTTTTTTTCCTTTAATTCACCATTTCTGCATTTCAGAATTTTGGTACTCAAATGTATTAGCTCTTTAACGTTGTATTTTTGAAGGACTAGTTTTCTTTTATGTTTCAATCAATGTTCTTAACTGTTGGTAAATCTCCTTGCTTGTTTTAATGGTTGTATGTGAAGCACTTGTTGAAATGTGCTATACAAATAAAAGTCCCTGAGAGTCACAACAAAATGACCCAACTTTGAAAGGCAAGTTGTCAGGGATGCGGGGAGGCAGGACTCAAATGCAGATTTTTCGAAAGACAAAAAGACTTTAATAGTCATAAACTCCAACACAAAATGGCCGGGGGGCAAAAACGCAAACAGGTACCAGGGGAAAAAAGACAGGCAGGCAGGAACTAGAGACATCCAGGACATTCGACAACGACGCGACAAGTGACACAAGAGACACACGGCTTAAATACAGTAGGGAGGTGCAGGTGTTTGGACACAGGTGGAAACAATCAGAAAACCACAGGGGAAGACAGGACCCGGCAGGAAGTGAAGTTGCCCAGGGAGACAAGAGGCAGAAACTACAAAATAAGACAGGAAATAACCCACAGCGTGACACAAATGAATGTTAATGAATACCACATTTTATTATTGTAAGATATATGCACCACCATAACATTTTATGGTTCTTTCTTTATGATAATGATAATAATCATGATGCTTTGGTACTGCCTTCATCTGATTATTAGAATCCATTGACTCCTGTCGGAATGTACAGAAACACACAAAACCCTCTTTTATCAAACCAAGACTATTCCTCGTTTGTGTTATCACGCATGTGTCCCCTGATTGCAACCAGCCACCTCCCAACGAGACCTTCTCCAAACCTGTTTGGACGCGTTGTGGCTAAAAATGAACCGTTACTATGGTAACTGTAGGATATTAGAAATAAATTGACGACCCGGTTCATAAAATTAATAAAATGCATATAGTGTACACCAGAATACAGCCATGATTCTGAAACTGTGTAATCAATAAAGTAATGACAATATTGTAAAACCACTGTAATTCTGTAACTGTAATAGAGTAATACCAATGTACCGTCTTTGGTGATTGTATTTGATGTAATGTAATCAACTGGAATGCATGCATGTAATACTTGCACAACAACTGATATTGACTAAAACCGTGTTTCCACCGAGCGGGTCGGTACGGGTCGGGTCGGTACGGGTCGGGTCGGTACGGGTCGGGTCGGTACGGGTCGGGTCTGTTAACCATGATTTGGCGAGCGTTTCCACCGCCAACAGTACCCTTACTTGATAGGCGTGGTGTATTCCAGAAAGTAGTGATAACGTCACTTGATAGGCGTGGTACATGACGGAAAGTAGATTGACGTCATTCGATCGCGCGAACACTGAAAGCTAACTGCAAACAACAATGGAGGACGTGCAGCCGATCCTGTTCCTGCTTCTCCATATGTGGCTGTTTGTCACAAGGAGACGACACTCTTTGTTTGAGCAAAGGCTACATGCTGCAGGTGTGTTACGTGTGTTGTCTTTCCCCTTGCGGCACGCGCAAATAACGACACTCTCAACCAATCAACACTCTGCAGTGAGTCTAGCTCCGCCCTTTAGTACCAAACAACTGTGCCAGGTGCCCCAACGGAAGGGTACCCAAAGAGTGGGACGGTACGGTTTTGGTACCATTCTCAACTTTTGGCAGTGGAGACACAAATAAAAGGGTACCGACCCGACCCGACCCGTACCACTCGGTGGAAACACGCCATTAGGGCCATTCGAAATCCGAGTTACATTGAACTCACTAGAAGACTCCCAGAGGTGTGGACACTAACTTTCACACCTATAAGCATTTTTATAAATACCTGTAGGAACCATTGTTCTGGAGTTCGCTGGTGGAGGCGACAGACGGGGACTAGGGATGGTCAAAGGACTGACCTGGGGCCTGTTGGTTGCTGAGACCAGCGGCCCCTCAGCTGAGATGTTCTTTTTAACACAACGCCATCTCTTTTATTAAATACATTTGATTTAACCTTTTGATCTGCGATGCCCTCTGCCCGAATACAACATAACCCAAGGTGACGGCCCAATACAGGTTAAGACAGCAGACCACAAAGCCCAAATTCTCCCCTCACTTCCTGTCATCAATTAACGGTAAGCTATAATATGGAGGTATGAAATCAAACGTTCATTTGGAATAAGTAAAATTCTGTAAATAAATCTCTGAAGGCAGCAAAGCAAGGAGCTCAGGTCCAAACTACATAGTATTAGTAGTAGTAGTATATAGACAAATATTAATACTCTTCTTTGTATTCCAATGAAGTCTTTGTAAGATGCTGACGGGCAGGTTGCAGGGTGGGTAGGAGGGAGGGGGGGTGCTGACGTGTCAATGGCAAATCAGCAGTGAAAGGATTGGCTCTACTGATGGACGGCACAAAGTGAAGTTATTTAAAGCGAACACACACTCCCAACGAGTCACAGCATCATCACCTGTGTGGGGAAGACGGGAGGGAAAGGTACTCACAAACCTTCATGTCGCCGAGACAATTAGACCTCAGCTTTACTTTTTGTCAGTTTGATGAAATACTAAATTGTTGTAATGTTTTCTTGCAGGTACTATTGTGTGTACTATACTATTTGTTTTACTTGGTTAAGACTAACATCACAAACTCCTTTTGTCGCTGTTCTGAATTATTATCACTGTCCACAATAGCTGAACAGAAAGGGGGCTTGACAGCCTCTCCTTCTCCACAGATCAGGATGGAGAACATATCCGCGCTGACGCCTCTCAAGCAGCCCATCGTGTTCCACCTGGAGGGCTTCTACGTGCTGCCGGGCCACGGGCCCTTCTTCTTCTCCCTGCTGCTGCTCTACTACGCCGTGACACTGTGGGCCAACGGCAGCGTGCTGTGCGTCATCGTCACGGACCAGAACCTGCACCGGCCCATGTACGTGTTGGTCTGCAACCTGGCGGTGTGCGACCTGCTGGGGGCCACGGCGGTGGCGCCTCGCCTCATGATGCACTTCCTGACGGGCCAGAGGAAGATCGCCTACGTGCCGGCGTTGGCCCAGGCCTTCTCCGTGCACATGTACGGCGTCGCCGTGCAGACTGTTCTGGGCGTAATGGCCTATGACAGGTAGTTTGTTCCTCAGGTCCGCACGCCTAACCCTCCTCTCAAATATCCAGTCCGGATCTAAAGAGGAGAAAGGTCTCTGAGGACCTTCTCATTCATTGTGCTTCATCACTCAGTCATGTTTTATCCTTTGAGGGGGGCTGGAGTCGATCCCAGCTAACATTGGCTGAGCCATGTGAGCCGCTCATTACTGCAGTGGCTCTATGTGTGTGACTGTGGGCAAAGGTCACACTTCAAGGTTCAACGTTTTCTGTACAAGAAGATCGTGGTATTTTTCCTGCATACAGAAAAAACATCTGCAAATATTTAGTGAAGCTGAGATCCCGTTAACATGAACCGATGGAGGAAAAGGGGATGTTCTTTGACTCCCTCTGCAGGTACATTGCCGTGTGCGAACCTCTCCGGTATCACGCCATCATGACGGGGGCTCGGCTGCACTCCTGCCTGGCGCTGGCCTGGTCCGTCGCGGTGCTGCTCATCGCTCTGCTCTTCATCTTCCACATGAACTCCCCGCTGTGTGGCAACATCATCCAGCACGTCTACTGCAGCAACCGGGGCATCCTGAACCTGGCATGCGGCCCCACCCCCTTAAACAACATCTATGGTCAGTGCATCGCAGCAAACGCGTCTCCTGCTGTTTTCACGATTCTGAACCAGCAGAATAACGCCGTGTGCTCTGTATGTTTCTGCAGGTCTCTCCATGAGCTGGTCTTTGAATACCAGCATCTTCCTCATCATTTCTTTCTCCTACATCAGAATCCTTCATGCTTGTGTGAAACAGGGCGCGGCCGACAGCGGGATGCGCAGTAAGACCTTCCAGACGTGCGCTCCCCACCTCGTGGTTTATGTTCTCTACCAGATAGCTTCAGTGGTGATAATTGTAAGTTACCGGTTCCCCTCGCTCTCACAGAACATCAAGAAATTCTTAAGCATACTGTTTATCATTATTCCACCTCTCATAAACCCTCTGATATATGGACTGGTCAGTAAAGAGATCCGTGCAGGCATCATCAAGCATTTGACCTTTTTACATCCATCCAAGAGATGAGAGGCTTCACCCCTTTTCCTCATCATTGTTTGTAACCCATGTTAGTGACTTTTAAACTTTTAATGTCTTTAGCTACTAATAACATTAGTAACAACATACTGCATGTCATCTTTATTTTGATTAATCTGTGTTTTACAAATAAATGATTGACTGGTCAACAAGAATGTCTGTGATTATCTCGGCGTAGAGAAGAAAACTGATGCAGATGTAATCTGTGGATGGATGGTCTCCTCCTGGGACAGGACAACATACATTCTGTGTCTTTGGGTTAACAAATAAACAAATACAAATGCATTCGTTTAGAATATAAGGAAAAACACAAAGTCAAAAGTAAAGCTTGTACACAAACCAGTGTGTTGTTTAATCGTCAGATTATCACAACATTTAGAAATGATTCGGTTTGATTTGGGATGATGAGGACCAACCTCTGGTTGACAACAACACTCACTGACCCTAAAAAACAAATAATAAACAACGAGTAAGATTAGGTTCGACCAACGTGGATTAGTCCTGTTTGTGTTGGATCCTGTGTTTGTGTATCTGTGTTTTAATTATTGCTCTGTAATGAGTCCTGGAGGCCTCTGAGCCCCCTGGTGTCTCACTGACCAGCAGCTTAACAGAATAAGAGGCGTTCAGGGGGAAATGGAAAGGCGGCACTCGTTCTCTGGAGAGATGCGAGACTCCGGCCCACTTGGTTCTTTGACCCGCCGCGTGTTCTGGAAACAACGACCGTCGTCGTTGTCTAAAGTCAGAAATGTTGCGTATTGAAGGCAGAAGGTTTACAACCAAAGACGAACGTTGCGTTGACAGTGCAGATGGTCCCTGTGAACCCGGGGGGGGGACGGGGGGGATGGGGGGGGGGCAGTGACCAATGTTATCCACTGAGCGCTGGTAAACATCCCCGGGCCGCTCCCTCGGCCCCCGGGGGACTAATTACCTCCTGAAACTGTTAATAAGTCTTAATGATGAACCACCGGAGCCCAGGGACGCACCGGGAGCCCCGACGAGGGACATGTCCTGGAAGACAATCACGTGTGGTGCTTGCAGTGTGGGTTTGCGGGACCCTCGGGCCTGGGCGGTCCGGGGCAACGGGTCCTCGCACGATCTCCCTTGGTGGTCCTCGGAAGGGGGCCAGACCAAGACTGATTCAAGGACCCTATCAGAACCAGCCAGAAGAGGAGAACCAGGACCCCCCTCTGGAGCCCATCTGCGGGCGGCAGCTCACTGGAGATCTAAATACGATTTGCCTTTTTAAATCTGGATGAAATGTAGGGAGGGACCTTTTTAAACATCCTCAAACTGTCATCTTTTATAACGTACATACGTACGTACGTACGCGCCCGCTGGGGACCGAATGGAGCTTCATCTCAAAGGTCTTCAGCTCCATCTGCTGTTGTGGTTTTGCGGCTGCAGTGCACGGTCCCTCCGGGGCGCCGGTTCTGACCCGATCTGAAGCTCAGTGAGCTGCTCGTCTGCCCAGAAGGTGTCCGGATGTGAGGAAACGTGTGTTGACTGATCAAGTTTTTAGACTTTAACAAAACTTAAAATCCATTTGTAATTCGGTTGAGAGCTGTAAGGTTTTGTATTTAAGGTATTGTTGCACTTTATTGTGTAACACTGATCCATTAAAAGCATGAAAAAGTTTCAGATATTTCATCATTAAATAAAAACTCTCCAGGTTCCCCCTCCTCTCCAACTAAAATGCCAACAACGCAATCATAATATAAATAATTATAATAATAATAAGTCTTGAGTCAGAATTTTAGCCTTCATAAAAAACACCAAATTCTTTTGAATGAACAAAGATGTTTAAAAGTTTTTAATGTATTTTATGGAGTCAACAATGTGTAAATATGTCTTCATAAGCACACAAACAGGATATATAACAAATACTTACAGTGAAAAATGACATTACAAGATTAAGAACACTGCAAAAAGTGACTCGAGAATCCTTTTTTATTTTGGAAACAGGCGTGAAAAGTTTAATTCAATTTATTTTCTCACTTTAAAAAAAACATAAATCTGGATATTACATAATTGTGACTAAAGTTATGTAACATTTGTGATCATAAATCTTCCCGCAAGGCAACACAAGTTTGAAATTTCGCCTTCATTCATTGTTTTTGTTGAAATAAATTCCCAAATCGTATTTGGAAGAGTTGCATTAAAGGAATAGAGAAGAAAATGGAATCCCATTTTCACTACGTATGCATTTTACTGTTAAAAAGTGTTGTGTAGATAGTAAGAGTTGTGTGTGCGTTCATTCTTGTAAGCAAACACATTTCTTTCAGTTTTGATCATCACAAACAGATTTAGGTTTAACATTTAATTCAACTTTAAACCAGCAGCTCAATGTTGATTTGAGGAAAGATGGAGAACTTTCATTTTAAACATTAAACTTATAAAATATTGACTTCATCCCCAGAGATCTTCTCTGCTGGACTGAACAAAATCACAAGGTTTCAGCTCTTTTATCATCCTTAGTTTTTTTGGTAAATACACTTTGTGTATTGTAATAATTGTTCCCATTAGCCGGTTTTCTCATTGAACAACTTCACATCTCAGTATTCAGGATGAACTTTAATAAGCTTTAGTGTCATAAATCTGCAGTAGCGTGTGTTGTGTTGTTTTATTGAACAGCGCACACGTTCCTTCTGGTTAAATTACATTGGAATGGCTCGTGCTCTCGGGGACTTTATGGTTCTGTTGTAAATAAATGTGACGGGTTCTTGTGAGTTTGCTCTTGTCAGTGAGTTATTACATTATTTGAATATATGCATCGTGCGTTGATGACCAGCAGCCCGTCTTCATGTGTCTGCTGCACAGCTTCACTCTCAATGCTACCGTGTTGTGTGAATACGCCGTCATGAGTTATTCTGATGTTCATCTGTAGGAAGACGGCACAGAAGGAAGTACATGTTTATGCCAGCAAAGGATCGAAGGGTTCTGAGTGGAACCTCACTTCCTTTTGGAGAACCATTTAGGGTCCCTTATTTTTCTTGGTCTTGGTAACAAACTGTTCTTTTGTTTTCTAATTACATCATTTTACTTCTATCTGACCACACGATCAAATGTCAGAGGGACGTCATGAACAGCTTCATAACGCTGAGGAAACGCTGGAAATCATCACATGAAGATAAAACAGCACAAGGAAACGGTTAAAAGATCAAAACTTCTTCTTCATTCACGACAAAAAAAAGAAAGCCTCAAACGACCTTTTTACCCACGACCTTCTCTCGGCCGGACCTCCTTCAAATAGCTTTTCCCAGGATGAGGATGCTCATGAAGAAGACCATGACGAAGAAGAGCCACATGAAGAAGCGATCCATGACCTTGGCGACCTTCCTCCACTCGCCGACCCTCAGCTGGCCGGCCCGCTGGTCCTGGTACGAGTTGGCAATGTACTCCACGTTCCTGCACAGCCCCAGGTGCTGACACGGCGTCCTCACCGGGACCTCCTCACCGGGACCTCCCACCTCTCCTCCCAGGCCTTTCTTCTCACCTCCTCCTCCAGCGGCTCCTTCCTGCTCTGAGTCGTCGACGGTCACAAACATGTCCTCCTTCCAGTCCGTCTGGGTGGTCAGATCCCGCCTGAGCTTCGCTGACTCTCCATCTCCTTCCTCCTCCACCAGCCTCCCCGCCCACACCTGCCCGTTCACGTCCCAGCTCCGCCGCTTGGCGTCCGGTTGGGGAGGAGGAGGCCGCTGCTTGGCGGCGGCACCCAGGCAGTTCTCTCCGGCCTCGTAAACGAAGCAGACGCGAGCCAGGTAGTTGAGGATGAAGCGCTCGGCCCAAGAGGGCACCGGCCGAGCCTCCGGGCCGCAGTGGTGGATGTTCATGATGAAGATGGTGAGCGCGGTGGACGCCGTGACCATCGTCATGGTTGCGATGTAGTACTTCCCTGTTGGTCAGAGGTCACAGAGTTAAATCAGGAGGCTTCTGATAACATCTGTTCATGGTCATCATTGATTATACGACATCTATTTGGGATTCGTCTCCTTGAACCTTTAGTCAGATGGAAGCAGCTCAACTAGCTGAAGCTTATTAAAGGATTTAATAACAGTTTCAACATTGTTGGTTGTTTTCAATGTTTTCAACAAACAAAAAGGTGGAAGAACTGCTTCAGTGGCAACGTTCTCTTCACTGCAAAAAAAAGGTTCTAATTTTATGGGATTTTTTTTTTCCTGTTTTTTAAAATGACGTACAAAACTGTGTGATGTCCTGTAACGGCACCGGTGTCATACTGAGATCATCTCATCTTCTACGCAGGTAGCTACGCTTAATGCGTTTGGATTGGAATGAGAGGAACAAATTGTCAATGAACTTTACAGTTCTCAGGAATCTCACAGATTTAGAAATAGTTCTAAAAGAAGAGCCGGTCTCTGAAAGGTTCATAGACTCAACATTTGAGTTTCCAAAGATCTCGTCACTACTTTACAGGATCTCTTACATGTAGCACAAGCATCACGACCACGGCGGCTTAACTTTGGTTTATCTACTTAGATTAGATTAGATTAGATTCAACTTGCACTATTGGGCAAATACCAGACATTTCTGTCTGTGAGAAATGAAAAATGTTAAACCCCTCCTGACTTTCCCTTTTCACCATGTTGTCCAATCACAGTGGCGGATAAATGTCACACCTCCAAAGTGCAATTTCTCAACTTGGTATTCTTGAAAAATACTTTGATGGACTCGGCTTAACAAAACTGGATTTGGCTTTCTCACCGATCAGCGGCACGCTCTCGGAGGGCGGCATGCTCTCAGCCACCAACAGCTGGAACACGGTGAGGGCCAGGAGCACCGTGACGCCGAGGGAAACCTTCTCGCCGGAGTCTGCCGGCAGGTAGAAACCCAGCGGAGCCAGGAAGGAAATCATCATGCAGGGGATTAGGAGGTTGAAGATATAGAAGGAGGCCCGTCTCTTCAGATGGAGGCTGAAGGTGATGTCTGGGTATGGATCCGAGCAGCAGCCGTACAGGATGACGTTCTTCTTCGCTGGCATTCCCAGAACCTGGATGCAGTACAGAAACAGGTTGATTTACAATGAGACAAGAAGTCTCTCTTTGGAGCAGGTGAACTGCGTGCCCACTCACCTCCCACTCCACGTTGGGGACGAAATCGGCCAAGTCGGCGCTGTCCAAAGCGTTGAACAAGTCCATCTGGTTCCCGTTGTGAGTCCAGGAGCCGAAGGTCAAGTGGCACTGCTGCAGGTCGAAGGGGAAGAAGGCCACGTCCACGGAGCAGGAGCTCTTGGTGATGGCCGGCTGGTCCCACATGACCTGGCCGTCGTTGCGGAGAACCACGTTGGTCTCCATGGAGCTAGAGAACTCGTCGTCAGCACTATGGGGGCGGAGGAAGGATCGGGATCAGAGCAGATCAGATCAGTGCTCAGGAACGACTTCCCCGCAGACTCACCTGTTGTACAGCACGATGTCCGGTCTCCAAACGTAGCTGCTGGGTATGCGGATGGTGTCCAGTCCGTCGTAGTCCTCCTTCTTCCAAGTGAGGTAGGCGTCCATCCACACCTGGCGGATCCACAGGTACGTGGTCAGGATCTGGTTCCGCTCATCCTGGAGAAAGGACACGTTAATGCTGGTTCCACGTACATCCCGCCCAAACATCTGGAGCAGGTGTGATTTACCATGTCGATGATCTGGGAGAGCGTGATCTGCAGCGTCACGTTGATGATGTGGTCCGTGTCCTCCACCGGCCGCAGAGCACTGGTGTAGTTGGTGAACAAGTCGCTCATCAGCTTCTGGGCGTAGCGACCATGAGCGGCGAGGCAGCCTACAGCGTGCAGCAGGAAGAGAGACCCTCAGCCAAGCGAGCAGGTATTTACACTAACGCCTGTTTCATAAAGGTGGTCTGTCAACTACGGTTAGATTTCTGTTAGATGAACGTATAACGCTGCTGCTCCCCAGAGGATCAAAGGTTGTTCCCTGGTGGTGAGACTCCTATTGTCAAATGAAGCATGAAGCTGGTGGTGGAAAATCCTACTTTCTAACCTGAACTGCTGGTGACCAGATGGAACCAGACAGATTATCCTGAATGTGAAGAAGTCCTCGTCTCACTTGTTCATTTGTACGTCTCACATCTGAAGCTTCAATGCACACACACACTGTTACACACACACACACACACTGTTACACACACACACTGTTACACACACACACTGTTACACACACACACACACACTGTTACACACACACCGTTACACACACACACACACACACACACACTGTTACACACACACACACTGTTACACACACACACACACCGTTACACACACACACTGTTACACACACACACACTGTTACACACACACAGTTACACACACACACACACACACACACACTGTTACACACACACACACTGTTACACACACACACACACACACTGTTACACACACACACACTGTTACACACACACACCGTTACACACACACACTGTTACACACACACACACACACACACACACACACACTCCTCCCCGATCGATTAGGCGGAGGTCCGGCTCGTCTCTGGTGGTGCTGACGGAGGCCTCAGGCTGCTCCATCGTGTCTTATAATCATCGCTGATGAAGGAGGCGTTTATCTATTTGTAGCACTGTGGGATATTTGGTTGTGTCCTTTCATGGTGTTTATTATCATGGTTTAAAGTGTGCTGCATGTTGTTATAAGCTGTAATTAATGTGTTCATGTGTAATAATTGTATTAGTTAAAGGGATGAGACTCCAATCAGAGAGAGAGGGAGGAACATGGCGGCAAATCACTGCCACAATTCGAGAGCGCAAATCATTACCGGCACATTAAGAGCGATGCGTCCAGCTCGCAGACCGGTCCGTCAGTCCGAATCTGTGAATATCGTGCCAACTTTCAATACGGATCGATTTTTTGAAAATCGAAATAATGAGAAAAGATGTGCGCAGACTCCTTCATAGTTCGGTAAAATTGGCAAGATATTCAGATTGAGACTGACGGACCGGTCTGAGAGCTGGACGCATCGCTCTTAATGTGCCGGTAATGATGGAAGATGATGGTTCCTCCTCACTGAGAGCAAAACACTCGACTAGATCTCCACTCTTTGCTGTCCTGCTCCTAAATTACATTACATTACATTACATTACATGTCATTTAGCTGACGCTTTTATCCAAAGCGACGTACAATAAGTGCATTCAACCATAGGGTACAAACTCAGGAGAACAAGAAACAAGAAAGTGCAATTTCCTCAAATAAGCCAATTTACAATTTGCTATAGATGAGTGACGTTACAAGTACAATTTAAGTGCTACAATTTGTTAGTCTTTAGTCGAGGTAGAGTCTGAAGAGGTGTGTCTTTAGTTTGTGGCGGAAGATGTGAAGGCTCTCTGCGGTCCTGATGTCTTCAGAGAGCTCGTTCCACCATTTCGGCGCAAGGACAGCGAAGAGTCGAGACCTAGTCGAGTGTTTTGCTCTCAGTGAGGGAGGGACGAGTAGTTTTGCAGATGCAGAGCGGAGAGTGCTGGTTGGGATGTAGGGTTTGACCATGTCCTGGATGTAAGCTGGACCCCATCCATTCACAGCATGGTACGTGAGCACCAATGTTTTGAACTGGATGCGGGCAGCCACCGGTAGCCAGTGAAGAATGGTGGAAGGAGGTCTCTGAAGACATCAGGACCACAGAGAGCCCCCTTCAGGCGCGAGTAAAGGGGGCGAAGATTCGCTTCGCTTTTGCTGTGAAAGCAGCATAACAAACTGTAGCACTTAAATTGTACTTTTAATGGCTCTTATCTAAAGAAAATGTAACTTGGCTTATTTGATGAAATCACACTTTGTTGCCCCCCTCACACACACATGGAGGATTCAGGCAGGAGGAGTCGGATCAGCGACCTTCAGATGACGTGGACATATGAGGCCTACTGCAGTGTGAGTGTCAGATGAAGATGGAGAGCCAGGAGGACATGATGGCAGCATCTGTAATTCATAACCATATAAGTATAAACAGTGAAACAACATCGACTGTTTACGACCACTGAGACTTCATCAGGAATGAGGAGGAGCCGCCAGGAACCTTCCTAGAAGGTCACAAGGAAATAAGGAGCTGGCCGTCGCTGTAGTGCATTCTGTCCAATGCAGAAGATAAAAGAATAAGATCCTGAGTTCTGACTAAAGGCTTTTGTTCGACGTGTGTTGGCCTGAATGTCAGAGGATTGTTTTTCTTCTTCTGGAAATTACTTTTGAAAAATTCAACATCTACACAATTATGTTATCAAATTATCACATTTTCCCAGGAATGTCCAGGAACAAGAGGCAGGAGGACTCAAACGCAGATTTATTCAAAACTAAACTTTATTCAAAGTCGACTACAAAATGCCTGGAGGCACGATCACAACAACAAACAACGAGAATGTCAGGGTTTGGGTTCATGTCTGGTTTTATTTTGTAGTTTCCTTCCTCTGTTCTCCCTGGGTCACATCACTTCCTGTCGTCCCCTGTGATTGTCTGTCATGTCATGATTGTTTCCACCTGTGTCCAATCACCTGCACCTCCCTTGTGCTATGCGACAGACACACTCATTAAAGCAACATCACGTGTGTTAGCGTAGCACCAGAAGTGGGTGTGATGATTAGAAAGGAGATCAACATTAATCTCAGGTCTCCTTGATAAATCTCACACCATCTCATTCTCTCACGCTCAGGAGCTTTTGTCTTTGACTAAAAAGTTCCCTTCATTCTGAGTGGAACGCTCAGGTCGATGTAAACAGGGACATACATTGTACATATATATATATATGTATTATATATATATATATATATACATCTAAAAGGGTGAGAAAGTTATCCAGTTCAAAATGGCCGTCTTCCCGTTGGTTTATGAATCTTTTGTGGTCGATAAAGAAGGTTCTTCAGAGAACCCTGCTCTGAAAGGTTCAGGTCATAAAGTGAGGTTTTCCTCAGTGATTTAAACCGCTGCTCTGAGAACCCGAGAACCCGAGAACCCGAACCCCCCCCCGCAGGTCTCAAAAAGGAAGAGCACGAGGCCGCTGGCGCTTCAGCGTCCTTCAGATAACGAGAACATGATTCATAGCGGGAATGACCGAGGAGACGGTCCAACACGCTGTGGACAAACATGGAAATGAGGAGGAGAAGCCGTCACTCCGATGAGACCGTTGAACTTCACCACCTACAGGCTGCAGACAAATGTAAGGTCAGAAGGTACGAGCTGTTGGGAGGCCTCCTTGGTTCAGACGGGGAATCTATGAGGCCACATGGAGATCTGTGATAGAGAGATGAAGACCATTCTCATTGAATATGTTCCCTTATTTGGTGTTGTTTTGCTGGTGGAAGAACGCTGTCACTCAGAAATCTCCCACAGGTCTCCAACATACTGAAGAACATCAGAAACATCTTTAAGACGATCAAGACCATCTAAAGGACATGTAGAGCTTCATTTATGAACGTTTCCAAAACACCTACTGAACCCTGGATCAGCCTCAATAGCTAAGAAACCACCCGAGGAACCCTCCCATCTCTTTAAGTAAAACTAGGCAACATAGTAGCCTCCTAAAAACTAATAGAACCTCCTAAACGTACAAGAACCACAAATGTGACTTAAGAAATTCTTCAATGTTGACTTGAACCACCAAACACAAACTAGGACACCTTAAAGTACCACTAGAAGCACCTAAGGACCCATAGAACCACTTGAAGGACTTTATCTAAAAAAAACCAATAAAGCCACTTCCAGACCCATAAAATCCCCCAAAGAACCTCAAGAATCACCGAAAGAACCTCAAGAATCACCCAAAGAACCTCAAGAATCACCGAAAGAGAGAGAGAGAGAAAATGTAGCTTTGATGCATGGAGCTCTGTTATCTTCTGGTTTGAATAACAGCATAAAAGTATGATCCTCTTTGAATGAACTCATGTTCACAATGAATCACATTGAATCACAGCAGCTGATGTTTCTCGTGTTGCTTTCTTTCAGAGAATCGTTTAAGCTTCTGGACATTTTTCACATATCAACTCTATGAAAAAACAATGAGTTTTTTTTCTAATCACTAAAGAAGAAGGAAAACAAGTCCATAAAATCACTTCATTTAAACCACAAATTATATAAAACAAAATCAGATCTTAAGCTGTTAGACTTCAAACCGAACCATTTATTAAAGTCTAACCCAATTAGTATTCCAAAACTTCATGTTCATGCAGCCCTAATTCAAGTAAATTACTAATTAATTAAAACGTTGTCTGTGGCAGAATTTTGTTTGCAAATATTTCTATATAATAATAGTAATAATATATTGATAGAAACATTTTTTTAAATTATACAATATTAAATCGAATCATAATAATAAGTATTTCATTGGTTGTAAAAACATGTCATTATTCATCATACTAATGAATTATTTTATTAATTTACAAACTTTAAGTTCCACTTTTACATCTGTGTGAACAACATTCTTCTATCTGTAAAACTGTCAAACGTGACTCTGGTTGCAGGAGTTCCTTTTCACGAGAGAAACTCTGCTGGAGGAGAAAAGGTTCTCACCTGGAACACAGAAGAGGAAGAGGAGCTCCATCGACCCGCCGAGAAGCTTCATCCCGCCAACTGACCCCTGAAAACAATGTGGCTACAACACGCTGATCACAGATCAGCCAGAGGAGGGGCGGCTCTGCAGCGCGTATGAGAGGTTGTTAGTGCCACTGGATGAGACTGAACGACCGATGAAAGAAGAAGATGATGATGTGCAAAGACACAAAGTAACTTATTCTACCGCAATATGTACGTTGATAACAACAACAACGAGTCTGCAAAGGTGGAATACCTCAGGTACTCTGGGCCTCATCTACGCGTTTTGCTCCCATTTCAGGCGTAATAACGGCATGGCGAGGTACGTACAAACAAGGCGCGCTGAGGTAAACGCTCACACTGCCTTTTGCGGAAACTTAAAAAGGCAAATTGCGCTTTTTGTGTCAGGCATGTGCATTCACGTGAGGGTCAAGGAGAAAGTGTGTGTTTCCTCACATGTGCCTCCTGGTGGAATGACAGCAGGAATCAGAGCAAGACGGCGACGTTACATTACATGTCATTACATTACATTACATGTCATTACATCACATCATCACATGTCATTACATCACATCATCACATGTCATTACATTACATGTCATTACATTACATTACATGTCATTACATCACATCATCACATGTCATTACATCACATCATCACATGTCATTACATTACATGTCATTACATTACATTACATGTCATTTGGGACAAGGAGACAAGCTGAGAGGATTTTTGCCACAAGGATCACACTTCTTCAGTTGAGTGAACACAAAATCATCACATGCTACACATTTAGCTGACATGCAAAATCACTGGAAGAAATCAAAGATGACGTCGCATCTCCGACTCAGCGTCCACATTCCATTGCAGCTGGTGTTAAACTCTTCTCTACATTACAGATATTGGATCAGGATCATTTCAAACAGTCACAGCAAGTAAACAACGCGTTGCTACGGCGCACGAGTCACTACACACATTTCCCACCACTGATACACAAATGAGTCCGTGCACGTTTAAATTTCTCAATCTGTGGAATTGTGAACGACGGCGATCACCTGATGCGCTGCATGTTTCGTAAATACAGCGACTACGCAGGGCGTCTGTCTTCTCAGGTACTCTGTGTACTACGTAGGGCGTCTGTCTTCTCAGGTACTCTGTGTACCACGTAGGGCGTCTGTCTTCTCAGGTACTCTGTGTACTACGCAGGGCGTCTGTCTTCTCAGGTACTCTGTGTACTACGCAGGGCGTCTGTCTTCTCAGGTACTCTGTGTACTAGGCAGGGCGTCTGTCTTCTCAGGTACTCTGTGTACTACGCAGGGCGTCTGTCTTCTCAGGTACTCTGTGTACTACGCAGGGCGTCTGTCTTCTCAGGTACTCTGTGTACTACGCAGGGCGTCTGTCTTCTCAGGTACTCTGTGTACTACGTAGGGGGTCTGTGTACTCTGTGTACTACCTGCTCAGGTAGATGTTTTAGAAGAATTAAACAATATGCTACATTTTAAACATGGCTGCTCTTTGATGGCGGCCACTTTGACAGTTATTATTCTTTTTTTTTTTTCTTTCTGTTTTTTACTTTTTGTTTTAGTCTTTTAATGTGTGTTTGCTGTCAAACTTTGGTATATAGAAAATCAAAAAATAGACTTTTTTTCTCTCCAGGTTAATTAAAACGTGTGGCACAAAAAATCAGACCTTCAATCTTAATGAAGATTAATCTGCTTCGTACTGTAATTAATGTCATTGATTTAAGAAATGTGCTCTGCCAAGTTTTTCATCTTCATTGAAACATTTCAGCTCAAAAAAGTCCTTTTATCCGGAGCAGATCTGATCTGAGAGCAGCCTCCACCCAATAGGAGAGTAAATAATAAAGGGAATTACAGGAGATTAAGGGATTAAAGGGAAATAAATTAACTCACGGACACAATGGGGATGAAGTCACGGTTTCTTCGTCATTATGGAATCTAATGTTCCAAAAGGGAAACGTGGCAGATCTTTGCGATTAGTGGGAACAAAACGGGACGTCCAACTTTAATTATAACACCTCAGAAGCATCGGATGATGTCATTAGCCTGTGAAATCTGATTAAATCATTTGTGTTTTTAAAAACACAGACAAAAGAACAGAACAAGACAGATAATTGATCTTTCAACAAAGTGCTTTAAATAAAAACTGTATAAATAGTTATATATCGATATCTATATCTCTATATATATGTTGTACAGAGCAACGAGATACAGCTTCATCAGTGAGAGATGTAAATAGTGTATTCTTGTGTTTTATTCTGTTGTACGATGTTATACTGTGTTTTCTGTGGTATAGTTCTGATATTAGTACGTTATTTGCAGTGGCGACTCGTCCATAGAGGGCAATGGGGCGGGGCCTACCATGGAAATATACATTTATATATTCATATTTGTTGTTTATTATATTAAAAATACTTTGTAGAATAGAATTTGGGAGCTTGGCTTGGACCCTCACCGGCCTTCTTTCTTCCTTCTTTTGGCGAAGCTTTTTGTCGGCGACCTTGGAGGCGTCTGAAGGTTAATTGAGTCGGGACGCTGGCGGGACGCAGACTCTTCAATTCCCCGCCTGGATTCCCCTGGAGATGAAGTGAGAGGCCAGCTGACGGAGAACCAGTCCGGAGCCAAGATGTTCCTCACAAGACCATTGGTGGTTGTTAGCTTCATTGGCCGGTGGGGGGGGGGGGGGTGGGGGGTCTTATCTCCATGATGTCATGAGAGGCATCTCAATGCTGATTGGCTTAAAGGCACAGCGCCGCGAGGGTCTGAACATTTCTATTTGCATTTGCTTTGTATTTAATCTAAAAGCCAAACATTGTCTCGAGTGGATTCCATGGAGCTCGTTACATAATTACTGTAAACTCCGTTAAGTTTTTCACCCTTTGTTAAAGAACAATGCTCCGTTGTTCTGTGTTCACTACATAAGTTACTCAGAACTTTACAGAACGAAGATAAGTGAACTGGTTTCACACGCACACGAAAATCAACATTACATTCTGATTTCAGACCGATAAGCAGTCCCGCCTCCGAACACATCCAACCAATGAGAGGAGAGGACCGCCTTAGTCCCGCCCCCAGACGCATCCAACTAATGAGAGGTGAGAACCCTGTCACTCCTCCTGAGTTAAACATAGTAACTCCCTGATGATAACAAAGAACATGTACATCCATTTGTTGGACAAAACGTCGTCATTGCCAGGGATTGTGGGTAATTTAGGTGTTTTACCCTGTAGGAGACCCGTATTGTTGGTGCCACTTGGTAAGGCCCTTTTCTTTGGTGGTGATGTGAACGCATGCCGAGTCTACCGGCGGGTACAAATAGAAGTAACCTGAACCTGAACATTTCATTACAACAACAAGATAACTTCTGAATGTTGAAAAAATGAATTGAATACTTGACTAACTCATATTTTTTCTAAAGATGACTTTTTCTCTCATGATGGATTTTTCTTGGATTTCTTCCTGATAATAATGACCTCATATTCCAGAACTGTGAATGATAATGAATGTAAATACATGTAAATAATGACTTTCACTTCAAAATGATGACGTCTCATAGTTGTTCTTTTTCTCGGACGATTTCTCCTAAAGAATAATAATGCATTGTTATGCAAATATCACTGTGTGATTATTTTATTATTATTACGTGTACATTTGATTTCTTTATTTCCCTGCTAGGAACAAGCTTTAACACACGAGCGTCACGGGATGACGCATCTCCGCTCTCTGATTGGCCGAGCGCCCCGTCAGTCTGCGCCGCGGCGTCCAATGGGAGCGCGCAGCAGGCGATACAAACTGGCAGCGGCCATGTTGTGTCTCCGGGGGCCAACGGCGACGTCCGGTAGTAAACAGTAGATGACGTTACCGCCCGCTCGGCAGTTCACGGGAAACGGACCGCAGCTGGAAGCCATGAGCCGCCCGTCCTCTGCCGGAGGCGGAGGACTCGGTGCCGGGAAAGCAGCGGGCGGAGGAAAGCACGGCGGAACCGGAGGCGGCGCCGCGGCGGCGGCCGTGGCCGCCGGGCTGAGCTCCGTGGCCGTGCCGGGGTCCGCCGCCCCGTCCTCCGCCCTCCCGCTCGGCCTGCCCGGGCAGTCCCCGGAGCTCACGGCGCTGTTCGAGTGCCCGGTATGCTTCGACTACGTGCTGCCGCCCATCCTGCAGTGCCAGGCGGGCCACCTGGTGTGCAACCAGTGCCGCCAGAAGCTGAGCTGCTGCCCGACGTGCCGCGGCCCGCTGAGCCCGAGCATCCGCAACCTGGCCATGGAGAAGGTGGCGTCCACGCTGCCGTTCCCCTGCAAGGTACGCGCGCACGCACTCATTCGCGCGGGCACGCGGCCGACCGACCGAACTTGCTGCGACACAACAGCGCGCGACAGGTGCGCGCGCGCGTACAGACAAGCACCCAACGTGCAAAAGTTGGTGTTTGTACTTACACAAGTACACCTAGTAGTACTACTACTTACTTCTTTTACTTCAATCAGGTTTTGAATGCAGTACTTTGGCTGTGGTATTAGTACCTGTTACCACAGTAGAGGACACATTGGTTTGTCTCGGTCGCCGTGGTTACGGGTGTTTATCTACTCACACCTTCATGTAGGTCTTCTGTCAGAGAGGGACAAAACACTGATAAGCGTTTGGACAATAAGCCCCTTGTTACGTGAGCGGGACCTCGCGTTGTCTCACGTCTCATTCGGTCATCATTCCATCTACGTTCTGTCTCCGTCCCTTTTGTCCAGCGGACGTCATTGTCCACGTCCCACGTTGTTCGTTTAGTGAAGTGCTGCCGTGGGGTATTTGGTTCATGGCACCAGATTGGACACGTGTTCGGACCCTTTGAAGGCCGATGGTACCCGTGTACTTGTACCTGTACTCATACTCCCCCTTCCCCTCAGTACTCGTCCTCCGGCTGTCCTCTGTCCCTCCACCACAGCGAGAAGCCGGACCACGAGGAGGTGTGTGAGTTCCGTCCGTACACCTGTCCGTGTCCCGGAGCCACCTGCAAGTGGCACGGCTCGCTGGAGGCCGTCATGCCGCACCTGATGCACGCCCACAAGTCCATCACCACGCTGCAGGTGGGCCGCCGTCTCCCGTCTTATCTAACTTTGTATTCTAAATAAATCCCTTTCTGCTGGACGTTTGTCTTCATCTCAGAACAAAGTGTTTTATTTATTGAGCCGATTTATTCAGTTTGATGGAAACCAGATCATCGACTGACACGATTGAACCGTGAACACCGGGCGGGTCACCGCGGTAAAAGCATGCTAGTTAGCAGCGAGCTAACTACGGCCTCTCTCCTCAGGGGGAGGACATCGTCTTCCTGGCAACCGACATCAACCTGCCGGGCGCCGTGGACTGGGTGATGATGCAGTCGTGCTTCAGCCACCACTTCATGCTGGTCCTGGAGAAGCAGGAGAAGTACGAGGGCCACCAGCAGTTCTTCGCCGTGGTGCTGCTCATCGGCACCCGCAAGCAGGCCGAGAACTTCGCCTACCGCCTGGAGCTCAACGGCAACCGGCGCCGGCTCACCTGGGAGGCAACGCCGCGCTCCATCCACGACGGCGTGGCGGCGGCCATCATGAACAGCGACTGCCTGGTCTTCGACACCTCCATCGCGCACCTGTTCGCCGACAACGGCAACCTGGGGATCAACGTCACCATCTCCATGTGCTGAGGAAACCAGACGCGCCAGAGGAGGACAGACGGGAGCATCGGGCCCCCGGGCGCCGCCGCTCCAACTCCTGCGACCTCAGCCGGCCCACGGACCCGTACGGTGGCGCTGAGGGGAGGAGTGTCCTTACGCAGACGCAGGGACGAGGAGACGAGGAGGACATTCAACTGGAATGCCGACGTGATGTCGTGTCTTTAAATCAATGAGCAGCTTCATTGACTCGATACCTCACAGTAGTGCAGAGAAACTATATGCGTGTGTGTGTGTATATATGTACATATGTGTGTATATATGTGTATATACATATATATTACACGTATGTGTATGTATGTTTATGTGCGTATAGACACCCAGTTTGATTCCAGGGATCAAGACTCATTCAGAAATCCGCTTTGAGGAATAATAAAACATGAGTCAGACTTTTTACTGATTATCATTACGTTGTTATTTCAGCTTTTATATCTGTTTGTTTGAATTAAATCACAGTTGAAGTATTTTTGAGCCTGGAGTGATGTTCTCTGCTTGATGAGGACACGAGATCGCCGAGTTAAAGCAACGCCAGTTGATCCGATCCCTGCAGAACCACAATCGATCTTTAATCTCTTTAGATTAGAATCTTCCCGTCAGCTCAAACACAAACTTACCACATGTGTTTACCAAATGTTTTTGTTTTTAAACCCCGGAATCAACGGACCAGAGGGCTATTAGCATAGCATGAAAGCAGGATACGGGATTAAGTCGGGATATTCACCGTATCCTGGATGAATTTAGCTTGGACTCGGTTGCACGAAAGCAGGTTGAATTAAAACCAGCCAAGTAACCATGGAGATGTATTCTTTGCAGTTGGGCTAACTGCCGGGCTAAGATTAACCCATGACCTCTGACCCCAAACAGACGGCTCGCTTGCAGTAGTTTAGGTCAGTGGTCCCCGGCCGTTGTACCGTTTACCCACAATATTTGGCGGACTGGTCAAGAAGGTCCATCGGGTAATAAACATGTCGACCGAACGGGGGGTCGTAGTGCTGACCGGCCGGCGGGGGGGGGGGGGGGGGGGGGGGTATATAATGTACGTGAGAGGACAGATGAGACCAGCGTGAAGCTTGTCTGCGTGGCGCTGAGCATGTTTTTATATGTCAGACTATTTGCTGTCAGACTGTGTGAAGCATCTTTATTACAACAGAAGAATGTTCCATCACAGAGGATTTACACATTTACGGTGATGGAGTGTACGAAGGGGCAGTTTCTGCAGGTGCATCAATTCCTTCTTCTTAACTGCTTAAATCAGTTCAGATAAAAATATGTGAGCAGGCGTCTTGTAGGTAATTTCTACACCATTTGCAAACTGTTAAGGGAAAATATTTATATATTTGATCTTTTTTGTCCAGTCGCGTTTGTTGTGTGTCTCCATCTGTTCATCAGTAGATCTGTGATGGACGCCGTGGACGTGCACTGATCCCAGCTGTGTGCAGCTGGATGGACTAAGCTCCTCCTCCTCCCGGCTCGGATCAAACTAAGTCAAGCCTAAATCCTAATCCTGGATTTCTTTATTCTACTTGTGTGCAACAGCCTCCTGGAAGGAACCCGACTTGTCCGGGCAGCTCGTCTGTGAGCGGCGCCCTCTGACCTTTTCCTCCGTGTTAATCTTCATCTGAACAATAGTTCTGTGCGAACAATGAAAGCTGAAACGTTTCAAATAAATAATGTTAAATAAGTCAAAGCTCAATTAATTAAACGGCCATTCAATTAATTTTATTTCACATTTCAATAACTCATCATTGTGAGTTTCCTGGACTGAAGGATTAACAATAATTAAAGGTTAAAGTGAACGTTTTCCACCAACATTTAGGTCATTTATTCACTTTAAGATTACAATTGTACAGAAAAAATAAAGTCTTGTAACTTGTTATGTAAAAATTGGGACACTAATGCTAACGTGCTAACAGCTACTTAACAAGCCAAAGAGGCGTTTGTGGTTTAATAACAGAACAGAGATTCCAACAGTTGTAAGACTTCATTTAATCCCGACGTCTAATCAGAGCAATGAGTTATTAATAAATACGGAGAAACGTCTCTCCGATAATCACTTTCACGTCGTAGCGACTGACTTTCTATGAAAAGTTTATGATTGTAAATTAAAGCCTCCATGTTTTCTGTCTGCTGCTCATCGATGATACAATGAAGACGAATAGAAAACGCTCTCGTTTTACTTCATGGAGACTTTGGCTGTTTTATTACACGTCACACAGACAGAAAGGAGAATAATCCCGTTTGTCTTCATCAGCCGTCTTGTTCCATGGTTACGTCCGTCTTTGCCCTATAAGGGTCTGTCCCGTCTTCCGTCATCAACCCGGTCTTGGTTCCTCTTCCTGTCTCCCTCTCTCTCCCCGCCTGTCTCCCTCCTCCTGTCTCCTTCCCGGTCTGTCTCCCTTTTTCTCCCCTCCCACCTCCTCTCTGCACCCGTCTCCCTGTCTCCCTCCCACCTCCTGTCTCTCTCCTTCCTGTCTCCTTCCCACCTCGTGTCTCCCTCTCTCTTCCCTACTGTCACCACATGGGTCTCTCCTCTCGTCCCTCCCTAGTGGCGCCCCCCTCTGGTCGTACTTGTGGTAGGCGGCGTCCTCCTTCTCCTCTTTGACTCTGACAGGAGGAAGTGAGGAGGAGTCCAGACCCTCGCGTTCTTTCGCCGCCTTCATTTTCTTCTTCTTCTTCTCCTTCTTCCTCTTCTTCTTCTCTTTCTTGTCTGCGATGAAAGAGAGGAAATCAAAAAACGTCCCCCAACGGTTCGTGTAAGGCGACCAACAGGAAGTGACCTTTTTTTATCCTCTTCGCGGGGACGCCGTCCCGCTCCTCCTCGGATGAGGACGAGTGGGAAGGGGGGGGCCCGGTGGTTTTGGGGGCGCAGCCCTGCTCCCTCAGGTGTTTGGTGATGTCGTCCATGTCCTCCGTGTCTTTGGGAGGCCGGTAGTCTTTGACGTGATCCACACGGATGGTTCGACCTTTGATCTGACAGCGAGCAGAAACACCAGATGTTGACTTCCTGTGAACATCTGCCCACCTGTTCTCTCTGTAATGACTATGAATGTATCAGCAGTTCAAACTAAGCTTGTTGTCTTTATTAAGCACGAAAACTAGGGAACCGATACCTTATGTTAGCATAACGACTGCTAGCTTAGCTTATCTTGGCATTTTGGCTGGAAACGGTTAGCCTAGCTTAGCGTAAATAAACGAGAACAGTCAAGTCACCTTGATGCCGTTCAAGTTGTCCACCACCAGGATGGTGCTGCGCTGGTCCTCGAAGCAGATGAAGCAGAACCCTTTGGACTTCCCGGTCTTCTTGTCTCGCACCAGGTTGATGTTGACGATCTCGCCGTACCTGATTGAAAGTACCACTTTATTAACGCTAAGGAAGCATTGAAGCAGCTTTCCTATTCCAAAGGAAGCATAAAGGAAACTTACTGAGAGAAGACGCAGATGATGTCGCCTTCAGTCAGCTCGTACGGGAATCCACCTGCAGGCAATACGACAGCACCTCTTTACACCTGTCTCAGCCAGGAGACACCCGTCCCCCCACGTCTCACCCATAGGCACTGCGTCCCCCCACAGACACCCCGTCTCACCCACAAACACCCAGGCGCTGTCGCTGTACTCGGTGTGCCAGGAGACAGAGTCTTTGACCCCGAGGTTCGCCTCGCGCTCGTTTAGCTCGTTGATCAGCTTCACCTTCGTCAGCGGACTGAAAGGAAACGGTACAGGTGTGTTTACAGTCCCCCGAGACCACTTTCAGTCTGCACCTGAACACACCATCTCTGTCTCCATTACAACTTTTGGATCTGCACCTGAATGCAACATCTGAGGGGTTACATTTAGAGGAGTTCAGGGACTGAAATAGTTTAGAATTCAACCTGTACAAAGAGTAACAGAGTACAACATGTAGAAGGCAGAATGAAGTAATAGGTGTATTGTATGCACAGAGAGGTATGTGTAAGGGAAGTTGTATACAGAGCAGTAAATACGTGTATACACGTATGTATTGTGTATTTAGGGTCAAAATGCATCTAAACACGCAGCACCACAAACAGGAAGCCTCCAAACATGCCAGACTCCAATCAAAATGAGTGCAATTTTACACTTGTTAAAATCAAGTGCCGATTTATTAAGCGATTTATTGTAATCCACTTTAACCAATAACGAGACACAAAATCCGCGCTTCGCCAAAGTGGCCGTGGGGCGACCCGAAGACACGCAGAAAACCTCCATTTCTTTCACGTAATAAACTCGCCGTTCGTGACGATTTATTAAACTGATTTTGAATGATTACAAAAACGGCACATGTTGTGTTTCACATTATCTTTAAACCCCTAAAAACAAATGCATTTGCTAAAAACAGTTTTTTTAAACGGGGCTCCGGACCACTAGAACGTCTGAATGGAGGTGTTAAGGGTTAGTTAAGGGTTAGCTTGGTTAACGACGTCCGTTAGCTCAAAGCGTTGCCACCAAATGAATGTAAAAACGTGTACTTACTTCATGGTGAACTATTAACTGTGTAATACGTTACACGGGAAATTAACCGATGTGGGAAATTCTCTCTGACTCGAACCACTTCCGGTTGAGTTCCCGCCTCTGCTGCCGCCTGCTGCTCGGATGACGTCACGCCAAGCTGCGTTTAAATGACTAAACATTTCGCGTCAACCATTGCGGCGTGAGTTTTTTAATGTATCTTTCAATGGAGGGCCATTGGCTAATGGTTTAATTTACAAGAAGATGTATCTAAGTTAGTTAGTTAGTTAGTTAGTTAGGACCACTCTTCTCCGGTCCAACAGGGGCGCTGTGACGACATCCGCCATCTTTGACCCGGTTTGTAAACACAAGTCAGCTCGTTGAGAGCCGGGCAGCTAATCAAACGTTTGGAATGCATTTCAGTTACGCTTTTAATGCTCCGCTTTACTATTGTATTACATATTATACATGTCCTGCATGTTAACGCTTGAAAATAAAGCACCTGTCCACTGTTATAGTGATCTTTACTGTGTTTACGTTAGCACGGCCACTGTTAGCACAGTCGGCTACAGTTAGCATGCGTAGAAATCCCTTTTATTCATCGTCTTCATAATAAATGGTTAAAGTAGGTTACGACAAGACTTCACAGGGTAAGTAAAGTAACCGCTACCAAGCGCTGGTTTTACAACAGACGTGTATGTGAAAAATATTCAAGACATCATTTAACACATTAGGAACTTGTGGTATTTCGCAGTAGAGAAAACTGGTCTCCTGATACGTTGTGATTAACTTCAGCGTTGAAAATGTAGCGTCGTCATCCTCTTTAACGTTACGGAACCGGAAACAACCACACACATCTGATGCGTTGATTCTTTGATTCATCGATAACGTTACTTTGCGTTGTGATATCTGAGCAGAATAGTGAACATAGGATTTAGAGACAAGTCATCTCAAGTGAAGCGTCTTATATCCTTGTAAATGATGCATCAAACCATGATTTTATTTATTTTGACTGTATCACTGTACTTCTCCTGAATCCCGTCTGCCTCTCCACAGGATGATCTCTCAGGTCTTCATCTTGTCCTCACAGGGCGACCACCTCATCTACAAAGACTGTATCCACACACAAAGTTCCCTTACAGGCTTTTGGGGAATGGGATCCTGGCAATGCACATTAGCTCTTTGTGTACGGAAATAAAAGACCCTTAACATCGGCATTAGTCCGCGGAGAGGCAGGAAGTGATGTTGTTGGTGTTTTCTACGAGAAGGTCACAGCGCTGACCGGAGACCAGCCTCCGGTTGTCATGGTAACGAGAATAATTGTTATCCTAGAACATTAATAAGGTTTAAACTGACTCAAACTGATTTAATTGGTTTGTGAGTCGTTGCTGGTAAACTGATTACTGGTTGCAGCGGTTCATTAGGGTCATACTTTTGTAGTCGAGCCCTTGAACGCATCGTCTGCGTTTCCCTCGGCAGAATCACGGAGATCTTCACTTTGTCCACGTCAGGCAGGGAGGACTGTACTGGGTCGCCACGACAACCGCGGACTCCTCCCCCTTCACCCTCATCGAGTTCCTCAACAGGTACGGGATATTTACACAACCTGTAAAAGTGCTGATCCTCTCTCTATCTAATATATATATATATATATATATATGTGTAATCCCTGTACTCTCAGGTTAGCCGCTCTGGTTAAAGATTACTGCGGCAGCTTGTGTGAGAAGTCGGTCCAGATGAACTTTGCTCTCATCTACGAGCTGCTGGACGAGGTCGTGGTGAGTGATGTTTATTTATTGTATTATATTTATAGTACTACATATATACACAACGTGGAGAGGTATTAATGAAGATGCAGTTGCCACTTTATTTTATTTCACATGTGATGTAGTTAATCCTATTCCCCTCTCCTCAGGACTATGGTTACATCCAGACGACGTCCTCTGACGTTCTGAAGAACTTCATCCAGACTGAAGCCGTTTGCTCCAAACCGTTCAGCCTGTTTGACCTCAGTAACGTCGGCTTGGTGGGTCAACAACAACACAAATATCAACAAATAATTTTAATCTTTATTTTAAAAGTTTGTTTAGTAAACAAACGCCTCATAAGTAATTTATAACACACAGTGTTGGTCAATCGTAACATATACATTTTTTATTGTGATACCTTATTATTTGTCACTTAATACTTAATAACTAATTAGATGTTTATATGTATATGTGTTGATATATGCAAGTTTCAAATTTAATGAATTCATTGTTGTTTGTGATCAGTTTGGAGCAGAGACTCAGCAGAGTAAAGTAGCTCCGAGCTCTGCAGCAACCCGACCGGTCCAGTCCAGCAGAGAGCAGGTACCAAGACACAGGGAACCACCGGTTGTATCAATGAAGGTTTCTGATCCAATCTACTGGAGACAGGGAAGGAGACGAGTAGACTAAATATAATAACATGATATTATACAATAATAATAATAATAAACAACCCTTTGATGATTGATATAAAACAGATCTGAGGTCAGCTGACTCGTTCCTGTTCTCAACAAACTCCAGCTGCTGGATGTTTCTACTTCTGAACTGCTTCATCCACTGAGATACTCATGAATAAAACTGTAGAACTGTGTTCATTTTGCAGGGCGGAAAGAGCGAGATATTTGTGGACGTGATCGAGAGGATGTCGGTCGTCATCGGCTCCAACGTGAGTAACCGTGGCAACGGGAAGGTTGAGTTACAGTAAAAGAGTTTGGGTTCCAGCGCGTCTTTGTGCTGTAGGGAGTTGTGATGAAGGCCGACGTGGAGGGAGAAATCAGAGTCAAGTGCTTCATGCCCAGCTGCTCCGGTGAGTCTGACTCTGTGAGGGTCTTCAGCGCCGCGTCCTCACCAACGCTCGGTGACTCTCTGTGTTGTTCACAGAGATGAGGATCGGTCTGAATGAGGAGTTCAGCATCGGGAAGTCACAGATCAGAGGTAACGCACACACGGAGACACACAGACGTACACAGAGAGACTCTCACAAAGGACAAACACGTGTGTGTCTTTTCTTCTCCAGGTTACGGTGCGGCGGTCCGTGTGGACGAGTGCAGTTTCCACCAGGCCGTTCGACTGGACGAGTTCAGCAGCAGCCGGATCCTCCGGCTCTGCCCCAGTCCGGGAGAGGTGAGTAGACCGGTGGACAGACAGCTCACAAATAAAGTTTCTCTCTCCATCCATACTTTATTTATTTACTGTCAGTATGAAGAGGCAATACAAACAAACATAATAAACCTGTTGATTTTCAGTGTTGACACCGGTAGCCTTGTTTTTCAACGAGTTGAAATAGCTGATTTAGCTTTGAGCACTTTTGGGGGGTTTCTTCAGCGCCTGCAGCAGACAAACTGAACACTATAACCTTCCTCAATATAACCATCACAACTGAACGTCTTTCATCAAACCAATCGCTTTGTTCGCAGAGCTCAAACGAGGTGAAAGGTCTCGCTAAGCCTCTCAGATTCCTGCTGTAAATGTTCCACCACTTTCATCACAAACCACTTCCACTGATGAGCGTAATCCGCCGGGTGTGGACTTTGGTTTCATGGCGTTTACATGGGAGCCTCATGAGTGGTTTTATCTGGTGCTGAGTTCAAGGACGCTCCGACATCTGAGAGACGACTCTTCTCCTCCTCCTTCCTGCTGCAGCAAACGGTGATGCAGTACCAGCTGAGTGACGAGCTGCCCTCGGCGCCTCCCTTCCGTCTCTACCCGACCATCGAGCGGGACAGCGGAGGACGGTAGAGTCCCTCGGGGGGGATCGGGGACAGATGTCCGTTCTCGTGGTGTCATAGTAATCACACTTGAACTATACTCAAGTGGAGTACTTGGGTAAATGTAGCCAGCAGCATTTAGTGGAGTATGTTCCATTCCTGCAGTAAAGTGTGACTCTTCCTGCTGTTCCTCTGCAGCCTGCTGATGTACCTGAAGCTCCGCTGTGACCTCCTGCCCAGGAGGTGCGCTTCATTTCGGTTGTTTCAGAACCACTTTTACAACCAAAGCGTGGTGCGCTTAAATATCTGAGCCGGTAACAGAAGTACCACAAATAGTACCACAATTAGTTCCATGAGTAGTACCACAGCGGTACCCCAGCTCCGAGTAGTTTCATGAGTAGTACCACATGTGGTCTCATTGTAGCATAGTATATGTGGTGTTGCTGCTGTAGTTGTCTCTTAGTTCTTAGCTCTTAGTCTACCTGGTCACAGGTACATGATAATCATGATGATGAAGAGAATCCTGACGACGATGAAGATGATGATGTCATTGTTCTTGCAGCGCTGCCATCAACGTCTGTGTGACCATCCCCGTCCCCAGAGGCTCCGTGAGGTGAGGCGCTCCCTTCGCTCATGGAAATACTTCATGTGAAGCAACTATTTGAATGGGACAATTGTGTGTTTTTGTCCGTCTCTGAACACAACAGGAAGTCACAAGAGTTTATTTAAATGATCCGACTTTTGAATAACAAGCAAAGTAGGAAGCGTCACAAGTGAGCAGCAGGAGGCGCACATCATTTGTTTTGTAAACGTTGTGCAAATGTTACGCAAAGGGCCGAGTGCTATGCATGTACTGACGGCTTATATTTTCACAATAAAGTGTCCCCACTAAGAGACACAATTTGCTTTAATAGATGGAGAATAAACCTCTGTACAAAAAGACAAAGCAGAAGAAGAAATCAGCATCATTGGATTCAGACAGATACGAGAGTTTCACAATAAAAGCATCCTAGAACAAGCTGGAGTTCACTTGATCAGAAACAGAAGTTACTGTTACGCAACTGAACTCGTCCGTTTAAGCTTGTGTGCGTGTTCAGTGTGTCTCAGGAGCTCAGCAGTCCCGACCAGAGCGCTGAGCTGAAGCTGCAGAGTCGAGCCATCGAATGGAGGATCCCTCGATTCCCCGGAGGGACACAACTGTCTGCTCTGTTCAAGGTGACACACACACACAAAAACAGACACACACAGACGTTAATGCCATTTTTAATCAGAAATGAAACGTCTGCTTTGCCCCCCCCCAGCTGGAGGCGCCGGCCCTCGGCCCGGCCCCCTTGATGGAAGTCGGTCCGGTGGTTCTGGCCTTTGAGCTTCCTCATCTCACGGTGACGGGTCTTCAGATCCGGTTCCTCCGCCTGTCCCCGGTGCAGCCGGGTCCGTCTCAGCGCTGGATCCGCTACGTCACCCACTCCGACTCCTACGTCATCCGCGTCTAACCTGGTGGTGGTCTGTTGCCTCCCCGTCAACGTTCCTTTCAGAATAAAAGATCAGCGTTATTTTGTTAACTGTTGATTGAAAAACTGATTTTTTTAAGAGAATCCGTCATTTTCTTTTCTGTTGGTCTGTCTGTAAATACGGTGCGACTTCCTGGTTCCTACTGAACACGTAACTGTTTACAAACATAGTTCCCTTCCTAAAACCTCTGAAACAAACAGGAAGCAGACTTCAGCGGGGACTATTTTCAGCGGCGGATGAATCCCCTCGTATGTTAGTGACGGCTGTAGTGAGTCGGAACAAAGTCCATATACTTATTATCCGACTCCGCTACACACACAGATGAACGCACGCACAAACCAACATGCACACAAATACTCATGTATCTAAAGTTAAATCTATTAAATTCATGTTTTAATGATTGAATGTGTTTCTCATTTTAATATCAAAGTGGGGCTTGTTTAGTTACGTATATATTTACTATGTTTAGAGTAGAAATCAGCATTGTACAATATTCAGTACAAAGTAAATTACTATGTACCTCTCAGAAGTGCGTAAAGTAGCTCAACATTGTACTTTATTGCAGAAGTACTTTGAGGAGCTGGTTGATGCCTCAGGACTGAGCCATGCTAGCAGTTTCCCTCTGTTCCCAGTCTTTATGCTAAGCTAAGCGGTGGCGGGTATAATCCAAGTTAATAATCATGATATTAATTTTTAATACTCAGTGTCGTTTTTTAACCTTTGATTTCTCGATGTCATGTTTGCTGGAAACGATCCGCAGCGCCACAGCACGCACGCGCCTGGGGGAGAGACATCGATGCACAGAGAGGGAGAGAGAGACACATAGGGTGAGACAGGGAGAGAGAGACATAGGGTGAGACAGGGAGAGAGAGACATAGGGTGGGAGAGAGAGACATAGGGTGAGACGGGGAGAGAGAGACATAGGGTGAGACAGGGGGAGAGAGACATAGGGTGAGACGGGGAGAGAGACATAGGGTGAGACGGGGAGAGAGAGACATAGGGTGAGACAGGGGGAGAGAGACATAGGGTGGGACGGGGGGAGAGAGGATCCTGCCTTTGCGGAAGCCGGAGCAGCCGAGGCGGCGCTAAATTAAATTAGCATACTAACTAGCTAGCAGTGCGCCGATGTGGACAAGCGGAAGCTGAAGAAGCAACTCGTCGCTCCTCCAAGTCGAGATAAGCCTCCCGCCGGGTCCGGGCTCATTTTGTCGGGATCTTCGCTGCCGAGGAGATGGGGGACAAGGCGGGTACCAGGTAAGCACGGCCGGGCTACACGGCGGCTAGCGCGCTAGCTAGCGCCCGCTCTCACGCACTTTGCTAACGGTAGCCGCGCCGCTGACCCGGGGGAGCTGGGGCATTTTACCCCGCTTTATATGACCCCTCTCCCCCGCAGTAACACGCCAAGCCAGGGGCCCCAAGGGACCCCCCCCCCCCCCCCGGGCCCGTTCGCGTCTGAACGCCCCCCTCACACGGTGCCCGGGTCCCCGGGAGGCGACGCGCAGGGTGCGGCTTGCTAACGCGGCAGCCTCCGCTGCGAGCTGTCACACGCGGCTCCGCGAGGACCGCAGCCGACGCGCTGCGGGGCGGTAAACGGAGCGGAATCACCGCGGTGCGTTTCTAACGCGACCGGGCCGAGGGGGGCGGAATCCGCCGGACCGGGAGCTCAACCCGAGGCGGTGATGCTGTTTTTGTTGTGAAGAGCGGACGGATGCGTTTAATCAAAACGCATCATTTCACCTGAGTTTGTTTTTTTGATGTCGACCGCGCGAGGGACGTTTAAAAAACGTACCACCTGTTTGGTGCGTTCGCGCTCACGGGCTCGTGCACAGCACCTGTACACGTGCGGTACATCACATGTCATTTATCTGACGCTTTTATCCAAAGCGACTTACAATAAGTGAATTTAATCACAAGGAAACAAACTCAGAAGAACAAGAAAGGCTTATTTCATGAAATTGCATTTTACAACTCGCTGTAGATAAGAACCATTATAAGTCCAATGTAAGTGCTGCAGTTAGTTGGTGTGTTAGTGGAGGTAGAGTCTGAAGAGGTGTGTCTTTAGTCTGAAGATGTGAAGGCTCTCTGTGGTCCTGATGTCTTCAGAGACCTCCTTCCACCATTTAGGAGCAGGACAGCAAAGAGTGGAGATCTAGTGGAGTGTTTTGCTCTCAGTGAGGAGGAACAAGCAGTTTATCACATGCAGAGCGGAGAGTGCGGGTCGGGATGTCGGGTTTGTAGCAGGAGACCTGCAGGAGAGAGTTACAGTAGTCCAGGAGGGAGATGATGAAGAGCCTGAATCAGTACCTTCTTCTGAGTGAGAAGAGGACGTGTTCTCCTGATGTTGTAGATGGTGAGCAGAGATCCGAGTGAGGGAAGGAGAGAATTAGTTGGGTGTCATCGGCATCGCTGTGGTAAGAGAAGCCATGTAAGCGAATGACAGCGCAGAGAGAGTTTGTGTAGAGCAAGAAGAGAAGGGGACCCAGGACGGAACCCTGAGGAACTCCAGTAGTAAGAGGACAAGGTTCCGACACAGATCCTCGCCAGGTTACCCGGTAGGTGCGTCCATCGAGGTAGGACGAGAGAAGGGAGAGAGCAGAGCCTGAGACACCAAGTTCCTGAAGGGAGGAGACAAGGATCTGGTGGTTGACTGTGTCAAATGCAGCAGAGAGGTCCAGAAGGACGAGGACAGAGGAGAGAGAGAAGCTCTAGCAGTGTGGAGCTCTGAGACAGCAAGGAGAGCAGTCTCTGTGGAACGGCCTTGAAGCCTGACTGGTGGGGGTCAAGGAGGTTGTTACTCACTGAGAGCAAAACACTCGACTAGGTCTCGACTCTTCGCTGTCCTTGCGCCGAAATGGTGGAATGAGCTCTCTGAAGACACCAGGACCGCAGAGAGCCTTCACATCTTCCACCGCAAAGTAAAGACACACCTCTTCAGACTCTACCTCGACTAAAGACTAACAAATTGTAGCACTTAAATTGTACTTGTAACGTCACTCATCTATAGCAAATTGTAAATTGGCTTATTTGAGGAAATTGCACTTTCTTGTTTCTTGTTCTTCTGAGTTTGTACCCTATGGTTGAATGCACTTATTGTACGTCGCTTTGGATAAAAGCGTCTGCTAAATGACATGTAATGTAATGTAATGTAATGGTGGAGATAAGAGGAGAGTTGGTTAAAGATCACACGTTCAAGAGTTTTGGACAAAAAGGGAAGAAGAGAGACGGGTCTGTAGTTGTGTTCTTCAGAAGGGTTGAGGGTGGGTTTCTTCAGGAGGGGGTTGACTCTTCTCCTTCAGAGAAAACAGCCAGATAACAGAGCGTCGTTGATGAGACAGGTGAGGAAAGGAAGAAGGTCAGGAGCGATAGATTGTAGAAGATGTGATGGAATGGGGTCAAGAGGGCAGGTGGTGGACGGGCAGAGGTTACTAGGGCAAGAACTTGGTTAGGAGACGGGGGGTGAAGGAGGGAAGTGAGGGCGATAGAGGTGAAGTCAATGGGACACGAGTAGGAGGAGGTGGGTTTGAGAAAGAGGAGCGTATGTCAGCTATTTTCTCGAGAGGAGGACAGAGTTGAGAGGAGAGTCTCTGCAGCAGCGTTACGATGAGTGAGAAGGAGTCGGTGGAAGAGAGCTGATAGAAGAGAGGGGGAGAGAGGAGGAGAGAGGAGGAGAGAGGAGGAGAGAGGGGAGAGAGGAGGAGAGAGGGAGCGAATGTTGGTGGAGTCGTTAGTTAGAGAGCGCGGAGGAGCGTCGGAGATGGAGAAGTGGTCAGAGACGTGGAGTTACAGAGAGGTCAGAGGTGGAGCAGTTTCTGGTGAAGATGTATTCGAGGTGATTGGCGGCTCTGTGAGGAGGAGGAGAGGGACTGAGTGACAGTTCAAAAGAAGAAAGTAGGAGTAAGCTGGTCCGCAAAGATCCACAATATTAATTGATATCATTGTCCTGAAAATCCTTTAAAAACATCTGAAATGTAAAACATCTAAAATACTAAATGTTACACTTCTTCTTCTGTTAAGAAGTTAGATAGATCATTATTCATCGCTATTATATTTTCAGAATCTGTCAATTACTATTGAGGTTAACATTTATTTAGAAAACGAGGGACACGATTCCTAAATTTAACGCATTAATTAAATGATTTAAAAATAGTTCAAATGAACTCTGCAAAAATGTTTTTCCAAACTCAATCTAATATTATAGTTATTCTCATATTCCTGCTGTTAAGATCAACGAAGGGATCAAGGAAGGCAGTTAGCTGTGGTTGTCAATTTTGATTTGATTGATTATGTTGATCGATTGATTGACAGCCTCGCCCCTGCGGTCTGAAGCCGCCTCTCATTGATTGAATTGCGTTGCTGTGAGTGCGCTCAGATTTACCTCCAATTTTACCAACAATTTATTGGCTCAAACGTTATTTTATCACGGTTGTTTTTTTAACAAAAGCTCTTCCATTTCTTTACACATATACATTCCTGTACATCTGGAATTACTGTTAAGTTCCTCATGTATTTTTCACACTTTTTAAATATATATTTAATGTAATTTCCAGATATCGCTTCACATTTGAAGTCTTTTGACTTTAAACAGCTGGTGACTTAAATAGTAGAACTAACAATATAAAACTCTGCTAATGAGGAAGTGGAAAATTCTTTCCACACAAAGTTGTTTTTAATTTGCTGGTGGGTGTGAAGAGCAGGAAGGTAGTCTGACCTCTGAACCCCAGGAACCATGTCCAGGACACGTTCACATATCAACCCCCTTTAAATACAAGTCTAAGATTATTTCACAACACAATATGTGCGGCTTGTTTCTAATTTTTAAATGACCTTTTTTTTTTTTTTTTTTTGACAGTTTTTTTTTTCTGCTTTATCGTCCACGCAAAGTTTCCCAATTTTCTTACATTTAACATAACAGGCAACCCGAGTTTGTCAGATCATTTTTTAGTACTGCTATTTTTTTTAATTTAACATATTCATATTGTTTTATCTGCACTCAGAACATTTCGGGTTAAACACGAAGCATAATTTCATTCATTCAGAATAAAACTAACAGAAGTGGATCATGAATTCATGTGGATTAGAAGAACACATGAGAGAACGTCGTGTTCCGCCATCTTTAAAGAGTGAAATCTGGGCGCTGCTCCTCGTACGCAGTTCAACTAAGCCAGCTTAATTTAGCCTGACTTCAATCATCGGGTTATCTCGGTTCCTCGAAGGCTGATCGTCTCTCGGTCGAGTTAATGTGAACCAGACTTCCGTCATCAGGATGATCTGATTAAATAAACTCACAGCAAGACGAGCAGCAGATGATGATGATGATGATGATGATGATGAACGCTTACGAGGAATCCAGATCACATGTTTGAATCATTTCCTCTGTGGTGTGAATTGATCGTATCGTACATCGTTTACGTTGTTCATCCTGTTTACAGGTGAGACGTTTGTCTGTCCGTCCCAGGAGACGATCCTCAAACCAAAATAATAATAATTAAATAAAAAAACACAGTAGGATATTTACAACTTACCTATTTATTGTTGACTCAAATTGAATAACACGGAAAAACAGACAAACCGGTCCAACCCGAAGCACGTTTAAGGGGGAATTGATGGCAGAGAAGGTGGACCGATGACCCGCTGAGCAGGTTCAGGTTTCTGGGTCCGTTGCTGCGGTGATTTTGCCAAACTTGCTTCGTGGAACCGAAAACCTTGACTTATGTAATCTTATCCTGAAGATGATCCGGCTAACTCGGTTAGCCTCGTACGAGGGACGGGGCTGGTCCTCAAACCACCAAATCGTTGTTATTCTGTGGCGATTGATGAACTATTAACGAAAACAACAACAAGTGCAGTTCTTGTCTGGGCATGAAGTGCACACGCACACGCACACGCACACCTGCTGCAGGTAGGAGCAGCGTGTTTACCTGCAGACGGTTTTACTGATTCGGCCCCTCGGGGCCCAGCAGCTGATGCTCAGTTAAAATGCAACACGGTTACTTCACAGTGAGGCTTTATTTTGAAAAGCTGTGGCTGAAATGCTTTTATATTCATCCGTTGTTCACGTCTTTCCTCTAAAATGGTGAAATCAACAAACCGTTTCCTTTTGAAACCTCGCGGTGAGGTAACCGACGACTTCCTGTTTGTTACTTCCTGTTTGTGTTGTGCCATCAAGCAGAAAGGAAGGAAGTGGCCGTTTAACTCTTTCTTTGGACCCACAATGGTTGTCGTTTTCCGTGATCTAATCATGTGACACTGTCAATAACCGATCAGTACTCAAACCCACAGGAGGAGGAGCTTGTGACGTTAGCTGCACCGCTAACTGCGTAGCACCAACGGAGGAAGGCGTCACTTCCATTGTGATGCATTCAGGCTCTGCTCAGTGAACACTGGAACATTATTGTGATGTGTTCACTTGTCATCTGTAAAATGTAGTTTAAGTGACGAACTAGACATTAATCCAGACGTTTCGCGCATGAATAAAAGCAATATTAGAGATGAATGAATGAATCGAGCTCTAAGCACCTTATTGTACAGAACCAAATAGAAGGACCATCACTTGCATTGCTCCATGTTCCCATGACGGAGTAACGTGTTTTGTTGAAGACGACCTAGAGAGTCGCGTGCCAACTTTCAATACGGATCGATTTTTGGAAAATCGAAATAATGAGACCAGATGTGCACAGACTCCTCCGTAGTTCGGTAAAGTTGGCAAGATATTCAGATTGAGACTGACGGTCTGCGAGCCGGTCTTGATGTGCCGGTGAAGGCGGTAAATGATGGTCTACGGTCCTCTGCGGTTACAGAGGTGTCGACTGATCTACGGACACGAGAACACCGTGACCACATCGATGCTGATGAAACGGCGGCGAGCAGAATCCTTTCCACCATTGATGCTCAACCCTCTCGATGTACAGACGGCATCGTGCGTCAGAGGAGCAACAGAAGGAATCATGAAGGATTTGCTTGTTGCCTCAGAAAAGGGTGAAAATGCCGTAAAATAATTTACGGACCAGAGACTCCAAGTCAGTTGACATATTTTCCCCCATAAAAACCCCTTCAGTGATCACGTAAAGCCAAACGGAATCTGCAGCAGGTACGGAAGTGATTGTCCAGGCTGCTCATTCTGGGTCAGAGCAGAACTATCGGAATGAGGGGAGTTCTCTGATATTCTTTGGGAACTGTGTCATGTCATTAGTGCTGGTGGTTACTTGCCAGAATAACGAGATCAGCTCTCATGGATCTATTGGAGCACAGCGGTGGAGGCTGCTTGGTTGACCAAGTCCTCAGTCAGACCTCGCTCATACAGGGCACGCGATCCAAAGCAGATATCAGCGCTCCATCACCTGCTGGATGGGACCTTAAACGTCACCTGGATGACCAGAAATCGGACCCCTGACCGTGTTTTGCATGTGATGCACCGCGGCTGCAAAAGTGCCGGTGAGCCAGGCAGGTGTTCCTCTTTCTGCAGGACCGCGTTGCACAGACGTGTGTCGTTGTTGCAATTGTGGCAACACAAAAGAAACTGAGGAACTAAGATAAGCGCCCTGACAGTGAGGACGGAGTGTCCTTAATCTGTTTTGTACAGTTTAATCCATCATATTTTTCATAAAGATCGTTTTCATGGTGGAAGAATGAATGAACGAACAAATGGTCATAAGTACAGTTGCTGCCTTTTATAGATCCAAGGAAGGAGGTTTATTCGTCACATACAGAGAAATACTGACGTAAAGTATGTAGTGAAATTCTGTTTGGTGTTGAGCTTTTTCTGTGCGAGTGTGAAGAAACATGAATAGCAAGATGGAGAATAACCTGCAGTTCATGTGCAAGTGTGCAAGTCCACAGCTGATGGGTGCAGATACTTTGACGTAAGTCTGGACTTGCTCAGCGTGTGTTGGGTCTTCAGTCCACGTCACATCGCCCGTAAGGTGGATTCACCCCCATTTCAACCTTGATCCAAGTGACTTCACATGGACATCATGGTATATTGGCCTCATTGGACGCGGCTACGTGTACGTCGCTGTGTAGAATCCGTTTGGCCCACTTCGGAGGATGTTCGGGGGCGAGCAGCTGCCTCGTTGTCAATCACGATCCCGCGTGGAGTCGCGCCGCCGCTCACGACCAAAATCCCACGACGCTCTGAAAACTGGTTCTGCATCAAATAAATCGACAATCGACTGGAATTTCAGCAACAAACTGGTTCTTTTTGATGAGCTGAAGATTGTGTAGATGCCTGACCGGGTTCACCTCAATAATCAGTAGAGTAGATCTGATGATCCGATGGAAGCTCAATCTGAAGGGATCACTTCACGTGTTCCTGATCACCTTACAGGTCATTTAGCTGAAGCTTTTCTCCAAAGCGACTTACATTGCATTTAAAAAAAAGAAGCAATTAGAGGTTTGTGTCAGCCGGGGTTTGAACCGCCAACCTCCCCCAGCGCTCCCTGTCGTCCGTGCAGCACCGGTCAGCTCTGCTTGCGTCGCCCCAGAAGAGACACTCGAATGAAACCAGACCCACTAACTCTGCTTCTGCTTCCTCTTTCCAAACCGCAGAGTTTTCAAGAAGTCGAGCCCCAACTGCAAGGTGAGTCCTGAGTGAGGCGAGTACGACAGGTACTCCGAGTACTCTGAGTACCTGTCGTACTAGCAGAGGGAAAAACATAGACTTTTAAGTTTTTTTAATAGTTTAAAGCTGTCACTCTACCATTCGAACTAGAAGCTCCCTCCCAAAAAGTATTTAATGTCTAAAATGTGAGACAATGATTATCAGAATAAGAGCTCACCTGTACAGTGTGTAGTGATTAAAAACGTCATCAACCAGATGTTTGGCCCTGAACTGCACATCTGTGATTGGATGTCTCGTGTGTGACTCTGATTGGTCGGTGCAGGTGACGGTCTACCTGGGAAAGAGAGACTTTGTGGATCACCTGGACCACGTGGACCCAGTAGGTGAGTCCTGGAGAGTTTGTTCATGTGTTTTGGTGATTATTCATGCGTCAGCGCTTGCTTGTGATTGGCCGAGGGGCTCGTTTAAGACGTGGCGGTTCTGTTCCCCCCGCTGACAGACGGCGTGATCCTCGTGGACCCGGAGTACCTGAAGGACAGGAAAGGTAGGGCGGCTTCCACCTGAACAAAAGAAGCCAATTAGAAATAAGATGATATATTTTAATATATATTCCAGTGTTGGTATTTGTGTAAACAAACTCATCGTACATCAGTAACAGTTTGAATGAACATGATCTAAATCATTTCTCTTCCTCGTAGTCTTCGTCACGCTCACCTGTGCGTTCAGGTACGGCCGGGAGGACCTGGACGTCCTGGGCCTGTCCTTCAGGAAGGACCTGTACATCTCCACCTTCCAGGTGAGTTTCACCTGAGCACCTTTAATCACTGAATTTTCCAACCAATCAGTCAATCAATGATATTATTGACAGGACCGTTAATCGTACTTTCAGAGTTTAGTAGCAGTACTTTTACTGCAGCGTCTCGTCCTCCTTCTCTCCGTCTCTCAGGCGTTTCCTCCGGTTCCCGAAGAGAAGAAACCCAACAGCCGCCTGCAGGAGAGGCTGCTGAAGAAACTGGGCCAACATGCTCACCCCTTCTACTTCACTGTGAGTGTGTACTAGTACACACAGGGAGGACACAGTACACACAGGGAGGACACCAGTACACACAGGGAGGAGGACACCAGTACACACAGGGAGGACACCAGTACACACAGGGAGGACACCAGTACACACAGGGAGGAGGACACCAGTACACACAGGGAGGACACTAGTACACACAGGGAGGACACAGTACACACAGGGAGGACACAGTACACACAGGGAGGACACAGTACACACAGGGAGGACACTAGTACACATAAGGGGGACACTGTGGTCTCCGTGGTGTCACAGGCAGTATCTTGCTTTGCAGACGTCTTGTTGTCCTTTGTCCTTCATGTCGTATCGTCCTCGGCTGTAAACCTGTCGGGTTTGAACGCTGATCTGTTGACCCCTCTAATCAATTCAATCATTCACCCCACAACGAGTTATTGATTATACTAGAAGTCGTCTCCGTGTCCATACCTCCACCTCCGTGTCCATACCTCCACCTCCGTGTGTCCATACCTCCACCTCCGTGTGTCCATACCTCCACCTCCGTGTGTCCATACCTCCACCTCCGTGTGTCCATACCTCCGTGTGTCCATACCTCCACCTCCGTGTGTCCATACCTCCGTGTGTCCATACCTCCGTCACTTCTGCCTCTACTGTCTCTCAGCACACGAGGCCCCGCCCCCTGGTCCACAGCAGGAGGCCGTTTCAATCCGAGATGCTTTTCAGATCTTGTTTCTTCACAACACCTCCGGTGCTGAAGTCGCTGTTTCCATCCTGATCTGACTTTAGTTTTTTCTTGTGTGGATTCAGATTCCTCAGAACCTCCCGTGTTCAGTCACTTTACAGCCCGGCCCGGAGGACACTGGGAAGGTAACGCTCGGTGGCTTCCCTTCACTCTTTCTACATGTATTTATATATATGTATGTGTCCAGACTACTTGTGTTTCCTCCTCAGGCCTGCGGCGTTGACTTTGAGATCAGAGCTTTCTGTGCCAAGTCAATCGAAGAAAAGATCCACAAGAGGTGAGTTCAGACCGGCAGGAAGCTCCTGAGGACCTGCAGCTCTCAGAGAGGTTTCATCAACAGTCTTTGTGTCTGACCAGATTTCCTCAAATGACTTACTAATTAGATAAGATAAGTTAGCCTTTGCGCTAACGTTACCTGGTAGGCATGTACCATGTGTTTGGTATTACTGCCGGAGGAGCGGATGGCAGTGACGTGGTTCCTGTCTGCAGGAACTCGGTGCGTCTGGTCATCAGGAAGGTTCAGTACGCTCCGGAGAAGCCCGGTCCTCAGCCGATGGTGGAGACGACCCGCAGCTTCCTGATGTCTGACAGATCCCTTCACCTGGAGGCCTCTCTGGACAAGGAGGTACACACACGTCAGAACGTAGCGCTGCGTGATGAAAGGTGACCGACATCAACCACCGATCACTAGTATTTATATTCATTGTGTAGCAGCTGTTTATAGAAACTAATACAAGTATTAAGTATTATCAATATTAAGATGTTTCATGACATCTTCGGGTTAGCCCCTTGTGCTAATGTGCAGGTTAGCCTCTTGTGCTAATGGGCAGGTTAGCCTCTTGTGCTAATGTGCAGGTTAGCCTCTTGTGCTAATGTGCAGGTTAGCCTCTTGTGCTAATGTGCGGCTTAGCCTCTTGTGCTAATGTGCTGGCTAGCCTCTTGTGCTAATGGGCTGGTTAGCCTCTTGTGCTAATGTGCTGGCTAGCCTCTTGTGCTAATGGGCTGGCTAGCCTCTTGTGCTAATGTGCAGCTTAGCCTCTTGTGCTAATGTGCTGGCTAGCCTCGAGAAAAAGGCATTAGTTTTATATTCTCTGACGCTGGTTGACAGTCGTCCCTCATGAATGTCTTATTTTCCCATGATGCATTGTGTGCAGCTGTACTACCACGGAGAGCCCATCAGTGTCAACGTTCACGTCACCAACAACTCCACCAAGACTGTCAAGAGAGCAAAGATATCCGGTGGGTCTCTGCTTCTTCTGCTTCTTGGTCTCGTTTCCTTCTGTCGTCTCTTAAGTCGCTGTGTGAGGTTCTGAATGTGGAACCTTCTCTCTGCAGTGCGTCAGTATGCAGACATCTGCCTGTTCAGCACTGCCCAGTACAAATGTCCAGTGGCCCAGCTGGAGGCGGAGTAAGTAAAATGACCTCATCCGAGGTCAATGAGCGGGAATCCCTTCAGATTGAAGCGGGTTCAAACTGGTTTGAATAAATGAAACCAACGTTTGACTTTAAACGAGAGGAAAACATCACGATGTGATCCCACAGTTATCATAAGGTCTGATCTGAACCAGTCTTCATTTCGTCGACGAAAACTATCACGACATTTTTTTGTTAACAAACCTTTTTTCCACGACTAAGACGAGACGAAAACAATCATAAAAAAAAAACTGACTAAATCTATTCTAACTTTCGTTAATGAGACGAGACGAACATGTTGGTGGTTGACGAAGTCACGATACTTCCTACTATAGTTCACGCGCCACATCGTGAGAAGACGTTAAACCGTCTCGGCCACCGTCCGCTCGTTACTAAGCAACGTAGAGGCGCCACACAGGAGACAGGTGGCCGTGTCAAAGGCATCGCAAGTAAACAGACAAAGACAACAAAGTGTTGCGTTTAGGTCCCTGGTCCTCATCAAGTTGTTACACCTTTGACAATTTGTTAGATTGCCTTATAAATAAATGCTTTGCTATTTGTTAAAATCCAAATCCTTTCATGTGATGATGTTTCACACGTCATTTATATCAGCTCACAAACACTTCAACCGCTTGTTCTTCTCCGTCACATTTTACAACCCACTGTGACCGCGAGTCACAACGTCTGCCGACCTGCTATAGACCTGTCCTATAGGAGGACATCTATAGGCCCGTCCTATAGGAGGGACATCTATAGGCCCGTCCTATAGGAGGAACATCTATAGGCCCGTCCTATGGGAGGGACATCTATAGGCCCGTCCTATGGGAGGGACATCTATAGGCCCGTCCTATGGGAGGGACATCTATAGGCCCGTCCTATGGGAGGGACATCTATAGGCCCGTCCTATGGGAGGGACATCTATAGGCCCGTCCTATGGGAGGGACATCTATAGGCCCGTCCTATGGGAGGGACATCTATAGGCCCGTCCTATGGGAGGGACATCTATAGGCCCGTCTTATAGGAGGGACATCTATAGGCCCGTCCTATAGGAGGGACATTTGATGGACAACCAAGTACTGCAAGCTGGACTATAATGCATCTGTAGACACACCACAGGGTCCCTGGATCTGAAAAGGGAAGAAAATGAGTTTAATGTGGATATTAAATGGGACTAAACCTAATAGACATTTTTTGTCTAAAGAGTAAATCAAAGATAGCGGCCCAATGAGCACTGATCTGAAGTCAGTTTGATTGACAGCAGCGTGTCGTCTCCATAGCGACCAGGTGTCGTCCAGCTCCACCTTCTGCAAGGTGTACACTCTGACCCCGACGCTGGACAAGAACCGGGAGAAGAGGGGACTCGCCCTGGACGGCAAGCTGAAGCACGAAGACACCAACCTGGCCTCCTCCACCATGTAAACACGCACACGCACACACGCAAGCACACGCGTGTTGCTGCGGTCACGTGACGCTGGTGCTCTGTGTTTCAGCGTAAAGGACGTGACCAACAAGGAGGTGCTGGGGATCCTGGTGTCCTACAGAGTCAAAGTCAAGCTGGTGGTCTCACGTGGAGGGTAGGACACGCCGCGCCGACATCACGTCCTGTCCTTTGTTTCCTGTTCAAGGTCGTCAGCTGACGTCCAGCTCGGCTCAAGTTGTGAAATCAAAGAGGAAACTGAGCTTGTTGTGCTGATGGTGCTGCTGATACTGATTATTGATCCATATTGTTGTTTGAGTGTGTGTGCACAGGCTGGTCTGCTTTTCCTCTCTATGATCTACACATCATTTCAACTCTCGTCAGTCAGTAAAATATAAAATGTACAAAATTAGACTTTTACTTTGCAGTAATTTCTGCTGGGGTTTGTGTTAGAAAGTTAAACATCTGTAATATCTCTTTCATAATCACGTGATCACCTCTGGATTCATTTATCACCAAGACAACCTTTTACAATGACACATGAACACATCACGACAGCAGAAAACATTTTATCAACACGATAAGCCGGAACGTCTCGCTGCCCCCTTTACAGGTACGTTCTCAACATACCTGTGGAGGACGCAGCTTGAGGGTGTGGCTTGTATCCATGGTGACAAAAACAAGTTGTTACCTCCCCCCTTAAGACGACAAAAGTTCACACGGAGCTTTACTCAAATCCCGATAGACATCTCCATGTTGGTGCAGCTCAACTTCCTGTTTCATCCTCTTGACTTCCTGTTGTGCGTTACCTTTGTAGCCGTAGTAACTCCCCACTCTGCTTGCTTAGGTTGTTGACTTGTTGCCTCCTGCTTTTCATTTCATCTCCCCTCTGTGTTTTTGTTTTTCTGTTTGGCTCCTCCTCCTCCTCTTCCTCCTCCTCCTCCTCCTCCTCCTCCTCCCTGTGTGTCCCCCTGCAGGCTGCTGAGAGGCATGTTGGACAGGTAAATGTGAGCGCCAGCCTCTCCGTTCTTTCAGTCTGATCCTTTAACATCAAGACACGTCTGCTCTCTTTCTCTGTGGCCTCCGCTCACCAGTGTGACCCGCTTTACCTGCCGTTAGTCCAGTGGTTCTCAAACTGTGGGGCGTGACCCTCTGGCGGGGCGCGAGTGGCTGGGGGAATGTATATTCTTTTTTTTTTTTTTCATTTAAAAAAATTATTTTATTTATGATCCTTTTATTAATCCCACATTATTCACTGCATTTGACTACTCACCCTTAGTCATTAAGGAGCTGTGAAGCTCTGTAGAACATCACAGCCCCGTTTTGTCTTCTTACTTCTCTTTAACTCAAAGAGCTCTGACAAGTTTTAGATTTGAACTTAACTGTTCATAAATGTTAATAAAGGCACACATGGAGTCACAAGATGTTATTTCAATAAAAATTCAGCATGGACCATTATGTCACATTTCTGTTGGGGCAGTGGGGCCCGACAGAAAAACTTTGAGAACCACTGCATTAGTTGAATGGTTAAATGTTGTTACCCGCAAAAGTAAAGTACCTTTTGCTGTTTTTTAAAAGAAAAGCAACAATGTTGCTTTAAATCAAAGACCTGGCTCTAACTTAGGCTTTTATTGTGAAACATGCAGGAAGTTGAGTTTCACTGGCGTAAAAAAATACCTAGAAGTGAATGAAAAAGTGCACACGCTGAATTAGCCTCATGCTAAGCTAGCCTCTGAATCGATCAGAATCTGTGGACAAGAGTCACAGGATCATCTGATGCAGCTCTGGATTGGTTTGTTTTCTTCAGACTAAAACCTCATGAAATATTGGGAGTCAGCGGTTGTGAGATCACTTCCTGTGGAGGCGTGTCCTCAGAGCAGTTGTAACCATTACAAACAGGAAGTGGACCGAGCGGTGACTGCATGTTGTTTTATTTTGTATTTTCTCCCAGAGACGTGTCGGTAGAGCTGCCGTTCATCTTGATGCACCCGAAACCCGTAGAGCCGCCTTTGTCCCGCCCTCAATCAGGTGAGCTCACCTGACCACACGGAGCGTGTTCATGCCTTACTGTTGCACAACTCCCTTCTTCATCGTACACTCGAGTTCCATGGAGACGAAGACGTTTCCATGGAAACGGTGGTGTGTCATGCTAATTGTGTGTGTGTGTGTGTTACAGCTGTGCCAGAGATGGACCCCCCCATCGACACCAATTTGATAGAATTTGACACAAAGTGAGTTCTATTGTTCTTAATCAATTCAACCATTTTATTATTTGGACAAGTACTTTCATTTCAAGTACAAATAGGTGTTTCCTAAAAGATTTGACTGACTAACAAACAAATCAATTAAATAAATTACTAATTTCTTGATGGACTAGTCAAGCAATTAGTAATTTATTTAATTATTGAAAGAGTATTTTTACACGGTGGCATTAGTGCTTTAAGAGTGTTTTTACACTTTACTGCAGTAAATGTACTTAAAAGTATCTGAACGCTTGAATAACGCCCCCTGAGGGCTTCTGGGAAACGTAGTTCTGACTAATGTAATGACCTCTTGTCTGTAACGTCTCTGAGCCTCGTGATCTTTATTTTATTTTGGTAGCGTCATTTAACACCACCCCCTCCTTCCTCCCAGCAGCGTCTCCCAGGACGACGACTTCGTCTTCGAGGACTTCGCCCGCCTACGGCTCAAAGGCGCCGTGGACGACAAGGACGAGGACTGCTAGGAGCGGCACGCGCACCGTGTAGACGTTACATTCCCCGGCGGGGTTGTTGGACGGAGGCCTCGTGGGCGGGTGGGGTTCTTCCTCCCTTGCTTCAACCATCTCATCTTCCTGCTGCCATTCGTCTTCTCCGTCCGTCTTTCTGGTTGTTTTTTTGTTTGTTTTTTGCTGACGGTTAAATGTCGAGCAGCTGCAGGACAGATGTTGTGGTGGGGGGGCGCGATGGAATGTTTGATTAGCCGAAATACGACACACAAAAAAACGAATCGGCCGTCGTCCGCTTTTATTTCGAAACTCTTTTTTTTTTTTTTTTTCAAAACGCCGGAGGACGCAGCATTCGCTTCGTTGTACAAACAGAATATATATTTGAAACAAAGGAAAAAAAATCTACAAGCAGTTGGAGGTCTGTTATTTTATTTTCTTAAATACATTGATGCTTTTCTTTTTTCTTTAACATCGCGCTGCCCAGGGAGGACACACACACACACACACACACACACACACACACACACACACACAGGAACGTAATTTCACCAGCATCCATTCTCACCACTCTGTCAGCCCTGTCGTCCATTTGATAAAATGTTTGTTGTTCCAGTTTTATTATGAAAGAATCATACCAGCGTTGACAGAGTTCCACTTCCTGTTTCTGCAATCGAAGTAACAGATCTTTCGTTTTAATTTTTTTACACAATATTTCGATATGCTCGATAACAGGTTTGATGTCTCTTTTTTTTCCTTTTTAAAAGTTCAATGAGCAAAAACTCTGTTGATGTTGGAATGTATTTTGTATTAAAACTGGGATCAGACGCCGCCCTCGAGTCACTCGACGTCCACGGCGGCGCTTTAGTTTGAGACAAAGTTGAATAATTACTGAGAGAGAACTTGAATATTCGCTGAGATTACATTTACTATCAAAATAAAAGCTTTTGGCAACGGGAGCCCCGAGCGCAAAACTACGCATTTGTTTTTCGTGAGGGAACGACGTGCACAAATATCTACGATGACCTCGGATCCTTTCAGGCTTTTTGGCGGCAGCTGGCGTTGCTGGTGTGAATTCTTTTGACACGTACATTTGGAGCCTTGTTAATATAATTTATCTGAATATTTCCTGCATTCAAATATTAATATTTCATCTTTTTCACTCAAAATCGCTGTGGTAATCTTAGAATGAGCATCGTCTCTCTCCTGTTTTCATTCAAGTAGAATCCGACCAATCACAACGTCCGCTCCACCCCAGCTGGTTTAGATGGTCTCCATGGAAACAATGCTGTTTTCTGATCAAAGTGGAGACTACGTTGTGCCTTCTTCATTCCACTGCTGCCGGGATACGAAATATTTTAATTGTTTTTCTGACAAAAAACAATTTGCAGCAATTTGGATGTAACTTTTTCTTTTGTTAAACTTGTAATTATAAAAAAACACACGAGAATCACATGATTTGTCGTGAATAAAAATTAACTTAAAAATCAGAATATTAAAGTGTCAAAATAATTTTTTGACAATTATAACAAATTAAAAAAGACTAACTGAGCAATTTTAAGATTTAAGCTTTATTCCTGTAAAATACAAACTTGTCTGTTTAATCAATATCATAATTCATCTCGTTACATTGTGACATTTTCAGGACGTTATTCATTTACTTTCCTTTGTAATTTCCTGAATTTTTCCCCAAATGTACAATGTAGTTATTGATATTTTTTCGCATGCTTTTGTCTTTCAAAGTAAATGTCGTGTGACTCTTAAATGACCAAATGTCCCGTAATGTTGAGTCTCTACTTTTAAGAATTATCACCGCATTGAAAGGATTCACAGAGCAATTGCATTTAAATCTTATTTATATATAAAATGACCAATGATCAATGACAGCCGATTTCCCGAAGCATAAACTACTGTTTCCATGATGTCGTGACTTAAAGGTGCCGCGCCTGAGATTCTCTCCTGACCCTCGTCACGGGGAAACCTGTGGCTAGAAGCTAGCAGCGCTAAGGTCGGCTGGCAGCGCTAAGGTCGGCTGGCAGCGCTAAGGTCGGCTGGCAGCGCTAAGGTCGGCTGGCAGCGCTAAGGTCAGCTGGCAGCGCTAAGGTCAGCTGGCAGCGCTAAGGTCGGCTAGCAGCGCTAAGGTCAGCTGGCAGCGCTAAGGTCAGCTGGCAGCGCTAAGGTCGGCTGGCAGCGCTAAGGTCGGCTGGCAGCGCTAAGGTCGGCTGGCAGCGCTAAGGTCAGCTGGCAGCGCTAAGGTCAGCTGGCAGCGCTAAGGTCGGCTAGCAGCGCTAAGGTCGGCTAGCAGCGCTAAGGTCGGCTAGCAGCCGTTTTTGGGGTCACAAGATCCACTCAGAATGTTTCCGTTGCTCATTGATCTCATAAAATTTCCACTTTACTTAATTGTTGGAAAGATCTCTCGATAAATGGCCTTTTTGTGCGTAACATTGCGAGAATAAAGGAGTCTCTCTCAAAGCGTTGAGCTTAAAGTCGTTGTGCTCGTATTTCTACAGAATATGAGGAATTATTTGGCCAAAATGTCGAGTGCCATGAAAACGTTGCAGCCAAATAAAACGAGGGATTTGGTCGTACGAAGCAGCCGCGTTTCCTTCAGACCTTCAGAAGGGTTTTTATTCTGTGGAAGAAAAGTAGTTCTGCTTTTGACGAGTGTTTTTCCCCCCGAACAACAAATGAACGTTTGACCCACGAAGGAGGCGAGCGGCTCATTTCAGGAAGCTTTTTCTCTTTTTGACGCTCGACACTTCAAACTCTTTATTTAAAAACGGCCCGATTCCCAGAAGAAGAGCCTGTTTTTATTTAACTTGTGTATTTGTGGGGAAAGTTTTGCTGTGAAAATATTTTGACCCCGACTGCGCGACGCGTCACCGTAAAGTCTGTAGAACACAGGAAGAGATTTCTGCTGGCGGGACGATTATTACGCTTCTGATTATTGTTATGGTGACTTATTACTTCTGTCAGCATCACCACCGTTCTCATGATCATTTAAGAGTACCGTTTAGCCACGTGCTTTTTATTTTGAGATTATTTGTTTTCTTTATTATTAAAGGTCAAATGAACCGATCGATGTTGCTGTTGTGTTTTGTTCGAGATTCTGGATGTAAAGGTTCAATTTGAACGCATCTTTCTACGTTGTATATACGTATATACACACACCACTTATTCTACATGGACCTTTGCTTGACATACCAATTAAAAAGTAACTATAATATAATATACTAGGATTCCTTTCAACAGTTTTTGACTTGTATCATTTAGTTGTGTTATTTTAAGGCAGAAACGACATTGAGGCGGTTTATGTTTCAACAGTTTATTGAACATCGGAGGAACTTCTGGTGTTTGAATCCGTCCGACTGGTCGAGTTAAACTTACTTCTACTTCCTGTTGGATTGTGTGTGTGTGTGCGTGTGTGTGTGCGTTAAAAGCCGCTGTGTCATAAAGCGTCGTAGTCGTCGTCTTCGCGCTTCCTCTTCAGCGGGTCGCCGCTCTGCGTCACCATGTTGGCGGTGATGAGGATGTTCTTTGACCCGATCAGAGACGGGTTGATGAGCACGTTGGAGACGGCGGGCGTGGACGGCGTGACTGGAGGAGAAGAAATATTTAATGTCTGCTGATTGGCTGAAAGGAGCTAAAACGTCTTCTCACGTTTACGTGACGCCGGGTCTCCTGAAATTATGAACTGTCACTTTTTAAAGAGAAAAACACTTTGACAAACTCTTCATATTGATCTTTTAAAAAGGTCATTTTTAGTCAGCAGAGAATTCATTGAAAGTAAGTTCAATGTTTTAAGACGGAAAATATGTCCTTTAATAAAGCGCAACACAAGTCATCAGTTAATAAGATGCCTGAAATAGTTTTAATTGATTTATATCTGTCCATAAAAATACCAAACATCTAAGACCTGTGATTATAGGATGTATTAATTAAAATAATAACTACACATAGATAAAATACAATATTATAATATTGTGTATATATATATAATATATAGACATACTAATAAATGGTGTAATATAAAATAATGATAAGGTTAAACATTGTTGGTTCCATGAAGGAATCAAAAGTGTGTTTTATTCAACTATTTTGTCCCAAACCATCCAGATGTTGAGCTTTATGCATTGATGCAGACTGGATAGAACCATGAACACGTTCTAGAGGCGACTGGGAGGAGACGGCTCTTACTGGTTTTGGTGGCGGCCGTCTGCGACGTTGCTGGGATCTGAACCGTGAACCTCTGACCCGTCAGAGACACCGGGGCGCCCACCTTAGTGGACACGGACTGCAGAGACGGGGTCCCTGTGGAGCACACGGGCCGGAGCACACGGGTCAGAGCACACGGGCCGGAGCACACGGGCCGGAGCACACGGGTCACGGCACACGGCTCACGCCACACTTCTGTGGACTCACCGAGGGTCGGCGTGCTCGGCCTGCTGGAGACGCTGCCGACGCTGAGCCGGGGCACCGACATCCGGCCGCCTGCCGAGGACACCTGGAACAAGGGACGCATTGAGAAGGTCGTAGGAGGAGAAGATGGAGGTAGAGGAGAAGACTTGATGGTACCTTCTTCTGCGCGGTCTTCAGGCGGTAGTTGGGCGCCGTGAGGCAGTAGCGGTCCGGGGGGAGGCGGGGACCCGTGTACGGTTTGATCAGAGGAAGGGGGGTCTGGTTCTTTTGCCGCGCAACTTCCAACAGGAACTGATCAAAGAGGAAGCTTATTAATAAACAAGCAGGAACCGTCAGTTTCTCGGTCAACAGGCCGCAGGAGGCGCCGCCTGGCGGCCAAACCAGCTACTACAGAAGGTCACTCGTCGCATGTTTAATCCCAATCAGTTCAATCATATCGATCGTGATCATTCAAACGCGAGGCGCTCACGTCTCGCGGCGGCGGCGAGGTGAACGACTGGTCCATGCGGCACTGGATCGCCAGTTTGATGTCGTCGGCGTCCACGCTGGACTTCTTGGCGTGCGTGGCGTAGATCTTGGCGTCCTCGATGATGGTCGTCACGTATCCTGAGGAGAGGAGCGGGCGAAGTGAGGAGCGGGCGACGGGCCGCGCGGTGCCCGCTGGGGAAGCGCTCGGTTACTCACTGTAGGTGAACTCCAGCATCTGGTTGATGACCCGGGGCTCGTACTCCGTGATCCCCATGTCCTTCAGGATCTGGATCATCACCTGCAGAGACACGTGCTCCTTCAGTTTATCGCTAACATTTAGCGACACAAGTACAACTTTACGTGTTTACACTTAGCCGCTAGCGTCCAGCTAGGATAACATGCTAGCTTTGTGCTAATGTTGTGATCGGTAATCCGTCGCTAACGTTAGCCTGCAAGCTAACGGGTACAAACAGCCGCGCGGTTCGTTCACTGTGACGGCGGCATTCGTTGAAGCGCCGCCGCAGTGACGCGCGGTGCACAGACGACGCGGACGTGATACCTGAGCGTCTTTCGGGATGCTTTTCGGAGCAGACATTTTGTATTTCCCCCCGCGGCTTCCTCGGCGTCTTCTTCTGTGGTTCAGAGTGAGCAGCTCAGACAGCTGACCTCCGTGGAGCGCCCCTGCTGGTGAGACGCGGCGGCGCAGCGTCATTACACCCAGAACCATTCTCCGTAAATCAATATAAATATGTACATTTTGGTCATATTGTAAAGATTTTGTTCCATTGTTCTTTTACTTGTGTTTGTTATTATTTTATGTTAATACATTACAGCTGTATTTCATGTATCATTAGCGTTATTGAAATTATTTCTTATTATTATTCTCTCTTTTATGTTTTAATAATGTATTATGACTTATAACTGTTTTATTCATTTCATTTATCAATATCAACATATTTTAAGCGGAATCATGCTGTTGATTAAAACAATATATGATGAACTAAGAAACGATTATGTAATCTTATACATATATGTGTATGCTGCTCAAGTTGAAATGACGGTATTACTGTTTTAAAGCAGGCAGCCAGCAGGAGGTGCTGCAGGATGTATCTTTAGTAAGTTCTACTTTTAAAACCTCACCTCAACCTAAAGTAAAAGTAAAAAAAGCAATTGCAATAAACCTTCTGAGCTTTATTAAGACGCCATTGTTTCTTAGTGTGTTAACGTTCTGTTTTACAGGTAAAGTAATAAATACTGAGACCAGATTCTTCATCGCAGATCCGATCCAGGAGCAGTTTTAACTCCTCATGCAGGAAAGAAAGAATAAAGAGCAGATAAGGAATCAACAGAGGAGTCATAAAGGAAGTTTTATCCCTGCAGAGTTCTAGAGTACCTGAGCAGGTATAAAATATAAGTATTGATCATGTAAAATTGATAAACGATGGTTCGTCAGACGTCGTTTGAGAATAATCAGTCGGTAATTAATGGCTGTGAGGCTCCGCCTCCTCTGTGTCGTCACTGATGCAGAGGAAGCTGCTGACCTTCAGGTGACCTCTCCGCTTCCTGTAGTTACACAAAGGTCTCCTTTTATTGATCTATTGTCTTCTGTAGGTGGATGTTTTTATCTCACTTTGACACAAGCAGTAAAACTTGTGAACATTCTTTTTAGATACAAACATGAAACTACATGTATTATTGATTTTATTAGTATTTCTATAGTTACCATTACTATACTTATAATGATTGTATTATTATCAGTAGTATTGCTATTACTACCACTAATATTACCATTATTATTACCACTGTTGCTATTATTATTATACTATATTATCACCATTAATAATACGGAAATTAATAAATAGTTCTGGCATTGGGGAACTTTTATTACTTTTGAGGTGTTTTGTTTAAAGATCTATAAACCTGTTCATTCATATTAGTGTTTTTATATTTCATCTTCTATCATCTTCTATATTTAAATGTATTACTTTTTTCATAAATGAAAGGAAACCTTTTTTTCAGTTGACAACACAACAAATCAAAAAAGGGAATTAAATGTAAAGAGGAAGTAATTTGATTTTGAAAATGTGGAAATGTGTCATATAAAACAATCGCATATTAATAAAGGATCAACTAATAAAACCGTACAAATTGATATATAAAACGTGTGAGGTTAAAAATGTGAAACTAAAATAATAATTTTAATAACAAATCTGAACTTAAAGAGTCCTCCTATTGTACAACACATACGAAAAAACCTTTAGTCATATTTAAAAAAAAACACATTATTCACCATTGTACTGTTCAAGTAGATGCAGGTCAAAGGGCGTGTACCTCAGTACCATACAAATACAATACGTGTCATATGTTTTAATGTTCATAAGCATTTATTTTATTACTTTTCATTCCTCAGATTAAAAAAAATAATTTGTGAAATTTTGAACGTTTTTGTTGACTCTTCTTCAACTTATTGGTGTCTTAATAAATTCATCCAATATGTAAACGATCTAAAACATAAATCAAATAAACAGTTTGAGATGTTCGTTGGTTGGATTCGTCAATAGTTTTTAACAAATTGAAGCTCATATTTTCTTGATATTTCTGTTTTGTCTGTTTATTTTTTATATTAATATTGGCATTGTTATTATTATTGTATTATTATTACAATAAGCACTATTTAACACTCAACATATATACACAGAAAGTGAATAAGTGAGTCTACGGGAGTAGATTTAATGTATAATAAATTATTATGAATTAATACATGAGGGTTTTCTCCTTTCTTCCATTTCTCCTTCTCTCCTTCCCTCCCTCCTTCCTTCCCTCCTTCCCTCCTTCCCTGCTTCCCTCCTTCCTTCCTTCCATCTTTCCCTCCTTCCCTCCTTCCCTCCTTCCCTTCTTCCCTCCTTCCATTTGTAAGTCCGTCCGTCGCTTTGATGGCGGCCTTTGAAATGCAGCAGCGGACTGTGATGCAAATGTGGTCCGATAGAGGAGACTGCGGGCCGGAGGGGGGGGGGGGGGCGGGGGGGGGGGCTCCTCAAAAAAGTGACAAGGGGGTCCTGTTGTGGGTCCCCTTGGAGGAGGGGGGAGATAAAGCGGTAAAAGTGTGCGTGAGAGGGAGAGAGGGAGAGAGAGGGAGAGAGAGAGAGAGAGAGGGAGAGAGGGAGAGAGGGAAGAGAGGGAGAGAGAGAGAGAGGGGGGGGGACAGGTGGAGAGAGAGAGAGAGAGAGAGAGAGAGAGAGAGAGGGAGAGAGAGAGAGAGAGAGAGAGAGGGAGAGAGGGAGAGAGGGAGAGAGAGGGAGAGAGAGAGAGAGGGGGGGAGGACAGGTGGAGAGGAGAGAGAGAGAGAGAGAGAGAGAGAGAGAGAGAGAGAGGGAGAGAGAGAGAGAGAGAGAGAGAGGGAGAGAGAGAGAGAGAGAGGGAGAGAGAGGGAGAGGGGGGGAGAGAGAGGGAGAGGGGGGGGGGCAGGTGTGGAGAGGAGAGAGAGACAGCCAGGCTCACTTTACCTGTCGGGCAGGTGAGAGAAGCTGGATCCGCAGTATGCAGAGGGAGTCCCCTCACCTGGGAAGATGTACGTGAGCTACCTGCAGCTGGACAAGGACCCCACCATGTACCCGCACCAGAACCCGGGGGCCCGCCACGCGGGCCTCAGCCCGCAGGGCTTTCCGGGCCCGCCACAGTACTCGGACTTCGGGTACCACCCGCACCACCCGCACCACCCGCACCACGGCCTTGCTTCGAATCCCTGTCAGCGCAGCAGGCGGTCGCGGGCCCCGGCGGGTGGAGCTCGGCCTACCCGCCGCCTCCTCCGCCCGCCCGGGACGACTGGTCGTCGCACCACTACACGGCGGTGGCCGCCGCGGTCGGGGGGCCCGCGGCCTCCGCGGTGGGCCCCTCCGCGCTGGGCTTCAGCCCGCCGGACTTCGGTGGACAGTCCGGGCTGATGAGCGCGTCCATGAACGCGTCTGCGGGGCCGCTGTGCCCCGGATCCCCGCAGAGGAGGAACCACTACGACTGGATGCGACGCAGCTCTGCGCCGCCCTCCAACCCAAGTAGGGCTCGATATCAAACTCCATCTTTAATACTCGTTTATTAACAGCCATATGCAAAGGCCCGTTAAAAAGAAAACACATTTCTAATTTCTAATTATTCATCTGACACCTCGCAATATTTTACCTGCATGCGTGATGATATTTAAAAGGTTTTAATTAGTGAGACACTTAAAACAGAAGTTTTATTCATTCAAGATTTGCTCTTATTCTCGATTTTCCAAACACCGAATATTTATGCAATTAAACACTTGATATGATCAGTTTAAATTCATATGATATTTAAGGGAGGGAACAATAAGCCTGTAAATCGTTTCATAATAAGGAATAAATCATTAGTTAATAGTCGTGTATTATAGATATTTAGTTTGTTGTATCACAATATTTTGTGATTTTTAAATTCTATTATTATTTGATTATTTCTCTGAATACTTAAAGTACTTTTCTCTCCGCTGGTGTTTTTGCAAAATTGAGATCAAACTGAAACCTCCTTTAAACAATCGATCATCTTCACAATATTACAAAAATAATAACATACGCCGGATGAAATATGCCGATATTGATGGTTTGCTGTGCTGGTTCCCACCGGGGGGGTCAGACGTGTGAAGCCGGTTTGGAGGCGGCGTGAAGCCCTTGTGATGCTAATGACCCCCCGCGTCTCTGGGCGGGACAAGACAAGAGCTCACAAGACTGTCTGCACTTTGAAGTGTGTGAAGCGCGACGCGCCGTGCGGCGTGTGTGTGCATGTGTATGCGTGTGTGTGCCCCGTGTGTGTGTGTGTGCGTGTGTGTGTGCGTGTGTGCGTGTGTGTCTGTGTGTGCGTGTGTGTGTGATCCCGATGCGCAGGTCGATTAATAGAAAAGTCATTTGAAATAGTTGCAACTTTTCACCCATGGACTTCATGGACAAAGAGACAAATGGATGACATATTTGACATATTTGACATATTTGACATATTTGACGTGAATATGACGTCACAGGATGAACGTTCGAAAAGTTATTTTTTAAATAAGATGAACCAGGAAGTTGAGAGAAACAGAAGCAGAAAATTGTGAGAAACAGAATCAAACCAAACTTATTTAATATGTTTGTTTCCTATTTTACTAAAAATATTGCATGACGCTGAGAATACTTGTGTACTTGTATTGCATGACCTGAGAATACTTGTGTACTTGTATTGCATGACCTGAGAATACTTGTGTACTTGGATTGCATGACCTGAGAATACTTGTGTACTTGTATTGCATGACCTGAGAATACTTGTGTACTTGTATTGCATGACCTGAGAATACTTGTGTACTTGTATTGCATGACGCAGAGCATCGTTCGTGTCACTTCCCTCACAGATCGCGACACTTTGTACCAACGCAGAACTTTATTCAGACAAAACCCAGAATCGATGACGTCACTTTAAACGACACATCTGTTTGCTTTTTCCGGCTCGTCCGTCTTACTTTTAGCGGCAGGTCGGACACGTCGGAGTGTCATTGTCGTATAATGTGATATAGTATAGATTATAGTCAACGCGCTCCGCTGTGATGAAAGTACTTCATAAAGGAAGAAATCTGCCCTGTTTCTTATTCAGTATTTCAGTCTGAGATGTGCAGTTAAATCAAGCTGTGTTGTATTTCCTCACACATCAGAGCTCCAGGCAGCAAAGGTTTGAATACTTTGAATCAGCATTCAGAGCATTCGACATCTAAACAATATATACTTCTATAGATGTATATAAAAGATAGGATATAGATAATAAATCACATGTTCACATCAACGACGTTAAACAGGACCGACGTTTGATCTGAACGCTGTCGCTTCATTTTGAGAAGAAACTACAAAACAAAACAGGTTTTAAAATAAATCAAGTTTTTTATTGTACAAAAAACGATTGAAATATAGACATGAATCAAAGTCACGTCTTCAAAATTGTCTTCGGATGAGACAGGCGGTGGGCTTAGCGTAGCTTAGCTTAGCATAACGAATGGAGGCAGGGGGAAGCAGCTAGCATGGCTGGGCAAAGCGCTCCATCTCTTGGAAGAGCTTTTTGTTTTCAACTTTCCAACGAACGCGGCAGAGACGAGCCCCCCGGACAGATGTCCCCCCAAACCAGACTGTTTGAGCTTCAACCCGGTGACTCATTAGAGGACGCGTGTGTGTTTAAAGACGGAGACGCATCACTTATTGAAGACGTTGTGTGTTTAGAGTTAATGTTGAATCAGAGCGTGTTAAAGACACACGGATGCTTCACAAAGCAGAGAACACTCATGTACTAATACTGCACGAAGCAGAGAACTCATGTACTAATACTGCATGAAGCAGAGAACACTCATGTACTAATACTGCACGAAGCAGAGAACTCATGTACTAATACTGCATGAAGCAGAGAACACTCATGTACTAATACTGCACGAAGCAGAGAACTCATGTACTAATACTGCATGAAGCAGAGAACACTCATGTACTAATACTGCACGAAGCAGAGAACTCATGTACTAATACTGCATGAAGCAGAGAACACTCATGTACTAATACTGCACGAAGCAGAGAACTCATGTACTAATACTGCACGAAGCAGAGAACACTCATGTACTAATACTGCATGAAGCAGAGAACTCATGTACTAATACTGCATGAAGCAGAAAACACTCGTGTACTTGTATCATAAGATGACATACGAATGGATGCTCTTTAAGGAAACGTATAATATGTTAATTCTTTGGACATTTACACAGCTCATTCATAAGTAATCTGTTTTCTTGTTGACTTGTTTACGTCTGTTCTTGTTTATGTTGTTCATATCAAGAAGATCAACCGACTCCGAGCAAAGTTTTCATGGCGGTCAAATTCTATAAATACAACTTCCTTATACTTCCTAATACAACTGTGTATTACTTCTAAATCTGCTGGGTGAAGCTAAAGCGTCATGAGGTGAAGCTGCATTCTCTGTAGTGACCAGCAGGGGGCGACTCCTCTGCTCCCATAGACGTCTATGAGGAAATGACTCTACTTCTCTGTAGTGACCAGCAGGGGGCGACTCCTCTGCTCCCATAGACGTCTATGAGGAAATGACTCTACTTCTCTGTAGTGACCAGCAGGGGGCGACTCCTCTGCTCCCATAGACGTCTATGAGGAAATGACTCTACTTCTCTGTAGTGACCAGCAGGGGGCGACTCCTCTGCTCCCATAGACGTCTATGAGGAAATGACTCTACTTCTCTGTAGTGACCAGCAGGGGGCGACTCCTCTGCTCCCATAGACGTCTATGAGGAAATGACTCTACTTCTCTGCAGTGACCAGCAGGGGGCGACTCCTCTGCTCCCATAGACGTCTATGAGGAAATGACTCTACTTCTCTCTGGATTTATTCCCTCAGTAAACGTTGTAAACACGTCTACGTCCTCCTCAGTCCTTTTCGATCACTTCTTGTTTACTGGTTTTCCTCCATAATGGCTACGATGAACTCCAGTTAATCCAAAAAACGTGACGTCACCACGACTACGTCCACTTTCACAGTTCATGGTCACTTCCTGGTCTGTTGGGTCGTGAAAGCCTCAAAATACTTTCCCAAAGAATTACACTGGAAAATAGACATTTTAATAAAGGGATAGAAAGATAGTATACTAGTATACTTTATTCATGCCCATGGGGAAATGTGTGTATAGCTGCAGCAGGCGAGGTTACATCGTGTTCTGTGGAGAACTCTCTTCACCACGTCTCAAACTCTGGATCCAGTCAGACGAGAAGCTTTGCAGAAGAAGGTCCAAACAATCGGAATCGTTGGTGCAAAAGTCAATGAGGAAGTTAAAACTGGTCATTGATTTTTATTATTTTCTTGAAGCACAAAGTTCCCCTAAAATGATCAGAGGTTTCTTTCAGGTTTTAAATCGTATCCTCTGCGACTTCTCATCTCTCACACAAATCAAAATTCAGCATTTGTGTGTGAAAACTTCAAGGATTTCCACCACATTTGAACTTCAAAACTTGAGTGATGTTGAGTTGAATGAGTTTTGACCCCACGTGAGTAGAGGATGATAACCAGCCAGTTCATGCAAATCAAACCAGGCATGTCTGAGTATTTGAATACAGGAGATATCCAGCGAGGACGCACATCCGCACAGCGACCTGAGACGTTTTATAACACATATAAAATACTACACCTGGACTCCCTGCAGCTGGTGTGATTTAGTGTTTGTGTCTTTAGTCACTTTCTGCTCAGACGTCCTGTTGGACGTGTTTCCGTCCCACAGGTGACTCTGCCAGGTGTTCACTGTCGCCAGACTCATTACGGCTTAAGTTGAACAGTAATCGACCATAAGGACGTAGAGACGCCATATACGTCTCTGTTAGAGACCTGTCAATCAGTGCGTAGCCCCGCCCTAAAGCGTCTCCTGTGAGGGAACGTTTTATGTAGTTTACGTTGTCCGACTTTGGTGGTTGATGTTTCTTCTCCTGTTGACGTCCTCATTCTGTTTATTTCATCCTCCTGACCAACGGTCGACCTGTAAAACGTTCTGTAGTTTCTGAAGCAGCTGAGAGAACAGTACGGTTCTTCGCTTCCTTGGTGTCTCTTATGATCTGAAGGTCACATGTTTGAGACAAAATAGCTTTTGTCTTTAAACCAACGGCGAGCCTGCGATCCAGATTCCAGCGTAACGCCCATTCTGTGCTTTGCAGACGGAAAGACGCGGACTAAAGACAAGTACCGCGTGGTTTACACCGACCACCAGCGCTTAGAGCTGGAGAAGGAGTTCCACTTCAGCAAGTACATCACCATCAGGAGGAAGGCGGAGCTCGCCACGACCCTGGGCCTCTCGGAGAGACAGGTTTGTCACGTTGTCAACACGTTGGGACGTCCGACGTCCCGCCTGTTGGTTCCTACCGAACAACCTTTTAGTTGTTGTAGTTCTTCAGGGACTGTTCCCGTATATGTAAACATTTGTGGCATAGAGATATTTTGAGCCCTGCGAGCGGCGCGTCCGTCGGCTGCTCCACCGCCGGTACTCACGTCCCACCGTAGGAATAACAGCACGTTTGTTTCTTTTCGCCTCAGGTGAAGATCTGGTTCCAGAACCGCCGAGCCAAGGAGCGCAAGATCAACAAGAAGAAGCTTCAGCAGCCGGCCTCCTCCACCACCACGGCCACGCCCCCCGGTGGCAACAACGGCGGCGGCGGACTGGTCGGCAGCGACGTCCTGCTCCACGGAAACGGCGGCAGCAGCGTCGCCATGGTGACGAGCAGCAGTGGCAACGGGATGGTTTCCCCGTCCTCCCTGCCTCTGAGCATCAAGGAGGAGTACTGAAAGCACTTCAGACTGATGTCAGACTCTCAAAGACCCCCCAGGTTCCCTCACCCCCCCGTCGCTGAGAGGAACCGAGGAACCTTCCCCACATGGTCAGACTGTTCGGACCAAACTCTGAGCCACGAGTTGGGATTTAAAAAAGTCATTTTGTTGCTCCGCTCGTCTTTAATCTCAGATCTCAGAATGACAGATAAATAAATATATATATATATATATATATATATATATATATATATATATATATATATATATATATACAATTAATGATATATATGTATATATACACAGTGTTTCCTCTACCAACAAAATATATACATATATATATAAATATATATGTATAAATAATTATCTAAAGCAAAATTGAATGAAAGATGTAAGATGCTGTGAGACAGTGTGTAAAACGTGTTGGTTCTTTAACTCTAAAGCTACTTAAAGAAAAGAGGAGTATCAGGGTGAATCCAATTTCCAGATGTATGTGTTTTATTTGATGATGCATTTTTAAAACCACACCCATTCTGCTTCTTTAAGAAGAATTGTCTGCAGCCATGATGGCTCATCGAGTCCTTTGCATTGGGAACAAACTTCAGAAAACCAACTGCAATTAACTTAGAACGTTGGATATAAAAGGTTCAATGTTCTGACCACCAATTTCAATAAGTTGTCATGGCTAAAATGAGGTTTGACAGTGACGTAGTAACGTTAGCGAGCGTGTAGCCCCGCCCTAAAGCGTCCCCTGCTTTATGGCCTGTTTGACTCTAAATGGACCATCATTCACTAAATGAACATCATTGAAGACTTGAAACTAGAGACTGAGACCATGAACTCGTGTTTACAACGTTTACTGAGGGAATAAATCAAGAGAGAAGTGGAGTCATTTCCTCATAGACGTCTATGGGAGCAGAGGAGTCGCCCCCTGCTGGTCACTACAGAGAAGTAGAGTCATTTCCTCATAGACGTCTATGGGAGCAGAGGAGTCGCCCCCTGCTGGTCACTACACAGAATGCATTAAGGTGTAGCTGTTGGTTGGCACTGGTTACCATGGTTACACTTCTCTTCTAGCAGCGAGTCTCTTCAGGTGGCAAAGAGGGAATCGCTGAGTACGTCCCCTTACAATGAAAAATGAAACATATGCTACTGTTCATTTGAATAAAACTTTGTTGAATGGTGGAACACATGTTGAGTGTGTTCCAGATGTTCAACGCACTTGTACAAATTGAACTTGTGTCCTGGTGAGCAAAGTCTTCACATCCTTTACTGACGTAAAAGTATCACTGCCAGTCTGAAAATACTCTTTACATGTGATGCTCTTATTGATTAAACTTCCACCCAAACACAACAGACTTAAAATACAATATAACGTAAACTTTATTGCAGCAAAAACATCAGATGTAATGTTTTGGATGCAGTGTTTTTTCATTGTACTGTAGTATTCCAGTGTAGTACTTTAACTACAGTAAAGTGAATGAGTATTTCATTATATCTTCTATTCTATTCTTGCGTCACAAACCCAAAATGTTAATGTACATGATTTTGATCTCAGCCACAAAACTTTATCACCTTGATATTAATAATTATCATTTGTAAAAAAAAAAGAGCTTTAAGTGTCTGTGACTTCATTTCAAATGTATTAAAGACAGACAGCGAGTTTCCATCTTGTCCGGTTTCATCGAACTACGAGAGAAAAGTCTGTGGTTGAAGTCCGAAGCGATGCATGCTGGGAAGTCATGTTAAATAAAAACTACATTTGTTTCTTTTCTTCAAGAAGTGAGCTCGCCCCATTTTTTCAAATTAGCTCAACTAATTAAACTTACTAGTTAAAGCGAAGTCTTTCAAACATTTGACCCCAGTGGTCACTATCATCCCCGAGCCTCGTTCCTTTAGACATTTATTCAGGATGTTTTCGTTATTGCTGAAGTTGTTGAAGGAAAAGATGATTTCTAAAGACGTTAAAAAGTCAAATCAGCTGATTAACATTGTTTCAAGTTTTAACAAACTTTACATTTCTTTACTTTTTCAAAGTGTGTCTGAAGACGAGAACGTTGAAACACACACACACACACACAGACACACACACACACACACACACACACACACACACACGGTTGCTGCAGCAGTTGAGGTGTGGTGTCCAAAGGGCGATGAGGAACGTTTGGCAAACAGAGCTCTGGATACTGCTATCTGCTGCCGTGTGTGTGTGTGTGCGTGTGTGTGTGTGTGTGTCCTCAGACCTTTGTCCCTCTGGCTCCGTCTGTCCTCCCACATCAGTCTCGCCGATGGAGACGTGATCGGCCATCTTGAACTTGAGTTGGATTTGGGGATTCGTTCGTACACGAGAAGTGATCGTTTTCACCGTGTGGTCACTCGCTGTGGGCGGACGGCGGCGCCAACTCGTTTCTTCTTGAGACCTGTCAATCACGAGGTAGCTCCGCCCTAAAATAAACCCTGCTCTATGGTCAGATCAGAGCAATAAAACTCATACAGTGTGATTCATCATTAACGATATTTGTCAAACGGTTTGACATCACTTGTTGGGTCGAGGACTCACGTTTTTCAGTTCGGTGGTTCGCTCGCTCGCTCGCTAAGAGAAAGGAGGGTTTAACGGTACAATGAGTAATGATTTAGTGCTTTAATGCTTCCTTTATTGGCTCTTATCACAGGAAGGTGTCACGTGACCTTACTTGACATTTGCTTGTTTTTACCATTCGGCAACTTTTGCTCTTAAACCGGTGTGACAGTTATAATTATACACTCATGAACTGAATGGGAATCAAGTGGATGAAAATGACTATAGCAAACGTTTATTTAAAGAAATACAATAGATCCTGTGAAAGCTATCAAGAGTAAATATAACAAACTGTCAATTAACTCTTTACATTAAATGTAATTTATCTGACGCTTTTATACAAAGTGACTTTCATTACATTTGAACCTGGACTCAAACCAACAACCTTGAGGTTCCTTCTCCACCGCTGCGCCACGACAACCCACAACTCCTGTTCCCATCAACTGTGTGTAGAATGTCTGTGTGTAGAATACAACCTAGAACTCTGCACAAAGGAAACGTGGTGAAGAAAAGACGTGTGGAGGAGATATTTGGACCTTCTCAAAGTGGTGCCAGAGTCCCCAACCAAAGAGAACCTGGCTGGACTTCTGCTGCGACACACAACTCATCATTGGCCAATAAAACACGACCAACAAGTGTGAAGAGTTTTATTGTCGTATAAACCTTTGAACACATCAGTTACTTAAACTGGACCTCGAGTTTGTGTTTAACAGCCTCATTGGCACCTTAAACAATCCAACGTTTAATTACACTTGACATTGGGGGGAAATGATAGTAAATATCAGCTGTTTTTGATGATGATTATTGATTAAAGTGAAAGTCGACCTAATTGTTGTGCAGTAATGGAACCAAATGAAAACCACTTTACGGTTTATAGAGTTCAGTATGAAGACGGTTGAAGCAAAGACGCTTCCAGCTCCACTGGATTCACTCATAATAAGTGGAATGATGGCAGATATGCGAACCATAAAATAATCTAAACACATTAGACACACAAAGCCGGAAAGCACCTCCGAGCCTCAGAGCTCGATATAACTAATCAAGTCCGGTCGATTTGATTATATTTCACCACTGAATAGTGAACCTTTGTCCTGAAACCCGTCACTGTTTTCAACATTTGATTCTCCTGAAAATTCCATAACTACCAAAATGACAACCATAAGTTGTGCTTGTTCGCTTCCTGGTTCAGTCCAGACCTTTTGGAGGTTTGAGCCAAAACAAATCTATAGGTGTGAAATCCTCCCCAGATCAAATATTCCAACCTCGGCCCCCAAAAAAGAATTTGGACTCTGAATCAGAATTGAACCGCGGTTCAGGTCATTTCAGGTGTGAAAAAGCCGTCAGTGCAGTTGTTGTACTGGTTGCCATGACGATCCTGTTCATCCATCGCAACCACGGGCCGTAAAGTGGACGCAGTCATGGTGACGTCAGTCGTTGGTTTGTCAACGGATGTTTTGAAGACTTGAGTTTGGCGATTTTGGTCTTGTTTTTTTATGAATCGGTGACCATTTTATGACTGAGGAGGACGTAGTGTCAATGCATGGTGGAGACCTGGTGGAGACCTGTGGAGACCTGTGGAGACCTGGTGGAGACCTGGTGGAGACCTGTGGAGACCTGGTGGAGACCTGGTGGAGACCTGTGGAGACCTGGTGGAGACCTGGTGGAGACCTGTGGAGACCTGGTGGAGACCTGGTGGAGACCTGTGGAGACTTGTGGAGACCTGTCAATCAGCGTGTAGCCCCGCCGTAATGCCCGCCCCGTTTGACTCTGAATGGACCATCATTAACTAAATGGACATCATGCCAACAAGAAACATCCAAACCTCGGCCTGCCGAACACATCGGGTCAGAATAGTTCTGCAGGTCTATTTGTTCCAGGTGCAAGAAAACCGGTTGCCATGACGACCGTGAAAAAAAGACTTTGAACATCACCCCCCCGGGTCCTTTTTCACTGAGATTTACTCTGAGTTCACAGGCATTTAACATTTTAACCAACTAGGGACATTTTCACCCTAAATCTGACCTTGTAATTTCAGGGATTACATTCAAATTCACAACAAATCCTCGTTGTGATTGTTTGTGTAAATAAATCAGTTTGATGTGAACACAATATTCCTCACAGCCTTTGCTCACCGTGGCAGAAGTCATTGATCTTCAGATCTATGACAATGTGAGGAAATGTTTTTTGCCACAGAGGAGACATCATGACATCTCTACCAAACAGCACAAAGAGAGAAGGTCCACGTCGTGAAGAGCAACCGCTCTGTTCCTGGCTCATTTTTGGGTAAACAGAGCGTAATGAGAGCGTCATAAAGTTTATTATAGGGGGGGGCAGTAAAAAGTGTTTCACCACAGAGACGGAGACATGTTTGCTGAGGAGGCGTGATGAGCTCTGATAGCGCCGATGGACGACGGCCAGCAGGGACACATGAGGGTTTAAAAGGTTTGTTCTCACGAGAGAACCGATCTCCAGGGATCTCGTCCTGGGTTCAAACGGAGGTTGAGAGAACTTTGAAAAGGACGCGAGGGACGAGTCTTTGATCTGACGTGAGACGTTTCTGTCACACTTTGAACACAAGTCGTCGCTTTAACAGAAAATGAGACGTTTTTCCTCCTGTGAAGTCGTTACTTGA